CCCTATAAAGCAGGCCTATACATTGTTGTTTACAATTATATGTATGTTTGTGCATATGTGCATATACACACTCTCCATATGAAACAGGGCCTATTGATCAGATCGTCAGCCACAAAGAGGTATTGGTTAATTGTTCATAAAAACTCGCTGTTTAGTTTGATAACAATATTAACTAAATGTCGATTATGGAAAGTTTTTGTTGTTTGATTATTCTATTTTTGGCGAAGGGCATAGCTAAGATTTATGGAGGCCGTTGGTTTGCTCCAATTTGTGCCTATGAGTGAAGTGCAAACACTTGTTGGCAATTGCATAAGTAATGGTTATTTAATAAAAATAAATTAAGGTACATATATTACAACTTAATTAATACCTGCCACAGGAAGATATTTTTAACATTAATTTAAAGGACTGTGGGCGTTTTTTTGTCACGAGTTTTTATAAAGTTCATGTATGTATACATAATGCGGTATTACTATAATGTTTACCGGTGCTGTGCTTAGATATGTAGGCATTTTTGTACGTGATATTTTTTTGTTTTTGCCGGCTTCGACTTGTTTATTATTCTCCTATTTATTTATTTTTTTTTTTGCTTTTGGCTCAGTTTCTTATATAGACGGATAAGTAGTACATATAGACGTGTTTTGTTTGTGGCCAAAGTGTTTGTCTGTGCGAGTGTATATGTTTGTTTATGAAATTTCTATTGCGCAGTTCAGTTTCGCATTTTGGAATTAACTTGACGGACGACGCGTCATCCGTTGAGGCAGTCGCCGATGGTTGTTGGTTGTTGGTTTTCATTTATTGTTTATGTTGTTTTTCTTGTCGTTTCAGTAGTTGTTGTTGTTGTTGTTGTTGTTGTTGTGCCGGTTTATCAGGTGCCGGCTAGTTATATTTATTTTTATACCGAGTTCTTTGCCTCTCCTATGCGATCATATTTTTTCCATTTGTACTTTCTGTTTCTTTGCTGGGGCTTTTGTTTTTCAGCCGTTCATGAAAAATACTGTCGGTGTTTACAGTTTTTAAGGATATCGTATTATTTTTATATAATCTCTGCACCCAAAAAAAAATCATTCAAAAATGGTCAAGGGCTGTAAAGATGTGTATCTATTACTCAAGATAATTATTTTATGGAAAATTTTTGGTCGAGTTTTTCGATATAATTTATTTGTAGTCAGTCATGGAAAATCATTACGACTTACAATAATTAATTTTATTTTTAAGATAATTATAATTATTCGTATCCTAAAGCTAAATAACATTATTTAAGCTATATGCATGTACAAAGGAGCGAGAGTATTTAAGACTTCGGCTTTCTTTACAGTTTTTGTCGTTTGTTTTGCAAAAGAAGTGGTTTTTATCTATAGGGTTTGTGAGGGGGGAAGGGTGGATGAACATCTCTTATCGATTGCTTTTTATCGCGGCAAACTTTGCATTACTGAATTGATGTTTGTTGCATTTTTTTTTTATATATTATAGTTTGTTGGTGCAACAACCTGCAAGTGGCTCAAGATCGTCTTGGGGTTTTGTTTGCTGTGGTTGTGTGCTAGTGTTTGTGCGAAGGTAAACATGGCGGCCAAGTTGCTGTTATCGACCTGCTTGCCACTCCCACTTTAGTTGCTATCTTTGTGGTTGTTGCTGTTGTTTTTGTTGTTGCCTATGTTGTTGTTTCTGCTACTATAACTGCATTTGCATTTTGCATTCGCCTTGACTGCGGCTATTGCACTTTGCCACTTTTAGCGCAGTAACAACAACGCAACGCGACAGCCACGACAACGACTACAACAACAACAGCAGCAGCAGCAACTGCAGCAGCCACAACAACAACACCAATCACATTGCACCAACACACCACCAACAACAACGCCAACGCAAATGCAGCTGCATAAAGCTAGCACAAAAAAAAAACGAGCTGAACTCAATGCCAAGACACTCAGACATATAACGGTTAATGAGTTCGAGTGCTGACAAAAAACGTTGTTTATTTCGAGCTATTTTACTAATGTTTATATTATATATTTTTTAATTACAAATTTTTTTCAGGGTGTTAACAAAATTGTGGTATAAGTTTTATGTTCTATGATTTATCTGAAATATTTCTAAAATATGCATTTAATTATTTAATACCAAGCTTCAAATTTTGAGAACTTCTGTTAAACATGGAGTTTTAAAATTTCTGTGATCTATTCCAAATTATTGTGACCCCTTAATTGTTTAGCTGTAAATTAGCTTTACTGTCAGCACTGCCGTTAAGCTGACTTCGTTGGGGGCTCCGCACTATTATGCTCTTTTTTTTTAATTTTGTTTTTTTAATCCGTGTATTTACTTGTGTTTGTGTTCGCGCACGCTTATCTTGGCGCTATTTTATTTTGATTTTTTTTTTATACATTTGTGTATTTATTTGTGCAATTTTGTCCCCCACTTGGTCACATTTATACATTTGTATTATGTACATATGTGTATTTATAGGAGCAACAATTAAGGCTTAAGCTGTTTTTTTTAGTTTTTTACTTTATTATTAGTATAGAATCCTTTGATTGGTCAGCTCTTTGAGAAAAAAAAAACTAGTTTTGATTTACCTCCCTCCTCTCAATTTAGTGCACCCGCTACTTTTGCACAGCTGTTGTAGAGAGAGATATATGGAGAGCATTGAGAGTCCGAGAGAAACCGCAAAGAGAGAAGAGAGCACGAAAAAGGGTCAATGGTTGAATGAACTTTTGTGCAAATTCGTTGTTGTTCTTGATGTTATTGTTGTTGCCAAATTTGCGCCAAGCATTTTGCAACTTGTTTTTGTTTTTTTCCTCTTTGTTTCCTTGTTCTTTGTTTTTGCAGCATTGCATTGCATTGCATAATTGTATAATTGCTAAGTGCGTACGGCAAAGCGAGAAGAAATAAAATACAAATACAAATTATGCAGTTGCATTTTAAATATATTTTCTTCTTTGTTACTAGCTTGCTGTTGCTATCGCTTCGCGATGTAGAGCAATATTTATATGTTCCATATTTAAATCGTTGATGTAAGATGTTTGATCAAGAATCAGTTTAAATCATTGCAAATAGTGATAAAATTTTGATCAGTAATTACAAAATAAATTTTACAAATATGAAACCACTCTCCAGCAATATCAAATGATTTTATGTACAAAATTTCTAATATTTCATCTCTTTGGTTCATTTGTTGTTGTTGAATTCTTGTATTCAGGTTCTTGGGAATTTTATTTTTTTTTGTTTTTTTTAAAAGTTGTGTATTTCTTTTTGTCATATATATATTGAATTATGAAAGTCGGACATAGTATCATTATTAAAAAAAATAATTTAGAGGCTGTAAAACTCGGAAGGTTGTTCTGAAAATATAAATACGTTTTCATTGTTATCTAAAAGATAACATAAGATCGGTAGCCAATTTAGAAATTTGTTTACCAAGTCTAGTCCATAATATAACCCCTACTACCCTTATTGGATTAATCAATTTCTGATCAATTTCTCTGGTTTTATATTTGCAGCGGACGCAAGCGTTTTGTTTCTGAGGGCGATGGTGGTCATGTGAAGCCGGCTACCTTGCCCATACGCGATTAAATAGGTATGACGGGGACCTTTATATGCTTATATAACGACTCGACCCCAAGGACACCTAGAAGCAACCGCAGATTAAAAAAAAAAAACAAAAAAACACCAAATTACGAAAAGGAAAAAAATCCACAGGAATAAGCAAACAAAAAAATTGATAAGAAAAGACGAAATGGAGAATTTGTCGCAAATCTTGATATAAAAAAAAGAACCTATCCTTTAACCCGGAAACGGTCACACACACACAAAACAACAAACAATCAATCGGAATTTGATCTCCGTTTAAACTATATTCATAATTATAAATTCTACATAAACACCTACAACGTATATCTTACCTACATGTAACTAAAAACGTAAAGCGGAAGTATATTTTAAAGATTTGTAAAAACGAAATGAGTGAAAAGATCACAAAAAAGATAATCCAGCCAGGAAAATGCAGAAATGAGAATAAAAGCAGTTGTGGGTCTTCTTTCGGTTTGGATCGATCGCAAATGATAAAAGATGGAACAGAACAGCAGCGTACTTAGCACGCTGTCATTATGCCACTTTAAAGCAAAGCATATTACTTATACGAAACTGTTATACACTACACACTCGTACACCCCAAAAAAAGTGGATGAAAAGTTGTATGAGAATTATGTTTAACCAACCATTGTTATACAGCCAAAACAACACACAAATTCCATTGACTTGAAATTCAGAAAACAATTTTGATTACTCCCTAAGCACATCGTCATGATTTATTTCCTTCATTATTTGTAACTTTGTGTGTTTAAATGACTCACCTAATTAAGTTTAAAATTACGTATCACATACATTTACCAACGATTCACTTATTTCTTGCTTGCTCTTTTTTTTGATTGAATAAACGTTGCATTTTATAAGATAAGAAAAAGACTTTTGCTTTCGCCCACTTATATTTTAAATTGTTTACATTTCATGAAGAAAAAAAATTCGAAAAATTTATACACGTACATCCACACATCTATATATAATATATATATCTACATATATATATAAACTATTGTGTTAAAAGCAGATATACATAAAAATAAAACTTAAAAAAAAATTTGTTGGTTTAATAATATTCATTTGGGTGGTATTTAATAATTGAATATTTTTAAATAGCGTAAAAACAATAAAGAACTATTGATAAAACTAAGTTTTTTGTTAAGATTATATACCATTTTTATTCTGTGATTTAAATTCTGATGATTTTTAAAAATATATATATCATATACAAATAAATTCATAAAAAATCAAAGATGTCCCTATAATATCAAAAGCTTAACAGTAAACAGGTGACCAAAGTGTGCCAGTAATCTCCAGATATTTATAAAAAATACGTATTAATTTGGATATGGTAAACCGGGTATTTACTATATAATATAAGTTTTCATTACATACTAATTAGATTTCTAATATAAATACATGTATAAGAAAGAAACACTTTATTGCTTACACTGACATAACTAGTTTGCTTTTGGAGAACTTTAAAGATTTTAAGAACACCTTCAATTTAGTATAGGACAAAAAAATAGATTTTTTCAGCTTAATCTGCTACTGAGCCATCTGGTGGCTCCAGCTTAACGTCGGCGGATCAGGGTCGGTGGGCATGGCCCACCACCGAGGGCGACATGTGCACGGGCGGGCCACCCGGACCGCTGCCCATGCTTCCGAGCAGGGCCACATGCTTTCGGTAGTTGGTGAACTGCTCCAGGTACTGTTTCACCGTGTCCATCGGCTCGAAGATGTCGTTGTGCTTCGCATGCAACTGCTGCTGCCCCATTGCCGTCATTATCGTCTGTGTGGCGAAGTACGAGGGGAAGTCCTTGCCGACTCCGATGCCCAGGAATCCTTGCAACACCTCGCGTATCATTTCCCAGCAGTAGGCCAGTATCACGCACGCCTTGTACTCGATCTCGATTAGGATGCCCTATTAGTAAATGTTAATATTGTCAAGTCGATTTAGGTAAATGTAAAACTACAGAAAGGTTATATTTTTTTCTGGGAATTCCTTTAGATATCCCAATATTTAAAAACAATATATGTATTGTTTAAGAAATATTTTGTTATAACATTGTCAAAATACGAACAAAAGGAGTTAAAATAAATAGATAGTAAAGCAGATTAGTAATACCTTAAAGTGCTTTATTAATTTTAGAAGCTCTGATTTCGAAGGACTATATGGTTAAACGATGGCAGTTTACTGATAACTTAAAGGGCTCCATTCATTTTAAAAGCAATGATTTTGAAGGAGTAAAAATAGATGCAAAGATGGGGGCACTTTGGTGATACCTTAGAGTGCTTTAATGTATTTTCAAAGTTCTGATTTGGAAGGAGTACAAAAACAGATGGTTAGAAGGGCAGTTTAGGGATACCTTGAAGTGCTCCATCATGGTGACTGATCCCAGTTTGATGACGAAATCGCCATACTCGAAACGGGCGCCTCGGGACTCGATTTTGGTTTGCTTCTTGGACGTGAAGGTGTTGGTCACCTTGCCCATGAGCAGATCGAAGCTGTTGTCGGCGACGAGGGCCACCTGTTTGCCGGTCCCGTTGTCGATGATGGAGAACGTGGAGGCGGGATGTTCCGAGTCGTGCAGGACATGGACGGCACGTCCTGGAGAACCATTGTGCGGCTGGGGCGTCGAAATGTACGTTTCGCAGTCCACCAGAAATTGACCGGCATGTGTGGCGCCAAGCGAAAGCAGTCGTTTGCTCAGCTGATCGATAATGTGCGCCCCCGATTTACCCTCGGGCAGGGGGTATGGTTGCAATACAGTGACACCCATACTTTATTTTTAACAATTAAGCGAATAATTTGGTTTTAAATGATACTAATTTTTATTTGTTTACTTTTGCAAGCCGTGTTTCGGCAGTGTGACCATTGATTGCTTTAGTTGGAAAAACCAACAGGGTTGCCAGAAGTTTTGCAATTGTATTCAAATATTTAAAAGCTGAAAAGGTAAAAAATATATAAATTTTCTTATTCGGGCCTGGAAAAACACTCAGATATTGGAGAAAGATATATTTTCTAAAACGTTTATATGAGCATCTTATGAGTTTAGGAAATTGTCATGAAATTTCTATAAAGATAATTTTAAAAATTAATTCAATATACAATACGTGTTTTTTGGCGAAATCAACAGATTTAAAATTAACAAAATTAAATAAGTCACTTAAGGTCAAGTTTGTTCTGTGTACCTATTTTAAAATTAAATTAAATTAACGGCCAGAACTGCCAGTGTGTCCCCACCTGAGCCATTAGAAATTCAGATTTTGACATTTACCAGTTTACCGAATACGGTAACACTGCATTCTTTTTTATTTTGTTGTTGCTATTTTGATCATTTATTAAATTTTGCACAAAGTACGCGCCATTTGGACGCTTTTTGGACCTTTTCCCCGGGCATTTCGAACATCAGCGGAACTTGGAGGTGTTTTTATGCCGGATTTTATTTGGAAATCAGGTGCGCTTGTATATTTAGCCACCAGTTGTTGTCCAATTCGCATTTCCACGCCATCCCAAATTGTTATTTTATCGCGCGCGCCTTTGGATTTATAAATATATATATCCCAATCGGAGTCAACAACTCCAATTTCTGTCCGCCAGGATGTCGCAGGGAAAGATTGGTGCCAATGTGGCTGGCATGACAGCGGAAATAGAAGAGATTCTCTCGGATTTTTGCATCTGCATTCAGGGCAAACAGTCGCCCGAACTTCACGGTAAGATTTTGGGATTACTCATTGATTGTCCACAAGGACATTGCTTTTGGTCTTCATTCTTGTGTTCCTCTGCATCATACTTATTTCTGGAGTTACCGAAGAATCTCCAAAGATATCGAGAATACTAGGAATGGACCATGTCAGATAGTAATCTAAACAGTAGAGGAGTCCATGGAATGCAACTATTTTGGGAACCTATGCTAAAATAAATAACCAATTAATCCATGTTTTACGAAAATGATAAAATATTTGGATAGATTACATATATTTGTATATATAGAAGTACATATACAGCTGTGGTCATGGAAATAGTGACATTGGCTTATGAAAATAGCATTCAAAACTAGTATTGATGAAACTTTTGAAAAAATTGTTTATATATTCACGAAGCTAATACTTTAAACTTAATGAGGAGCATATAAAAATCCACATTTATTATTAATTTGTATTATATTTTAAAAACATTTAATATTTTGTTCATCTTCACATTGTTTTGGCATATAAATGTTTTCAATACCTGATTTTTTTAAACTGAAAATTTAGTTTATAATTTGTCTTTAATTAAGGTTTTTTTTAAAGTATTTTAAAATGGTATATGTATGATAAAGGTGTGTGTGTGTGTACTAGCTTTACGAATATATTGAAACCTTTTCAAAAGTTGTTCCAAAGTATTTTTGATTTCAACTACAACATACAAATTCTCTGAGGTTCAAAAAGTACACAATATATTGAGTTTCCAAACTTACAATATACTTTTTATATTTTTTCAGTATTTTTTGTGTTTTAATTTGGTAATTAAGGATATATGTAGTTGTGCTGGAGAATTGAAAGAAGACAAATGCATATAAATACCAATTTGTTGAAGGGAAAGAAAATAAGTATTATATTCGGTGGTTTTAATATATGTGTCTATCCTCCACAGAACTCGCATTGGCCCGAGCTGCTCAGTGTTTGGCCGCAAATCCTGGTAACTTCCGCCATTCGATACCTTTTGCCGAACGTGAATGTGTCCAGAAGATAATGAAGATCCTGAATGCCAGGGAGAATGTGGACGGATTTAATGTGGCTGGCAAATTCTACGCCATCTACGGCAGATTTCTGCAGATTAAATTCGATCCCTACCTGAGGCATTCACTGATGGGCTATCTGCTCTCACTGGCAGACAAATCCGTGGAGTGGTCTGGTGCAAATGGAGACTCCTCCTCCTCCTCGCCGTCATCAGTCACCAAACTTGATCGTGAATCGGATAATCTTCGTCAGGTTTTGAGCAGTCGAACGTCCGCCAGCACACATCGCAGTTCATCGAATGGCTCTTCCACCGCATATACATCTAGCAAACAGAATGGCAATGGCAACGGCAATGGCAACGGCAATGGCAATGGCAGTGGAGTGACCAACGGTGGCAGCGTATACAGCTACGATGCCTCACAATCCAGCCTGGGATTGGGCCAACAGCCCATGCCCAATTACCTGAGCACAATTGAAGCACAAAAGAATCCCGAAGTCATGCAGGATATAGTGACAAATGCCGTTTACTCCTTCACCGGCGTCCAAGGGAAATATCTAAAGAAGGACATAGTCTCGGGACGTTTTAAGCTCGATCCGCTGAACATCAAGGCACTGACCATCGGCCAGGCGGGCATGTTGGTGCGTCTTTCCGAACTTGGCTATTACCACGATCGCGTGGCCAAGTTCGCGGACGTGACGACTGGCTTTAATGCCATGGGCTGCATGGGTCAGGCCCTCATATCGAAACTCAAGGAGGAGCTAAGTGACTTCCATGGCCAGGTTTCCGTGCTACACGACGAACTCAATCGCCACCGGGAGGCCCGTCTGCGTGGTGATGGCGGTGGCGATGGCGATGGCAATGGCAATGAACTAACGCTGTTCAAACTGCTCGCCTGGTACATGAAACCACTGCACCGGATGCAGTGGCTCACCAAGATCGCCGATGCCTGCCTGATGAAGAAGGGCGGTGATTTGGCATCGACTGTTTACGATATGCTGGACAATGGGAATTCGATGGTCAGGGAATTGGTCAATCAGTTGATGACCGCCATTTGTGGTCCGCTGGTGCGCATGATCTCCACATGGATGCTGGAGGGCGGCATTTGCGATCTCTACGGCGAGTTCTTTGTGGAGTCGCTCAACGAAGTGGGTCCGGATCGGCTATGGCACGATAAATTCCGCCTACGGTGGGCCATGCTGCCCAAGTTTGTGCCCCTGGAACTGGCCAATAAGATTCTCAAAACGGGCAAGTGCATTAGCTTTCTGAGGGAAATTTGCGAGACGCAGGAACTAGTCAAAAGTCGTGATCAACTCAAGCAGATCATGGACAACAATGGTAAGTGGTTTGTGGTTGGCGGTTGGCAGTTGGCGGTTGGTGTTTCTTACAAAGTGTTATTGTTATTTTCTTGTTTCTTCACAGTTGCCCACATCTTTTCTTACGTGCCAGACACTAGTTGGCATGCGGCTGTGGAAACGTGCTACCAGCAGACCTCCAAACATGTCCTCGATATCATGGTCGGTCCACACAAGCTGTTGGATCATCTGCAAGGCATGCGTCGCTATTTACTGCTGGGCCAGGGCGACTTTGTCAGCATTCTCATCGAGAATATGAAGTAAGTTTCATACTAAAATCAATCAATCAATCAATATATATATATATATTTATGTATTTATACAAAACCAACTTGCAGGGATGAACTGGAACGACCGGGCGTTGATATATATGCCCACGATCTGTCAGCCATGTTGGATGTTGCTCTCCGGTGCACAAATGCCCAGTACGATGATCCGGATATACTGAACCACCTCGATGTGGTGGTGCAGCGGCCCTTCCCCGGGGACAATGGCTGGGACATCATCTCCCTGCAGTACATCGTCCATGGACCATTGGCCACAATGCTGGAGCCCACCATGCCGGTGTACAAGACGCTCTTCAAGCCCCTCTGGCGCATGAAGCACATGGAGTTCGTGCTCTCGAAGAAGATATGGAAGGAGCAGATGGCCAACGGCAAGGTGAGTGGCTGACCTGGCAATTAAGCTTCTTATCTGCGTCCCACAAGTGCATGCACATATTTAAATAGAACCCCGCTGACCCTAAGATTGTACATGGTCCAAAGTAGACTGCTTCAAGCGGGCAGAAAACTGAGGTTTTTACTTTCAAATTTGGCATTCAATTTTGAACACTGTGTGCCGCCGTTTTCACAACTTTTGTTGTCGCCACACTTTATTGGTAATCTCCAATAATCGACATAAAAACCTTTAAAATGGTGTGCTCAAAAAGAAATTTTAGATGATTATCTTATCTTTTTCTTTTGACATCTCATTTTGATTTTAAACGAAATTAGCTGGCAATTTGTTTAAACGATTTAGGTATATTACAATTTTATAAAATTGAAACTAAGGGAGTTTAATAGAAATGTAGAAAAGTATTTGCATTCAAGTATCCTAAGTAAAAGTAATACACCAATTTGAAGTGATTAAACTTTTTTAATGGTCTGAATACATTATTAAATATGTCTAAAATGTCTGGCATTTGCAATATATAAAATGTTGCAATTGGCAACAATCTCAAAAATGAGTATCTTTTATACGAATTTGCTTGCTTAAAATTATTCAAGGTCTATGACATTCTATTTACTAACCTAAATAACCTAAAATAAAGCTTTATCTACCATGAAAAGCTACAATGTTCCTGATATTGATGCTTTCCAAAATCAAAGATTAAACGAATCCATGGATTTATACAATCAAAAAGTTTCACTGGCAACACAGATGTGAGAAATCTATGTTAAAAGGAAGTCCAGTCGCAGTTCGAAAGAAATTGCCTATAATAACCATTGAGATAAGATTGCCCACGTAATCTAATCCGCTGCGATTACCCACTTACCGATAAACCATTCAATAGTATCAAAGTGCACAAGAATTTGTCGTTTTCGCCTTATGTATTATTTTTCTAGTTTTGTAGACGATTTCCCGTACAAAAATAACATTAATTATGTGGTGAAACAAAAACACGAATACAGATTACAAATTACACACGAAAAAAAAAAATATAGAACACACACACACACACACACACTGTGTTGTTGGTGAGGAATGTGCAGGATGTGTGGGACTCTGGGGATCCTTTTACAACTTGGCATCGGTCTTGAGGAGGGGCGCCAGTTTCTGGGTGAGCATGATGTTGCCGGCAATCTTCAGTTTGCCCTTCATGAAAGCAGCCTGGGGATTCAGTTTGCCGAGGGCGATGTCAACCATGTCCTCGTCGGCGACCGTCAAGGTGGTGTCCACCTTGATGCCCTGGGCGGGTCCCTCATAGGCCTTGGCGTTCTTGCAGTCCAGAGCTGTGGGGGCAAAAAAAAGAGCATTATGAGTACAAATTTTCACTGACTTTAAAGGTCTAAGGGTCAAACGGCCACGAGGTTGTGGCTCAAACGAATCTTGGTATTTTTTGTATACATTCTATGCTTCTTAACATATATTCTTTTATCAAAAACATCACACAAACTTCCTACGAATTGTTTAGTATGTAATAAAATCCCAGTTACTTTTTTAATACATTTTGCATATACAGTGATTTGTTGAATTTTAAATATATTTACTGCCTTAAGTTCAAAGGAAATGTTTATGACTCTCATGCCATTTGAATACCCTTTATTTGCATTCATTGATTTTATTCTTATAGGTAACTATTAATAAACAATTTTTTTTTTTTTTAAATCGTAGCTTTGAGGTTGAACCTAAGGCATAGACATAGTTTACTTCTAGATACATTACTAATGAATGAAAAAGTTCAAAGACGACAGAAAACAGGGCTCTCTCTAAATAAAATTGATGTTTTTGCCGCAACAAGTTTTACATGCATCTTTTTTTTTTTTTTTTTTTTTTGATGAAATGTGCAATACAAGTAGTGATTGTGTCTATGCCACAATAGCTGGTGCCGAAGTACAAACACAGTGCACTTTGAACTGTGGCTACCAGAAAATGCAAAACGCGCACGCAAAGACCACGTACTCCCGGCGACAGAGTCGGAACCCAGGGGGGTTGTCAACTAACGGTACTTAACTGCCCCCCTTAAACAAAAAAAATTTGTGTATTGAATGTAACTTCAACACGAAATCATTATAATTGGAATATTCAACTAGAGCAGACCCATTTAAAATCATTACAATTTTAATTTTCAACTGGAGGAGACCCCTTAAAATGACGCCCCTGTTCTGTTGAGGGTGTGCCTTCCTTTTTTTTTTTTTTTGGGGGGGAGGTAGGGGAGTCGCGCAATAAGCGATGAGGCGGCTACTTACTCCACTCCTTGGCCACCTTGCCGTCCTTGGTGATTTTGTAGAGGAACACTCCGTTGACCGACTTTGCCTTGGCCTCGTTCTCCTTCAGGCCATCGATGATCTTTTGGAAAACGGCGTCCGACTGCAGCGACATGGTTGTTGTGTGTTTTCTGTGTGTTTTTTTTTTTCCGGGAAAAAAATAAAATAAAATCAACGGTTGGTTCGTTTTATGTGCGCCGTGAAAAATGCTTACGATTTGAGCGGAGAACGCGAAATAATGAGCAGACAGCCTGTAAACGTCGATTTTATTGTGGCTTTTTTTCACTTTACTCCCCGCCCGGAGAGAGCGAGATGGCGATACGGTGTGAAGCCGGTCAGCTATGCCCCACTTGCTCACTCTCATTGCTTTTGCATATGGTGTCGGAGTTCTTGTACTCTCGTACTCTCTCCCTCTCGCAAAACTGTTAGCCAGCTGATGCACAGTGGGTCGAACCCATCAAATTGACTCTATATTGGCAATAAATGATCCGATTGGGGAGTTGACAAAATTGTTGATTCTGCTTACCCAAATCATATACATCAATTTTATTTACATTTCTTAATTTGACAAATTAAACCATTAAAAAGAAGTAACTATACTCCCTTAAACCAAGACTTTTCAATATATAAGACCGAATAATATATTTTCCAATGGTACTCTTCGCACTGTCTACGATTAAGCAATTAAGAAATATAGAAATTGGGTACCCTAAACAAATTCAAATTCTTTTGGAAGATTGTGAAAATTTTGACTGTTTTGACCACCTTTAAACCACGGTTTCAGGTGTGGAGTTTAGACTTTAACATAAACATGATACGCTTAACATGGACCTTTAACAGCGGTTATCAGCTGTTGACCATGGCTGTTACCACGCTCCTTGGTCCAAGTTTTAGTGCAAAGTGCGCACCAAGTTTGAAATGCCCATAAAACGGCGATAAGACTTGAAGAGTCTTCAGATTATTCGGCAAAAAATATGTCGCCTCACGAGCTCATTCAAGAAATATTATTAACCCTACTACCTTTAGAAATTTTTTTTTTTAATATGATTTTGTTAAATATCCCTATCAACAAAAGAAAAAAAATACCTACCAAGTTATATTCCTTATTTAAAAATATTTATAAAATACATTCATCTATAATTTTTCTCTGATAAACTGAGCTTACCTCAAACTACAAGTCAAAATTATTGAAGACATTAATAGTCCAATTAAGTTTTATAAATCATATTATAGAAGTCAACCTTTGATTTTACAGGGACTTACAGTACGATTTGTATTGTAGAAGTTTGCTTATATTTAGCCCATGAATGCCTACAAAACGGATACATTTACCATTACTATTATCTTGCATAGATTACAACATTTCTGATAGTAAATGCAGCATTACGTTTGTATAGGATTAAACGACGAATGGCGTGTGTATTTAAATCAGCTCAATTTCCTGAGGCGCTCTCGAACTTCTCCGGATCGATTCCGGCCTTTTTCATTTCCACGGCAATGGAGAACAGATAGTCATAGCATTCCGACCTGTTTGTTTTTTTTTTTTTTTAGTTTTGGTTTTGGAGTAGATATAGGTTTGGGGTTAATAAGGATACTTGGTAGATGAAATAGGTGAAAACCCACATGGTTTTGGCGCTCTCCCAGTTCTTGCCCCAAACGTAGACGCCATGCCGTCGGACCAGGATGGCACTGCAACCGGGATGCTCCATCATGGCGGCGTACATGCTATCGGCAAGGTCGCGCTCGAAGGGTGTGTTCTCGATGATTGGGACGACCAGTTGGTCGTCGTAGCGCAGATATCGCTTATCCGCCTCATCGTACACGCCCTTGATCATCTCCAAGTGGGTGCAGCGGAAGGTTTTACCCGGCCACAGTAGCGTGGCCATTACGGCGTGCTGCGAATGGGTATGGATAACGGCTCCGGCCTGGCGATGTTGATAGGCCAACATGAAGAGCGGCGTGCACTGGCTCTTCTTCAGGCCTCTGATCTCCGGCGGCAGCTGCAGATCTATGCCAGTCATGTCCTGCACAAACAGATCCTCCGGTTGCATGCGCTCCTTCTGCACGCCCGATGGTGCTATGTAGATCTCATCACTGCAAAGGTGGGATTGGGATATGGTTGGGTAGAATAGGTGCTATTTTTCTGACCGGTAAACTTACTTGTGTTTTATGCTCATGCCACCGCCTGTGCCGGTTACCCATCCCAAATGATAGAATTGCCTGCATAGCGATGGAATCAGGTGGCGTGGATGCTCCGCCGGCAGATCTTTAAAGATCGAAAGGGCCATCGCGCTGACAACGTGACTTTTCGAGTCGAGGCACTGATAAGAGAGATAATGGAAATCTTCTAAAAGCAACGAATCACGAATGTAAACAATCTACAAACGATAGTCCTGCCTATCGACTGCAAGTTGCAATCGAATATGGCAGTTGGACAGCGTTGCCAGCTCGCTTTAGGTTTTTTTTTTAAATTTTCGACAAAATTTGAGATGAAGTTTTTTTTTTTTTTTTAAATAGGAGCATGTTTTTTATTTATTATAAATTACTTTAGGTATTGCAAAATGTATAAGCAAATAATTACAGAATTTAAATGTTTTTTGTCTAGAAACAAATATTAAATGTGTATGTGTATCTTATGTTTTTTGCAGACCCTCCATTCGATGAAATCAGAGATCGGCAAACCGTCGCACCGCCTGTACCTCTTCACGTCCGAGATAATGCACTTTATCCACCAGATACAGTACTATGTACTCTTCGAGGTGATCGAGTGCAACTGGGTGGAGCTGCAGAAGAAGATGCAGCAGGCGACGGCCCTGGACGACATCCTGGATGCTCACGAGAAGTTCCTGCGAACGATCACACTGGGCTGTTTCGTTAACACCCAGTCGGACATGAAGAATCTGGAGAAGGTGTACGAGAACATTAGCGCACTGGAGAACTGGCAGTCGCTCTTCTACAAAGATTGCTTCAAAGAGCTGGGCGCCCGCCAGGAACTGGCCAATATAGTGGAGCAATCGGAGAAGGAGGGTGGCTTCGGCCTGACCAACGAGCTCATCTTACAGCGTGATCATGAGCGCAAGATCTTTGCCGAACAGGTGGAAATTGCCAGCCACGGCCTGGAGTGTATTGCATCCGACTACGAAAAGGCCGTCAGCAGTTTCCTAATGACCCTCAACTCCAGCCAAGATCCGAATCTCCAGCTCTTTGGGACTCGACTGGACTTCAATGAGTACTACAAGAACAGGGACACCAATCTGAGCAAGCCGCTGACCTTCGAGCACATGCGCATGAGCAATGTGTTCAGTCAGAACAACAGGAACAGCCGGTTCGTAATCCATTCCCCGGCCACCATCTCAAAGGAATAGCAGGATCGGTCCAACGCTCCAGCAATCACATCATCCCAGTGCCAATATACGAATGATCAGGCCTCACCATTGCATCCAGTCCAACTGTTGTTAAATATTTGAGATATCACAATACCATTGAAACTAGGCAAACGAAACAAACGAAAGCAATCAAGCAAACTAATCCAACTAGTAACTAAGCTATTTTTGCACTCATATGTACACACATATATCTCAAGCATTTCCGTCAATCGGCTGGCTGCAAGCCATCAACTTCAATATATCTCGAATATTTATCTCTCATCTCTCATTTTTTTTTGAGTAGTTGTAATCGAAAAGTATTAAACGGAGATTCGTTTGTCGAGAGGCGCACATTGTTTTTAAAATCCCCTAATTTTTGTACATCGAAGGCTGTCGTTGCGAACAGGTGCGATGGCACAACTAAAGCTTATTTAAAACTTGTTTCTGTAAGTGAGTTTGTCAATTGCCCAATGGTAATGAAAACGTAAAGGATAAGAGAATGTTATGGATTTTAAATGGAAAAGTTAGAGAACGTTTTAAAATGTTAATGTTTTGAACAGTTTTAAATCGTAATGCGAGCTCTAAATAAACGCTTAATTGCATTGAAAGTTTCTTTAAATATACGTGTTTCATTTTCATTTAGTTATAATAATAACTTACGGTGTACTTTATTTTAATATTAATTTTATTTATTAACAGTCACCCTATCTGCTTCTCGCTCTGTTTCAAAACTTGTTGCTCTTTATCGGATTTAAATTCGATTGGCCTGCAGGAGATCGATAGCTTGCGGCCCATCACTGTTATCGATATATCGGCCAGTGGCCTTGTTTTGCGGTATGTTTTCGGCCGTCGCCATCTGGCCACACCACATCGATGTTTCCTTTTTGCAGCAACTTTTTGCAGAAAAAAAAAGAAAACAAATCGGAAAAAGACGGAAGTGAGTGTTTTCTGCTGCCGCCGGTGATGTGTTGAAATCGCCTCGCCAAGATAGTCAAAGTGAATACCCGTTTGCAAGCCGAAGTAATCGAGAAAACAAACAAAGAGCAAACATGGCACTGAAGAAAGTGAAGGGTAACTTTTTCGAGCGTATGTTTGATAAAAACCTCACCGATTTAGTGCGCGGCATTAGGAACAACAAGGATAATGAGGTAAGCGTGTCCCTTCGAACAGGCTCCCTCCCCTTTACGCCCTGTCCCCCGCTTAACGCCCCCCACAGCCACGCCCCCGTCGCCCAGCTGTGCGTCCAATTAGAACTCGCTAATTGGCTGACAAATTTCGTTTGCATTAAGGGAATCTTATTAGAGTTTCGTGTGCATGCGTGTGTGTGTGTGTGTGGGTGAAAGTAGCTATGTGTGTGTGTGTGTGTGTGCGTCGGCATCTGCCAACAATGCAAAAGGAAAAGCAGGAAAATTTGCCAAAAGAGCCACAAAACTGAACGCAACTCCCACCTCACTCATTTAATTAGCGGCAAGTGCTTTTATCAAATATTTACCCACATGTGAGGTCCCCCGCCGATTGCCATTTTGGTCCTTATCAGATGTTTTTCGGCAGGATCAACTAACGGAACTCACCATCTTAGGCACACAGAGAGAAAAATATTCAAGATTAATGATTTAATTTATTTTTATTGACCAAATACCAGATGGATATCGAATTGATATGCAAAGATTCACAAAACAATATACTAAACATTTTATATTGATATTTATGTATTAAAAAATGATTTAAAAGCCTGTAAAATAAAAATTATTTTTTGTGCAGTGGGTGGATTTGAACCTAAACCATTTGGGTAAAAATTTATTTTATACATATATCAAAAAAACAAAACGAATTTTTTAAACAGTTTTTTATGTTAAATTAAACATTGAGAGTATTTAAAATGCTGCAAAAATATTAAAACTCATTATAATTTGGACACATGTATTTTTAAAACTTTTTTGAACTCAAATCCGTTCTTCTATTATTAGATTAAATATACATTATATCGCCAGCAAATCTATAATATATCCCATTTAACTTATGAAGATATTGTGAGGAATTAAACTATTTATTTATTAAAACTACGCATTTGGACTTCATATCGAGCTGTTTTTTTTTTGCTGTGTGCGTTCTAAGCGCTGATTTACAACAGTAGTTAAATTAATAGCAGCACTTTTAGGCGACCATCCATATCCATCCCATTAAATGCAGTGCAATAAGTTACGAACTGTGATGAGATGAGATCCAAATGAATCTTATATTCTTGTATTATGTTGGCTTATAATTAATATTTATTACTCATCAGTTTGTTAGGGTTCTATGTTCTCAAAAGGATAATACCAAATATCTTTTAAAACACGTTTAAAAATTTAAAATTTGTTTTTTTTTTGTTTCGAGGTAATTACGTAAAATAGATTTAGCTATTAATTAGTTTAGATTTAGATTAAAATGCAATATCACTATTGTGTTGCTTGCAACTGTATGTTTTGGAATTTTTGTTTACTTGATTTTGCCTCTGTTGCTGTGTGCATGTTGGGGGTATAGAACTGATAGCCCCTAGACGATTGTTTTATGATTTGCTGCCATTGCACATTTCGAATACTACCAGTATAGTATATACATATACATATATATTGATGGACATTTACTTTCTCCGCAGGCCAAATACATATCGACGTGCATCGAGGAGATTAAACAGGAGCTGCGACAGGACAATATCAGTGTCAAATGCAATGCGGTGGCCAAGCTGACCTACGTAAGTTCATCAGCCACCGTAAATCCCATTTCTCACACAAACCACATATGTACACTTTAGCCCACCGACTTGGAATTCTTGAGCCCAGGGTAGACTTCAAACCATTAATTAAGTTTATATTTGAATGTAATTCGATAATTATAATAATGGTGCAGCATAGGCTTTTAAAACTTTGTAACATTTGTATTATTTTGTATTATCCATATGTAAGTTTCATGAAAATCTGTTACACTCCGTATGGATTTCGTTGGAAAAAATAGCATATATTTTAGATTTTTAGTAACAAAAAAAAAAGTTTAAATAACTTGTGCAACCCAAAGAGGCTTAAAATTCGCTAAAAGACTCCTAGTCGTTAGATTAGAAAGTGCAGATGCAGCGTGCATGCCTTGGAATCAAGTTCTATCCATTCAAAGTCGGCAAAGTGCCTAGCTGTACTTAATGCAAATTGCCTGGGGTGTGGGCGCCCTTGAAGGCGTGTGTGACAATAAGGACAAAAACAGCAACAGCCAGAAAAATAACAACTGAATCGGCGGAAAGAAGGGGGGCAACAACAAAAGCCCACCGCCCACACGGTGGCCAACTAACAAGCGATCCGAAAAGATGCCATCAACAGCATGTAGCTGTTACAGTTGTGGTGCTAATAATAGCAATTGCAGTCGAGAAAATAATTTTTGTTCTTTTTGATTTTTAATTTATTAAATTTAGAATCATTACAATTTTTCTATTTTTCTTTTATAGGCTTAAGAGATTTTATAAAATGAGATTACAATGAGATTGGAAATTTTTATGCACATTTAAAAATTTAAAACTCTTAACCTTTTCTCTGTACAAATATTACATTTATAAGTATAAACATCAATTTATGTCATTTCTTTTAGTTTGATATTTCCAAAAATTTGAATAATTTTAAAAGTTGTACAGCAAAATATTTTTGAATTTAAAAGAAAATGGTGATTTAACAATTATTTTACCCCCGGGCGTAAAGTAGTGAAAACGAGATGCAGCAAAAGTGATTTCAATGCTAACGAGTCCTTGTGCCTATCCTGCACACACGTTTATTAAGCACACACACACACACACACAAGAAAGACTTTCTTTCACTTTTTCACACCCCATACAATCAGCAGAAAATGTTAATATTTATTGATTTGATTTTGATTTTGATTTCAATTTCGACCTCGACAGATACAAATGTTGGGCTACGACATCTCCTGGGCAGGCTTCAACATCATCGAAGTGATGAGCTCGTCCAGATTTACCTGCAAGCGAATTGGTTACCTGGCGGCCAGTCAATGTTTTCATCCGGATAGTGAGGTAACCCAGTCTCCAAGTAAAAACAAAAGGGAGAAAATGATTTGTTTAGATTTCTTATTAAAGCATTTTATATATGAACATATACAAAGCAATACCAAAATAGCTTGAAATCGATATGTCCTTAATAAAAGTACCTGTTTAATTTTAAAATTTATTTAGGTAACTATTCTAAAATGGCGAAGAAAAACTATCTATTCAAAAACAAAAAAAAACATATAGCTTTAATTTTGTTTTGTTTTTGGATTGATGGATTAAAGAAATCATTTCAAAACATTTACTTTTATTAAAAATTAAATAACTTTTTCATATTATAGGCATGTACTTTTTAATAATACATAACGAAATGTAATTTAATTGATTTTATTTTGAATTTAATTAAACTTTGTAACATTGCAGCTGCTCATGCTGACCACGAACATGATTCGCAAGGATCTCAACTCACAGAACCAATACGATGCGGGTGTGGCATTGAGTGGATTAAGCTGCTTTATATCACCCGATCTGTCCCGCGATTTGGCCAATGATATTATGACATTGGTATATAATAATTATATAAATATAATGTTAGATATGTGAATTAATCTCAAATACACTAGATGAGCTCAACAAAACCGTATCTGCGCATGAAAGCCGTCCTTATGATGTATAAAGTATTTTTACGCTATCCCGAAGCATTGAGACCTGCATTTCCCAAACTCAAGGAAAAACTAGAGGATCCAGATCCAGGTTTAATCGATAATCTGCACAATATTGTGCAGCAATTGGCGCGAATTTGAACTTAATTGTTTTGTGTTTCGGTCTCTTTTAGGTGTTCAATCAGCTGCCGTGAATGTTATTTGTGAGTTAGCGCGTAAGAATCCAAAAAACTACCTGCCCCTGGCGCCGATCTTCTTCAAGCTAATGACCACATCGACAAACAATTGGATGCTGATCAAGATCATCAAGCTGGTGAGTGATGCTCCACTACACTGGCCACCAACGATTCACATTGATTACTTTACTCTTAAGTTCTGTTTTAAGTATGTATCTTTTCGTTTTCGTTTTCGTTTGTTCACACGGACAAACACCGATTTATTTTTGCTGTATATGTATATAATACGTATACTTTTCTATATACGACAATGAATTTTTGTCTAACAAAAAGTTAATTAACACTACAACTACTCCTCCCCCTCTCCTCCCTTTTGCTCCCGCTCCAAACAAACAAACAAAAAAATATATATATATATAAAAAAAAAAACAAACAAATACTAATGAAAACCGAATGAAATGCCAAATAAAAATCAAATGAATTTTAGTTCGCGAGCCTCACGACAATTGAACCGGCGCTGGGACGCAAATTGACTCAGCCCCTAATTGAAATTATTTCCAGGTTTTTATCGGCGCGCTTTTCTTTAATCAGACCAACGACAATTCCAATCCAAACTTAATTAAAAAACCAGCACGCGCTTTGATTTACTCTAAAGCATTTTACTATTTACAAATTTAGTTTTTGATCAACCCTTATCGTTTCGTTGGTATATATTTTGGTCTCCTAATTGTTTAAATGGAAGCAACACAGATATTGTATACTTTAGTAATTATTTCCTATGTTTTATGTTAATTGAATAATCCAAGGCAAAGCTGCATGGGGTGAAGATATATATGTTGTAGATAACTTTTATTTGTTAAAATACTCCCAATATTACTTCACCTTTTGCAGTTTGGCCGGGATCTATATCATATTAACCACACTTTACACTCAAAACCCAATCACACACCCAAAACACATGAGCGTCGTAATTGATTATAATAATTGTATTGAAATAAACCAAAGTGACTTTGCAATTTCAATGACACACAACGTTTTTACAACCATTTTGATGCACATGATGTTCCATATCCCTTCAAATGAATAAAGCTTAAAGAGATTAAGAAAAATAAATTGGATTAAATATGTAATGTGCCTTTGTAAAGGAAAATTATTAACGTAATCTTTTCAGAAAAGTACATATATTTTAGCATTGAACACGTTCCAATTGCAAGCATACTTCGGTCTAAAAACTTTTTTAAACCAATTCAAAGTATAATTTTAAAAGTATCTTGTTAAATCTTTGTCTTTAAGCTTATATTCATTCGCCTTTTTTCACCACCGCAATCCACCACGTCGTACAACTTTGGCTTTATTGTGTTTAAAAACTGCTTCATTCGCTTGATTTAATAACAGAAAACTTAAAACCATAAAATGAATACCAATTAAATTGTACAACTTGTATTTCGCTACAAAAAGAAAAAAAAAAAACAAACACCCAATACCCTGAGATACTCCAAATATAAAGACATATCAACAATGACATCCGATCCGGAAGGAAAAGGACCACACCAAGAGTGATAAATGAAGAACGACTGACCCAAACTCACAGCCAGTTTAAGAGAAAGAGAAATATATTCTTTAGAGTTTTAATTTACATTTTGTTTAAACATTTTATTTTTAATTTAGTTTTCGGTTTTAGCTTTAGTTTTAGTTTTAGTTGTGGATAAGGACGTTGATGTTTTCGATTGTATGTAAATTATAATTTTTTGCTTGTTTCTTTTTCTCTTTGCATTTGCAGTTTGGCGCTTTAACCCCCTTAGAACCCCGGCTAGGAAAGAAATTAATAGAACCACTCACAAATCTAATTCATAGGCAAGTCTTAAATCATTGCAAAACAATCAAACAAACAAACAAACAAAAAACGAATGAACTGAACCTAAAAAATACGATTTCCTCGAATGTGTGTGGAAAATGATTGCAACAAAGCAAGGCGAAAGCAAAGAATCGAAAACACAATGTGACCGATTAATGGCCGATTACTATCGATCGATTGATAATTTGAAGCTGCTCGATGATTGTGCGACTGAATATTATATATATATTAGTTTTTTATCATTTAACTGTACAAATTTTCTAGCTTTTTATGTCCGTTACCTATCAAGCTCTCTTTCTCTCACTCTCTCTCGAATTTAAAACTGTCGCCATCCTGCTTTAGTTTGTATTTGTTTTAGTTTTGTCTCTCTCTCTCTTTTCATTGTTTGCTTATCGATAGTTTTGCTTATCGAGCACACTCATTGAGAACAAAAGATATTAACTAGTAAAGTCGTATTAAGCGAAACCCAAAAAAAAAAAAAAACAAAAAAAAAAATGGAATCGAGCCGTTGCAGTTGTTGTTGTTGCTGTTGTTGGTTTTACTTTTTTGGTTGCCTTTGCTGCGTTGCTTCGCAATCTTGTGTTTTCCTATTGTCTATCGCAATAATCGCTAATTGTTATTGCTATCACTATACTGCTATCGGTATTGCTGCTGTTCTTGTTGTTGTTGTTGTTGTTATTGCCATTGCTATTTGCTATTGTTGTAGTGCAATGTTTGTCGCTTTACCGCTGCTTACTCTTAATACAAGTTCCTTTTTTTTTTTTCTCAAACTAATACAAACCAAAAAAAAAAAAAAAAACAAACCGAACAATCAACAAAAAAACCAAAACAAAAACGAACCAAAACCAAACCCAACTCACCCAACAGCACCTCGGCGATGAGTCTCCTGTACGAGTGCATCAACACGGTGATCGCGGTGCTCATCAGCATCAGCAGCGGCATGCCCAACCACAGTGCCTCCATCCAGCTTTGTGTGCAGAAGCTGCGCATTCTCATCGAGGATTCGGACCAGAACTGTACGTATATAACGCTTTTGTTTTATATTTTTCATCCTTTTAGTCACAAAGACTTTTGAAATTCCTTACAGTTTATTTTCCCATTACATTTTACTCATGTATATATATTTTTCGTAATCATTTACTTCTCATTTTAATTGAACTTAAGAATTCGCGTTCAAATAATTTTAAATTATAAAGAAATTTTTATTTTTTACTGTCCAGTTTAAGGAAATTTGAATATTATAATATAATATAATATTCTTATTATATTCAAAATTATTTTTCCTCTCCTTCGTACTGAATATTTCAATATTTTTGAGACTTTTTAAACTAAGAAATTTGCGCTTTAATAATTTGTAACGTTTTTGAATAGAAAAGTTACCTCATTATATTCAAGATTAAACTTGAAGTTCTAAGAAATCACGAAATATTATTGTATTTAGTAACACTTGCTAATATTTATGATTTCTTATAAAGGGATTGGATTTTTTTCCTTTTGTAGATAAAAACTTTTTTTATGTGGGACTGGATTGGCTTAAGAAAAACCACATTATATATAGTTTAATTTTAAATATGTCCTTTCGCAGTGAAATACCTTGGACTGTTGGCCATGTCGAAGATCCTGAAGACGCATCCGAAGAGCGTGCAGGCGCACAAGGACCTAATCCTCGCCTGCCTGGACGACAAGGACGAATCGATTCGTCTGCGCGCCTTGGATCTGCTGTACGGCATGGTCTCCAAGAAGAATCTAATGGAGATCGTCAAGCGATTGCTGGGCCACATGGAGCGGGCGGAGGGCTCGGCGTATCGAGACGAATTGCTCTACAAGGTGATCGAGATATGCGCCCAAAGTTCCTACCTGTATGTGACCAATTTCGAGTGGTATCTCACGGTGCTCGTGGAGCTGATTCAACTGGAGGCGGGCTCACGGCACGGCCGTCTCATTGCCGAGCAGCTGCTTGACGTGGCCATCCGTGTGCCGGTGGTGCGGCAATTCGCTGTCAACGAGATGACCAACCTGCTGGACACGTTCACCGTCTCGACGCAGAGTAACTCCATGTACGAGGTGCTCTATGCCGCCGCCTGGATTGTCGGCGAGTTTGCCGGCGAGCTGGAGGATGCAGAGAAGACGCTCAACATTCTGCTCCGTCCAAGGCAACTGCCCGGCCACATCCAGGGTGTCTATGTGCAGAACGTTATCAAGCTGTTCGCTCGCCTGGCCACCACCTGCTTGGAGCTTCAGGATCTGCCGGGTTTGGTTAGGGTATGTACATCTCCATCTCCATCTCCATCTCCAACTCCAACTACTCGATCAAACGATTTATCTCTACCATTGCCGTACAGCTTTGTGACCATGTCCTGGATAAGCTGCAACATTTCAATGGCTCCAGCGACATTGAGGTGCAGGAGAGGGCCAACTCCGCCTACATGCTGATCGAGATGCTGCGCAATCAGTTGACCACGACGGACGATGCCATGGCCATCGATATGACGACAGATGGCGGCGCCATTCCGCCACTGGCCATCGAGATTGTCCAGGAGATGACGCTGCTGTTCGCTGGCGAGCTAATACCGGTGGCGCCCAAGGCGCAGCGCAAAGTGCCCCTGCCGGATGGCCTCGATCTGGACGAGTGGATCAATGCACCGCCGCCGGAGGATGCGGCGAGCAGTTCGTCTTCGGAGCACGACAAGGATGAGCTCTTTGTCAGTGCCTCACAGGGCGGCACTGGAATGGAGGGCAGTGGCAGCATTGGCGGTGGCGGCGGCGGCGGCGGCAAGCGGCGCCAGAGTCTGGAGCTGACGCCAGAGCAACTGGAGCGACAGCGGATGGCCCGCCTCATGGAGCAGTCGAACAATCCGCACTACCTCAAGTCCACGCCAACGGCGAGCGGTGGCTCCGCACATGCGGATCAGTATGACAATATCGATGATATACCCATCACGGAGCTGCCGCTGGACATGGAGGGCGTGGCCGCTCTGCGCGTGGGCAGTAAGTCAAGTCCAACAGTTGGCTTTATTTTTATTTAACTATTTTTTTTTTTTCTTTTGCTGCAGTAACCAAGCGATCGGACAAATATCTGCAGGAGCAGCAGGCATCGTCACAAAGCGGCAAAGATGGCAAGAAAAAGCATAAAAAGGGCAAGAAGAGCAAAAAGGCTAAGAACAAAGTGGCATACAATAGTAGCTCCGAATCGGAAGGTGGTAAGTTCGAGTTGCGATCTCCCTTATTTCCATCTAAGATTAATTTGTTGGCCTTGCAGAACCGAAACCCTTGCACATCGTGAACACCACGCTGGACATGCCCGAAGGTGTCTCCATGTCGGACAGCGAGGACAAGGACGGCAAATACGATCCAAATGATCCGCATCGAGCCCTGGACATTGAACTGGACATGTAAGTGCTGCCACAAATGGTCTCCTTCAGTTTTTTAGCTATGTTATTTTTCTTGGCTTAAAAAATCTAAAGTAAAAAAAAATAAGGAACAAAGTTTAACAGCCAACGTAATGGAAATTTTTTTTAATTTAATATTTTTTAATTTGCTTAAATTAAATGTAAATTAATCAAGAATTTAAAAGGATTTCTTATTGAAATAAAAGCAGTATTTGCTAGTTTTAAACAAGAGTTTAGAAATATCTAATTTAAAAGCTTAAATAGTTAAAGTTTATATAATATGATTTTGTTACTATTTAGATCATAAGAATACCCTTCGATTTTTTGTAATTTTAATACACCTTGTAGACCAACTTTCTGTACTTTCGCATTCAAGACAAGAGCAAATATAGGATTTTTTGAGATTTTTATAGATACAAATTACAAATAAAATAACAAATAAAAATCCCATGTAACGATTATCTGAGATTTTACAATATAAAAATCTTAAAAAACGATTATTTTAGGTTCTATATGAACTTAAATTTCTAAAAACGATTATTTTTGATGCTTTTTTTTTGTATAAAAACATAATTTTTTTTTGTATAAAAACATAATGTAGCTCAATTCCTTCATGGTGAAATTTTTTTATATTTAAATAACGATTATCTTATATTTTGTAATCATTGAACAGAACGGACTTCGAGGCGCCCGCGGTAAAATCGTCGTCCAAGAAGTCAGCGGCGGGTAAAGAGAATCTCAAGGTGCCGCCGGAGTTGGCCGGCAGCAGTAGCTCCTCCAAAAAGGACCGGAAAAAGGACAAGGATAAGGATAAGGAGAAGGAGAAGGACAGAAAGATGAAACACCGGGAAAGTAAGCGGGATCGCAAAGAGGCCGCTGTCGCTGAGCCGGTGATCGATCTCATCGATGCCGACACGCCCACTCCTAGTCCCAGCCACCGGTCCATCGCCCCCAGCAACAGCAACAGCAACGACAACAACAACACTTCAAACGTCCTTCCAGATGCCGATGTCGTTGCCGTCGCAAAGCATCATAAAAAAAAGAAGAACAAGGAGAAGTCGTCGCGGGAAGCATCGTCAATGGCCATCATCGATGTGGCGGGGGTGGAGGTGGAAACGGAGGAGTTGGAGGAGCAGCAGGTGGCCTCCAAGGCGCACAAGAAGAAGCATAAAAAGGAGAAGTCGCAGCGCAAGGAGAAAAAGGCTTCCGAATCTGCATCAGCATCCGTATCCGTATCCGCAAACGTAACCGCAAACGTAACCGCAAGCGCAACCTTAGGCGCCAGCGATTACGAACAGCCACTGGGAATCTCAACGCCCAGCAAAGAGATTTTTTAATTGCTAAGCTCCAAGTTCCACTCTTATAATTATTATTATTACTATTATTACGATTGTGTGTGTGTGTCGATTCATTACGCGTTTATGCAAAAGAAAGAGAAGACTTTCCATTTTCGTTAAGTTGAAACTATTGCCTCCCAACAACAACAAAAAAAAAAGAAACTAAACAAATTATCGCTGCGATATAAAAACAAAACCAATATTGAACAAATTGAAATGCTAGCAAAAAAAAAAAAAATAAATAAATAAATAAAAATAAAATAAAACCTAAATCAACATAAACCGTATATTTATATATATATAAATAATTATTAATATATAGAAGTGTAATTTTAAAATGTAAAATGCCGCCAGTCTGCCAATTGCGGCTTAAAAGAAGAATGAAAGCAACAAACGGAAAACAGATAGAGAAAAATTATTAACTATAAATCATAAATCGATGCAGAGATGTTGATAATCATCGATTCGATGTGTATCTATCTATTTTTGATGAATTTGTAGCCTAGAGAGCATGCGATTCCACTAAAAACACACCCACAAAACACAGACAATTATATACATACATACCTATTGTTATATAATATGGAATTTTATAATGAATCCCACACACAGAACAGAACAAACTGCATGGATTTGGATTGTAAAAACAAATTAACTATATGTATACATGTGAACCATATGAATCAAACATAAAGTACTGCTATACCATAATTACTAAAAAACAAAAAACTGAGACAAAAAAAAAACAAAACGGAACAGAAGCTAAGTGAAATTATACATACATACATGCTATATTATATACAAACAACCACACAAACACACCCACATACAAAAATATATAAACGTTAAATAAATGAAAAGTACAATACAGTTGGATATTAATTGTTGTTACATTTCGTTGGTAGTGGAAAAATAATTAATAATTTTTGAATTTCTGATTGATGTTTATTTACAGTTCATCTTAGTTAACAAGTTTACATAATTTTATTTTATATCCTGAAAAAATAGAAATTGTCAGAAACTGAAAGAAAAATCCAATTAAATTTTTTATTAAAAGAATTTCAAAGTTTTCATTTTCAATTTAATTTATTAAATACAAAAAATGGAATGAAATAACAAGAAAAATAAAATAAATTCCGCTTTGAAAAAGAAAATAATAATTATAAATTTCCTTAGCATTTTCATTTTCATTTGCCCATAAATAGTTTCTTATTATACGTATAGATTACAAATAATGCTTGAAAAAATATCAAATTGTTTTCAAACAAACAAAAAAAAATGCAAAATTCTAATTACAAATGAATGTCTCATATGATATATTTAAATTTAAAACCGTTTTAGGCTTTAAATTAACAACTTTTTCGTAAACTAAAAAGTATCAATTTGCAAACAGGAACAATAGAGAAAATTGATGATGAATTTTAGATCGGCATTAAGTGAGTTTATCCAATTACTTGAGCTCGTACTTGCCAAGATCGGCATCCCGGCCGTTCATCAGATAGGCATTGATGGACATCTGGCTGAGCACTCGCACACCGCTCTGCTGGAGATGGGCCATGTCCCTGGACGACAGCGGCGCCTTCTTGGCGTCCACGAAGCAATGGGTGGCTGTGGCGGCCAAGGGATCGCCGGCGAACGGTGAGCTCGGCTCCAGGATGCATGCGCCGCCGGCACGCAGCACATTCCTAATTGGCACACCGCTCCGTTCGTGCAGGCTAAGGATAACGCGGTGATTGGAAAAGGCACCCACATCCACACCCACACCCTTACCCTCATCCACACGGCGTGCACCCAAATCGGTGCGCCAACGATGAACAGCGGCGGCAATTGGTTCCTCCTCCGGTGCCAGAGTGGGTAAATTCAGTGCCTTCGGGTTGCCCCATTCGTAGAGGGATTCGTCGAGAAAGTGTCCGCGCGCATGACACTGCTCGATATACTGCAAATTGAGGATCCATTTGCCGGCGGCAATGCAGGCCAGCATCTTCTCGCCGCGATTGGGACGCTCGCACAGCAAATGGGTGCATGCATCATCGTAGTTCACCAGATTCTCGCACATCTTGCCGCCCAACTGAACGATCCGTTCGATTAGAACCGTTCGCTTCTCATCATCATCGCCGCACGAGATGCTGAAACAGGGCGTGCCCCTGTGCTGCATCTTGGGCGAACCGCCCGACGATCGCCGCTTGGCCGCATTGAACGCATTGAACTCGGCGGGATCACGCCAATCGACCATGTCCTCGGTGCCCAGGGCGAAGCCCTCGGACTCGAACGGCTGCACATATTGCACCTCACTCTCCGCACACTCCATGTCGCTGTCGTGGCTTCGCTTCAAACTATTCCGTCGCGTCTCGCAGTTCCGCAGGTAGTCCGTGATCTGTTTGACATCCGGCGGCACCGCAACTGAAGCTGCAGCGGACTCCTCGAAACTGATCTTGTCAAAGTCAATGGTGCTTTGGCCCTCATCGTTCACAGTGCTGACTCCTTCGGATTGGCGTGCTGAAGCGGCAGTAGCTGCTGCTGCTGCTGCTGCTGCTGCTGTTGCTGCTGCTGATGATGATGATGATGCTTCTGCTGGACTTTGGGTGCCGGGCACAAAGGGAGATTGGGTGCCGGCTTGGCGGGGTGAGCCCATGGAGACCCTGAGTGGCGTCTTTCTGCCCACCGTTAGCTTGGGTGTTTTCGGCGATTTATCAAAATTCAGTTTGATGGCCTGACTTCTGACCGGTGGCTTCTTCTTTGACATCCTGTTCGATTGGTGCTCCTCCACTGGCGTCACCTCAACATCACCATCAACATTGTCGTACTCGATGCCCAGCGTTTCGCATGTGATTCGCATGACACGCTGCCTGATGACGGCCAACGGAGTGTCGGGTTTGATTTTGTGGGTGGGCAGGCGCCAGCGCCGCTCGAAATCATCCGCCATCCGTTGCTGGAACTCTGGCGTTAGACAGAAATCCGGAATGCCAGGCGCTGGACGGGGATGCTTACGACTGACCGGTGTGCATGCCTGTCGCCGTATGCGTTCCAATTCCGGCGTTTGATTCTCACGCATCTCACGAATGATCTGACGCACACAATCCTTGCCCTCATCGTTGTCCAGCCGCTGGACGAATTGCTCGAGGAAGTCCAGATTGTAGTTCGGTGGTGCACCCACCTGGCTAAGTGGCGTACATGGCGAATCGGGTGATGAGGTGGAGCTGCTGTTCCGATGGCGTGCGCTGCCCCCCGGAATTCCGGCCAGTTCGGATACCCTCTTGTTGCGCAATGGTGTCACTTCTGGTGCTGCAGGCTGGTTCTCCACCTCCTCTTCCGCTTCCTGTCGCTGCTGCAGCTGCTGCTGCATGGTGACCTCGGGTGCCGTCACCGTCACCTCCTGTCTCCTGGGCGTACGGACGGTATTGCTTTCGCGCAAACGCGGCGAGATGGGGAAATCTTCGGGACTCTTGCCCACCAAATGAGACGCATAGGGTAGCTTGTGACCCGTGCGGGCGCACTGCACCAGCCAATCGGATGTGACCACGGGATATTGCCATTTGATGGCACCCTCGTACTTGGAGCCCTCGGCCGTGGGACACACCAGCAGCGGTTTCTCCTTCTTGATGAAGGTCTTATTGACACTGGCGCCCAGCAGTTCGGCTGTCGCATTGATGAAATCCCGCTCCAGGCCCGCATAGGTGGACACCACAATGGTCATGCCCTTGAGCGGCATACGCAACGCAGTGGCTGGCACTGGTTTATGGTAATATTCGAGGGGCAGCAGTTCGTTCTTCTTCATGCAGCTCTCGAGGAACAGTTCGGTGACCACATGGCGTGCCTTCACGGGCAGATCTGCGACATCGAAGGCCACCTCAAAGCTGACAATGGCAAAGTCCACCTCGTCCGCAAAGCTCGCGGGGACCAACAGACCCTGGGCAGCCTCACATTCGGTTAGCATTTGGTTGTAGAACTCCGCATTGAAGCACTCCTTGTGCACGTACACGGAGATGCCCGTAAAGTAGTCCAGCTTGTCGTAGTCAATGGCCAGTGAGCTGGCACTAAGATCGGGCAATGGCAAAGCGGCGACTGCAGCCGGATTGGTACTGAGTTGGGGATGAGGATGTGGATCGGGCAGCACGGATTTGCGCTGGCATATCTCCATTTGAGTGGAACTAGCTGCTGGCTGGAGTAGACTAATGTCCGCCGGCGGCAATTGGGCCACAGCACCCTGATCCTGCGAATACTGATCGAGCAGAAGGTCATGATCCTGTTGCTCCTGTTCCTGTTGCTGCAGCTGCTGCTGTAGCTGCTGTTGCTGCTCTGGTTCCTGCTCGAAGAGTTTCTTTTTGATGGGCAACGTGGGCTGCTTGAAACTGTGGTTCATGGAGCGCAACGTTCGCTTGCTCGCTGGCGAGGCCACATCGGGTTCGCGACACTGCGGCAGCGACACACGATGCACCAGCTCACTGACCACACGGCCAGCACGTATGCTCTCCAGCAGCCAGTCCAGCCGCACCACATGCACCGAACCCATGAGACCGTCGCGCTGCCACTGCCGATACTCGCCGTCATCCAGTTGGCCCACAATGATGTGCGAGACGCCCTCGTTGGCCTCGTCGTAGCGCATGGCACCGCCGGTGTTCAGCACCCTGTTGAGCTTCTCCCGCTCCTCGGGTCGAAAGCCACTCAAGTACACACAGCAGCCGTCGAGAAAGGCGCCCGCCTTCTTCGCCTGTCGCGTACAAATCTCGGCCAGCACCTGCTGATAGGTACGGCCATTGCTGCTGCTGCCGCTGCTGCTGCTGGTGGTGGCCTGCCGAAGGAGATCCTTGGCAGGCGAATTGCCGGCCAGACTGCTGATGGATTCATTGACGGTGGTCAGATCGCTGCCCATGCGACGCGAACCGGAAACGAAACTGATCCTGGAGAGATCCGACAATTGTGTCTGATCCGCAGCAGGAGTGGCGGACATGCGAGTGCTTTTATTGGGGGTGGAGGCCTTCTTGCCCGGCCGTATCTCGTAACCCTTGGTGGGCAGGGCATAGCCACGTTGTGAGCTATCGAATATCCACTCCGGCAGGAGGATATCCTTCTTGTAGCGCACCGCCGCCTTGTACTTCTCGGTGTCCGTCTTCGATTGGTCGGTGATGACAATGTCCACCACCTGGGAGCGAAAGGCACGATGATAGATGCCGCCATTCTCGTTGACCAGTCGCATCACCTGATCCTTGCGCGCCACATCCAAACCGCTGCACGTGATGTTGGCCCCAAAGAAGATGGGCAACCGGTACTTATCGAAATCGGCATCCGTGGCCCTGATCCCTTCGCGCTGGCTGCGTCGACTCTGCTCCCAGACGTACTGCACCCAGTCGACATGCATCACGGGCACGCCATTTAGAGTGGCCTGTTCGTACTTGCTGGACTTGATGGTATTCGATATGAGATGGGTGGTGCGATGGCCGAAACTCTGGAAGTAGGCACCGCCCATCCAATGGATGAGTCTGCTTAGCTCCTCCTTCTTTTGGGGCGTTATACCCGTGGCCGAGACCTGCAGATCCCGCATGGCCGTGGTGTAGATGGCACTGCTGCCCAGCGGTATGGGCTCATCGCGTCGCAGGCAGGTTATCAAGCAGGGCGGCCCCAGGATCAGGGCGCGCGTCTGCTGCAGTTGCTCGAAGAAGTCACCATCGAACTGGGCCAGCACGAAGACATCCTTTTTGGTTAGCTTGCCGGCGGCTATCAGGGGATAGCCCTCGCTGGGCTTTATCTGCCGGATTTGGGTCTCGGCCAGCTGCTGGCCCAGAAGTTCCCGTGCCGCCTCGAATTGCTCCAGGGTGTCCACATCTTGGGCAGCTCCGCCAACGCCACCGCCGGCGTCGCTGGGCTTCTGGTTGTTCACGAAGTACGCACAGATGGACTCGTCCATGCTCATGCTCATGGTGCTGGCGGCGTGTGTGTGATGTGCTCCGTTTATTGCAGCGAAATGCTTTGGTTGTTGCACTTTTTTCCAGTTTGCTTACGCTTTTTTGGCGCCGTTTGTTGTTGCTTTGTGTGCGATGGCAACGCTGGCTTTGCTGTCGTTGGCAACGCAGGATCGAGCTGTCTGGCAACGCTGGCTGCGAGTAGATTGTACCTAGGTACATGTTTTGTGTACTGTCCTTACTCTTAAATAAAATAGTCTAAGTAAAGGTTTTTCAAAGAGTGCTCAGCAAATCGCTGGCTATTTTAGAAAGGCTCTAAGAAAAAACAATATTCACACTATTTAATTTGTAAGCCACTTTTCCTTTTAAAACGTGACACATAATTTAATATTAAGTTACAAATGTCAACAAGGACCGAAAGTTTATACAATGTTCAAATGGAATCTCACTTAAAACAACACAAATAACAACATTTTTAAATCACTTATAAAATAACAAATACCCTTAACTGGTTTTAAGTAGTCTTAAGTTAATTGCTTTTTATATTAAAACAAACACAAGTTTGGTTAACCAAACTTATTTACTTACTTTTATATAACAGTTTGTTTACAACATTTTTAAAATTTGAAAATCAATTATTTTACAACGGTTTTTAAAGAAGATTTTTTGTACCGTTAAAAGCATCGATACATTGATATTTTGGTTGACCTCTTTATCGTCACTATCGGTAATATCGATAACATGCACTGTCGATTGTTTGGCAGCTCTAAAAGAAAGGAGGAAAAAAAAACTAGATAATAATAAAGCAAAGAAAAGAGAAAAGCATCGGTTATATTGGATCAAATCGGATATCGGAAGCATCCAGTGACCACTGACCACCGACCACTGACCACTGATCAAATGGGTAACTTTGTGAGCAGGCAAAATGCGGCAGTGGAGGAGGCGGATCCGAGCACTAACAATGCCTACAAATATCCACCGAGAATGGGCAACTTCTTTGGCACCCACTTCATTATGGGCGGTGAGCGCTTCGACACGCCCCAACCGGAATCGTACTTGTTCGGCGAGAATGCGGATCTGAATTTCCTGGGCAATCGGCCCACGGCCTTTCCGTATCCACCGCCGCAGGCCAACGAACCGACCAAGACCCTGAAAAGTCTGGTCAACATACGCAAGGAGTCGGTGCGTTTCGTGAAGACCCTGAATGACAAGAAACTGGGCACTGGCATGCTGGACAAGCCCAAGATGAAGGAAATCGACCGGGATCTGGATTTGGACAAGGAGAAATCCAATGTGACCATCGAGGATGTGGACGGCAATGTGTTGTGCTCCATGGGTCTGGGTGGCGGTGATGCCGATTTAACGCCACCACCGCCACCATGCTCGTACAACATCGAGTTCACCTTCGATTCGGACGCCAAATGCGCCATTACCATCTATTACTTTTGCTCGGAGGACGTCAGTCCCAGCGGCGTGACGCTGGTGCCGCGCGAGGGCCTCACCTCAGAGACGTATCACTACGAGAAGGGCATCAATCAGTGTTTCTCGCAGCCGGGCCATGTCTTCAATCCGCAGCAGATGCCCGAGGATGAGCTGGGCTATAGCCCCGGCCGGGAACAGTACCCGGTGGCCATCCACTGTGTGGTGGAGGAGGGCAGCGACGAGTGCCGCCAGTCGCACACCACCATCTGTGTGATCGATCATCATCCGGAGAACGGCAGCTATGTGCTGCGCGCCCTCAAGCAGAAGATCTTCGTGGATGGCCTGTGCTATCTGCTGCAGGAGATCTACGGCATCGAGAACAAGGCGGTGAACAAGACATCCCTGGACGAGGAGATCGACGATCATGGCAGCGAGTGTGTCATCTGTATGAGTGAGACCCGGGACACACTGATCCTGCCCTGCCGTCATCTCTGCCTGTGCAATTCGTGTGCGGACTCGTTGCGCTACCAGGCCAACAACTGCCCCATCTGTCGGGCTCCGTTTCGAGCTCTACTCCAAATTCGGGCTGTCCAGAAGGGTATCAGCACGCATGTGCTGCACCAGAACACGCCCACATCGACGGCCGGGGAGCCGGCACCGGTGGATGTGCCGCCGGGCTACATTCCCGTCTCGCTGATCGAGGCGCTCAACGGACCACCGCAGTATGTGGCCAGGGCCAGGTGAGTAACGTTGGGTTTCTTCGATTCTGTTTATTTATATATCTTTCTGCCGTTCAGGACCAGTGATCACGACATCACAGACTCCGCCGCCACGGTGGCCGCCTCGACAATGACCAGTGGCGACATCAAGGCCACCTCGCCCATCAAGTCCAGCAGCCAGCGTCGGCCGAAGATCAAGAAGAACGCCTCGACATGCACGTCGACCAGTGAGGTGGGCACCATAACCAACCAATCCGGCGGCAATGCCAACGGCTCATCCACACATTCCGTGGAGATTGAAAGCGATCCGAAGAAATCCAGTGCGGCCACCTGTACATCGCCCACTTTGGGGGCATCCACATCGCCGGATGCCAAACAGGATAAGCTGCAGATCGTCAATGAGCGCAAGTATCCCAGATCCATGGCTGGATCCGGTGGCGATGGCTCTGCCAACACCGACGACGATGTGGACAGCGAGAACGAGAAGCTATCACCGTTGCTATCGCCCGGCAGCAAGAGCAAGAATATGTCTAGCAAATCGCTGAAGCAAGTGGTCGCCTGTCTGGAGGCGGATGAAGTGGATAAGAGTGGCGGTGGTGGTGCTGGTGGTGCTGGTGGCGCTGGTGGCGGTGGTGATACCCCAAGCGAGGAGTCGAGCCTTAAAAAGGTCTCCTCACTGAAGCGCTCCAAACCGAGGCCAGAACTTAGCGGTGGCGGGGCATCTTCGCCCGTCGAGGCCACGGCCGAGGATTCGGATTACTACACGCCGGAGGATACTCAGAACTCGATATTGAGCCCATTGTGCCCCACGGAGCGGGCCAAGAGTGTTGATCCATTGGGCGCGGGAGGCTGCAGCAATGGCGGCCTGGGCGTGGGCGTGGGCAGGAGTGTTGGATCGGTGGGCGGACCAACTGGAGTGGGACCAGTAGTCGTCGGCTTTAGCAGTGCGGTGAAGAAGAACCTGCACAAGAAGTCCACCTCGGTGGGCAACATGGTGGGCTCCGGTTCGGTGACAACGGTCGTGGATTTGAAGTCCAACAACGTGAGCTCCCTTCCAGGTGGGTTGCGATTTCAATTCAATAGTAGTTCTCTTTTTGTGTTAAAAGCCAGATTTCTATACCTATCCCAGACATGTTGGACAGCCCGATCAGCGGTAATTCGGCCTCAACGCGCAGCTCCAGCGACAGCTACTCCTCCAGCTCGTCCACCAAACAGCTGCTCAGCTCCAATCCAACCACCACGGCGGCCAACATCATTGTGGATGACAAGACAGCTCTGCAGAATGCCGTCAATGTTTAGTGATGGTCTCAGTTGAATTTCGCGGAATTTAAGCGTTTCGTTTTCTCGTTTTTAGCCTTGCGTTTACTCTATTTATTCGTAGACACATAGAATTAGTTAAATCAATGCTGCTTCCCCCTCCCCGCCCGCAGGAAAAAATGATTATGAGCATGAGATAAGGATAATAATGGTCAGGATGATATGATTATATGATGATGATGAGCAGGAGAAAGGCCACCAGGACACAACACTTAACCAGTATACATTATACACACACACACACACACACACACACGGAAAGACAGACACGTCCCGCATGCATGTGTACGTAGTTTAATCTAGCATAATGGCTTGGGTATATAACAAATAAATTAAATCAAATAAACAAAGGCGCCTAGGGCGCTGCATTCCACAATATAAATCGAATCTAAGTACTAATCGTATTGGACGGTATGGACCACTATTGGTTGATCATTTTAATTGCAGTGTATATCTGTGAACTTAAATTCATGAGTTGATTTCGGTCGTATTTAGATCCGAAAGCGCAAATACATTTCCAAGGGTTTGTTTACTAATAAAGTCTTTAACCAATATTTTTGGAAAACGTAACATTTACTTGACAAACTCTTCAATTTTTGTGAATTCATTAAATGTTTAAATTGAATTTAAATAATTTGAATGAAAATGAAATTCACTTTACAATACAAATGCAGTTATTTTTCTCAAATTATTATTATGACTTGATATTTTATTATTAACTTTCGAACCTTATATTTTAGTTCGAATTTGTATAAATATTACGTATACGTTACTAATAGAAAATGCTTGAAACCACGATTTATATTAAAGCAACGATAATACATATATTGTATGTTTATTTACAATGGTAAGTATAAAAAAGACGAGTTTGATTTAAATAAAAAAGATTTAATTTAATTTTAAATGAATATTACGTATACGTTAAATGTAAGCATAAAACAATTTTTGAATATACAAAACTTATCAATTGTTCGCTATCGATAACAAACGCCACCCGAACTATCGAAAGCCTTCGATTGGTCGCCCCATCGCAGTGCCATCACTAGAGGTCACTCTTGGAATTGGGCAATAATTTGTTTACCTTTCGCCAGTTTAAGCTTTCCGGTGGTTTTTGGAGCGGTAAAGTGACTGAGGAGCCGCGCCGTGAATTGTGCGAAGGATCGAGGGACGCCAGTTGATTTACCGAAGGTATGTAGGCGGGAAATTTACCGTAAACTGTGGCCTGGAATCCTTTTGATTATTTTTTTGACCTGAGCCTCCGATTGCCGGACATGTGCGTAATTGATTTTTCGGTCAAGCGGTCAAACATTATTTATTTACCAACTCGAGCAACACACACACACACACACCCCTTAAACACACAACGCAGTTGTTTTCACATTTTTTGTTCGTTTTATTGCAAATCTCAATAGAAAAACTTCCAGCTGAAAAAAAAAAACAACACACACACACACACACACTAGGACTTTCAACATTATTTTTGGGGATTAAATGTAGGTACAGAGAGATCGGGATTACATAGGATTACATATATAAGATCGATAGAGAGATATGTATATGAATTATTTAGTTAATTTAGCTAATCATTTCCTTATCGGTTTTTGTTTTGCGTAACAAATTCGACTAAAATTTTGAACGAAATATATATGGGGTTTTCCGGATCGGATCGGATCGGATCGGATCGTATGGGATCGGGGATCTCTGGATGATACTATTTCGATGCACCGTTGGACAAGGTGCGGGATTTGCGCTTCTTCAGTTTGGTCTTCACCTTCCGCACCAGATTCACGGTGTCCAGCGAGATTCCCGTGGCGGATTTGTTGGCCTGGACATTGCCGTTGCTCCGCTGGTACTGCATCTGCTGGCCGGAGGATGAGCCCAAGGTGCCGGTGCTGCTCTTGGCCTGCAATCCGGCCGCATTCCGCATCCGACGCGAACTGCCACCTGGCATATTGGTTGGCTGTTGCACGGCTGTGATGACCAATCCGCCGGTCTTGAATTTATTGGGTGCACGTCCTCCGCCGCCGCCACCGCCGTTGCCGTTGCCGTTGCCGCCTGCATGCATGTGACCCATGACCCCGGCCGAGTGCATGCGACCGGCCATGGATCCGACGACACCGCCACCGCCACTTGTACTCTGGCCCTTGAACATCATGCGCTGGTGCTGCTGATGCATCTGCTGTTGCTGCTGCAGCTGCTGCTGCACTGCGGATCCTCCGGCACTGTTGCGACTGCGGGCAAATCGGGTCACCAGTTGCGTGGTTTCCGCAATCTTCATCATGCTGCTGGACTTGCGTTTCACCTTTCCGCCCGATTCGGCTGCCACCAAAGCCTGGATCACTTTGCTTTGGCCCGTTCCCGACGACTTCTTGGCCATGGGCCTGAAGGCGCCATGCTGCTCACGATCACGATCCCGCTCACGATCACGATCACGATCCCGATCCCTTGAATGTGGCTGCTGCTGGTGCTGCTGGTGCGAGTCATCCACCTTCATCAAGCGCTGCGAGGGCTGCGGATGGGAGCGTTGACGCTCCTCCTGTTGCTGCCACAGGAGCAGTTTCTGGGAGCAGGCGCTGCAAAAGAAGGACAAATTGGCAATTAAGTCTCTCAACTGGAAAAGCTAGATGTCAGGACTGAAAAGGGAAATGTTTCATCAGAAAAGAGTGCTCTACTATCATTTAATTTTATAAATTAACTAGTTTATGACTACTATATATTTGATAGTTAGAAAATAGGTCCTTTTCAAATTGGAATCATTTTTTTATTATAATTATTATTATTATAATATGGTGATCTCTGTTTGATCAGATTAGAATTCTTCGTCTACTATTTTAGGTATTTATATTGCAACATATTCATTAATCTAACTGAACTGTGGTGAAACAAACATGTTTATAATGTTTGTACAAATTCTGCTTTAGAAATGGGATATTTTTGAGACATTTCCCACATTTTCTTTTGATATATACCTTAATTAGACATTTCCAATTTCAAACGACTGATTGCCTTGGCGATCCCCATTTACTCACTTGAACAGATCCACTTGCTCCAGTTTCCTGGGCTTGCGTGGTGCTCCTATAAAAGCGGGTGGCACGCCCATTGCGTTCCCACCGGCGGCAACTGGCGGCTCCCTGCCACTGGATGTGAACATGGTTCGGTTATGCCCACTTCCACCCGCTCCTACTCCGCCTGCTCCGCTGGTGACGCCTCCTCCTCCTCCTCCACTGGCTCCGCCTCCACCGCCTGCACTTCTAATGGCCGCCGCAGCGTTGGCCATTTGAGATCCTGGCATTGAGTGACCCTTGTACCAGGCCAGTGGTCGTCCTTCCGCATCCCCGTGCGCTCCCGTCCAGACTTTCTTCTTCAGCGAGAGCTTGAGCTGCAGGTCATCTGCCGTTTGCACATTGCCATTTCTCTGGGGAATGAAGTTGCTCGGGACACTTCTGAAAGTGGGCAAATAAACCACATTAGCTTGAAAAATTAACAAAGGCTATATGGTAATGAATTTATATGACATAAAAATGTCCTCTGTAAATCCTTAAAAATCAGGAAATTTTGTTTTCTGAATGCATGTGTTCATAGAAAGCTTAAGAATTCGCGTAGGATGTAAAATGTTCTATATTTAGGAAAGCATTACACCCAAAAATTTATAAAGCCTATATGGCAATGATTTTTTAAGGCATCGGAGAGTGTCATGTTTAAATCATTAAAAATCAAAGAATGCATAAGTTTATAGGAAACTTAAGAATTCGCGCAAAATGTAAAATGTACTAACCTTCTAGGCGGCGGTTTGGTCATTGCCTTCATCGTCGGCTTGGCTTCGCCCATGTAGAAGTTGACCTTGCCCTGACCACCGCTACCACTGGGTATTTCCTGCTGGTCGAGATTGTGCCACGAGTAGGTGCGTCTGGCGGATGATCCAGCTCCGCCGGCCTGTCGCTGCATCATGGCCATCTGATGGCCGCCCGTGTCCAATTCGGGTGCGGTGCGCGGAGTCAGCTTGTAGACATCCAGTTTCTTGCCACCGCCCGGGGTGCCGCTCTTCGAGGGCGTGGTCACGATCAGTTCCGGTGGCATGTGGGCGGGCTTTGGCTTCTGCACCACCGTATCGCCAATCTCCTCGATGTACCGCCGCTGCAGATCGCTCTGGAGCAGTGTGTGCCGGAGCGGAGCGACTGCTCCGTAACCATTTTGTCCGGTCGTCGGCGAGTGCTCCTCGTCGTCGGTGGAGAAATGCAGATCCGATCCCGGATCCGTTGTGGGCAAGTCCAGAGTGGTGCGCACCACCTCGCCACGTTTCTTTGGCGGCTTGCTTCTCACCTTGGTGCGACGCGCCTGTGTGAACTAAATGGGTTAGATGGAGGAGATTGGTGGCCAAAAAGGAAGTAATCAAATTAGTTGTGCTTTCGTGCTGGGTGGTGCTGCTACACTGAAAGAAATAATCTCCCGAAGTGTTCGATCCTTCGGTTGTTTTTCATATGAAAAAGGCCTATCGTTTTAGAATATTTAAAATATTCAAAAAAAAAAAAACTTCTAATCAAACTTTCAATTTTATAATACAACATTTTTTTTAACTATCAACATGTGTTTAATGTTTCATTTAAAATCTATAACTATTTATGTATTTGCTGGCCTTAGAAAGTGAATATAAATGTTTGTTAAAACCTATTAGATACATTCTTATTTCAAAATTACTTTTATAAATGTATGTCCATAAACATGTGTTATACATATGTTACTTTTAAAATTAATATATTTTAAAGTACTAGAAACTGGATAAACCTTTTAAAATCGTATTAGGTTTCCAATAGATTCGTTCCTATTTCAAAATTAATTTTATGAATTTCTTTTAACATGTATTTTGTGTTGATTTTACATTTTAAATATTTTTATATTTATGTGTCAGAAAAATTTGTTGCAACTATTTGAAAAATTTCGATTAATTAATCTCAACTACTTATTATTACCACATGTTGATAGGTAAAAAAGGGCAAATAAAAAAAGAATTTTTTATATGCTGTGAAGTATTATATAATGATTTTTACTTCGTTAGGGAGACACGCTTTAGCATATACCTTCTTGCGGCGGTAGATGTAGATGCGTCGGTTGGCCAGCCACAGCCGAAAATTGCGATCCACGTGAAGTTTCTGATTGACCACCGGCTTCCTCTTTTCCGTGTGCATGAATTTCTTCTTTCTGCCCGTTTTCTTGGACCCACTGGCCACTCCGCCAACGGTGGCCTTGACCCTTCGCTTGACCTCCCTGCTGCCCGCCGCGGTGCTGGCACTGGAACACTCGGCATCCCGGAAAGATTCCGTGTGCGATGTGTCCAGGCTATCGCTACTCTCTGAACTCTGAGATCCAGTCGCTTGGCCTTTTTTGATCGGCGGCGGTTTTCGGGCCAACTGCCTGCTGGAATTCTGCTGTTGGGATGTTGCAGTGGCCTCCATGGTTAATCCGGCTGCTTTTACGGCAGCTGGCACTGACGTGGGCGTGGCATCGCCTGTGGCATTACTGCCTCCACCTCCACCTCGCAAACGTTTTGCATTTGGAGACGCCTTGCCAGCACCATCGATCTTGTGACGCCTCCTCTTCAAGGTGGTCAGCGTTTTGAACTTACGCTGGAATAGCGGCGTAAAGTAGATCCTGTCCAGCTCGTGCATCACTTTGCGCATGCGTCGCATGCGAAACTGCATTTGGGAATGGATGAAGTACGGCAAATAGGGTGCAAGTGCAGTGCGAGAAGATATATGTTTTAACCCATTTTGTGACAGTTTTAAGGCTGATCTTTGGGTATAACCTGACTGCTCGTTCACAGAAATATGTGTATATAAAATGATCAATTTATGCATTCTTTTTTTATAACTGGATTTTGTAATTTACAAAAATATCACACCGACATAAGAACTTTTATATATTTAATTACAAAAATCTGTACAGTGGTGTAACTGGATTGTGTGATAATAAAAAATACCACACCGACAGAAAAACTTTTTAGTTCAATTTTAAATATTTCTAAGTTAAAAAAACTACTTTAGACAACGGTGGAATTTAAACACGGACTTTAGTACCCATTCTTACATATTATAAACATACAGAGCTTATTTAAATGATAAATCAATTTCTTTTCATATGGAGCTGTTTTTTTATTCTGCATAAAATGGGTTAAGCAAAACAGGTAGAAAGGAATGGGTCTCCACTTACCTTTCGGATCTCGTGAATCACCTCCGGCGAACTGGGCGGAGCTCGGGTGGGGGCACAACAGGGGCCCTCCAGATCGGAGGCAGTTATCGAGTGCTTGCCCTCATTATCCGAACTGGAGCTGCAGTTGCCCTCGTCACTAATGGGTTAGTAATAGTGAAAAAAGGCATTCGCCAAAGCGATTAGTATAGGTTAGTAGTTGACAAAAGAACAAACAAATTTGCATCTATGTTAATTGACTTTGTCGGTTTGATTTAATGTTTAAACTAAATGCGGAGTTGAAAGACCCACCTTGAGTAATCCGACAGGGGAATATTCAATGGCTCGTCGGCACTGGAGCCTTCTCGCATCAGTCTTTCGATAATTTTGGATCGTAGCCTGTCCTGTTGTTTGAGTAAATTTAAAATCTATTGTAAATGTTAATGCATTTGGATTAGTGAAAAAATCAAACACTGGCAAAAAAGGTAAATTAAATTTATTATAATGGTTGTGAGTGTGTGCAGCAATAATAAAGCAATCATTACAAATTGCAGCAGCAAAAGCGATTGTGAAAAGCGAAAAACTTATTGCTAAACTAAAAGACGACTAAATAAATCATATATAGGTATGGTATTTATTTAAAAATAAAAATTAATATTCTCCGGTTATAATAATACGGTTACACGCTTACGGCTATCAACATCGAAAGAAACGCGAATTATAGTTAGATTAGAGTAACTAGGATAATAATAGAGAGCTCTCTCGAGTGCCTTTTGCGATGCTGTGCTGGGTGTTACAATTCTAGCTACGTTTGTGCGGGATCAGGTGGTAGTGTGTATATATATATATATATATTTATAGATAATCTAAGTACCCATTGCGTGGATAGTATATCGGTTTGTGACTCTATCCACGCAACTGGGTGCTCAAAAATATTAGAAAAACGGCGGTACGCGCAAATAGACAGCATTGAAATTAATTCAATTCAATGACGCACATACATAATCCCCTATTGGATACATATGCAGATGATATATGCCCAGATATGGGAAAGAGTATATCTGTCATATAACTTCTGTGGCTCTGGCCGATGTGTGTGTTGTCTTTGAAATTGTCTTGGATGTGTGAAGATGTATAGATGTATTTTTTATGGATTCGGGATTTTGAATTTCGGGTCAGCACAGCAGCGCTTTTCTTTTTTTTTTTTTTTTTTTTGACAAATTGCAGGCAGCGACGAGTTGGCGACAACAATAGCGATTACAATTACGATTGACGATATACAATTAACGATTATAGTTTAACAATAATATTTCAACTGGCACAAGTTGGCGTTTTACAGAAAGAGGCGTGTGTTTTGGTGTTCGGTGTTTTATTTTTTTTTTTTTTTTTTTTTTTTTTTTTTTTTTGGGGATGGAACCTTCCTAGGAGACACTTTTCTCCACAGAACGTTTCACTTTCAGTTTGTCGTTCATTATACATCCCTGATCGGCCATTTTCTGTAATTTCAATGCTTTCTGTTCGCGTTTCTCGCGTTTTCTTATCTTTTTGATTTGTTTAAACAACTTTGCGTGCCGCTTTACTTTGTTCGGATTCTCATCGCAGTAGTCCAAAAGTGTCTCACAAAATGCTCGTCCCATGTGCTCATAATCCTATGAATACAAATTTAACAGATTTCCATAATTAATTACTAGTGGAAGTGGAGGTTGGGGGTTAACCTAATACTCGCACTCACCTGCGTGTTAAAGTGCGACCCCTTGCGCGATCCCAGCGAGGAGCCGCCAAAGGAGGCCTCGATCGTATAGCTATTGGTGATGCCCAGCATCCAGACCACAATGCGTCCGGTGCCCTCCTTGCTGCGCTGGATCTTGAACTTGCAGCTCTCGAAGGAGAACTACAAATAGAATGCATTTACAGTGGTGTCAGTGGCAGAGAAGTCAGTTACTTAGGAGGAGAAAAGTTTTAAGCCCCTCTCTCATGGGTTAAAATGTATGAAAAAGTTGGAATCAAAAAAGTATGCTATATTTTTTTTTTTTAATTTGTTTTTTTTTTTTTTTTGTTTTAGAATTTTTTTGAGAATACATGAAAAAAAAGATTGCTTAGCTTTAAATACTTAAGTCGGACAAATCACTCATAGAATTTTGTTTTATATACAAAAAATATATTAAATTTTAAATTTGATTGATATGTTTTAATTTAACTAAAAAGGTGGTTACACAAAAAACTTTCAAAGCTAAAAAAAGTTAACAAAGCCTTTTTTTTGCCAAGTTCATCTGGTTAGGATAATTCTCTTCGACCTGTATTGGCTGGGGAAAACTCACCCGATCCGCACTGTTCTTGTGCAGCATCAGTGGAAAGACCTGCTCGGTGAGCTTCTTCTCCGGGTTGCGTTTGTTCTCACAGCCATATATGAATATGTTGTGTTTGCGTGAGTGAGCGTGCATATCACAGTACATGGCCACGCCGCATTCCTCAATCAGTCTGTTAAGTGAACAAAAGTGAACAAAATTGTTATATATTCATAACAAACAACATTAACATTTACAAATTATATCATTTAATTTGACTGTTACAACAAATTGCATTATTTTTGTACCGCGATCTAATCCACTTACCTTCTAATCATGGCTTTGGTATACCAAATGGATGGATATGTCTCGCGAATGACCGTGCGGTACTGGCGGTTGAGGTCCTTGCCGGTCAGCGAGTTCCGGGTGTTGCCCACGATGACTCCGTCCGGATTCAGCATCGGCACCAATTTGAATATGAACTTGTGCCGCAGCCGCTTTGCTACCGTCGTATCACCCGTGATGAAGTCCATCAGACCCTTCATCATCCACGAGGCAGGTGTCTCACTGGGATGCACACGCGCCGACACAACGATCGATTTCTTTCGCTATATATTGATTAGAAATCATATGAGGCCACAGAAGTTTTTACATAATTCTCAAGTGAAATTTATTACATAAAGTGGCAAAATTAGTTTTTAACACATACCTACACAACAGATAAAATATTTTGTTTAAAAATTCAACTCTTTAGCTTTGCAAGTATATTCTCAGCTTTTAATTTCTTATTTTTTGAATATAGAAGGTAGATTAAAATTTCTGTCGCTATATTTTGATTAGAAAATTATATGATTACTGGTAAACAATTTTTATACTTTGTTGTCACAGAAGTTTTTACAATCCTACAAAAATGTAACTCTGTAGCTTTGCAAGTTTTTACTCAGCTTTAACTCCTTAATTTTTGCATATAGAAAATACTTTTTAGTTATACATATTCCTTCGGTTGTTTAAATAATTAATTTTAGGTATTTCATTAGGACCTTTGCTATCGACTTACCTTTGGTACATTCGAGCTACTTAAATCTAAAATGATGTCTCATTAAAACTTTAGCTACCTCTGATATGGACTTTATTTGCAAAAGTTTGTCGGCAGATTAATTGCCATTAGATTAACTCACTCACCCGCATGTTCTCCTCGTTGGAGGAGGGCGCCGTCACCGTCAGATAGTAGACATTATTGCCCGCCAAGGTGCGGCAGAGAAGTCGCAGCTTGCAGAACTTGGACTTGACCGGATGGCGCTGGATCTCCATGAGGTAGTCCTGCAGGTCGCTGTAGGTGTATGGGTAGCTGTGCGCAAAGAACACCGTGTCGTCATCATGCTCGAACTCGATGGTGAACGTCAGCGTGTACGTCGAGTTGTCCTCGTCGTCTTCGTTTGCGCTATTGCTGGCACTCCTGGTGGGAAAAAAAAGATGTACCAGTTACAAATACTTCTGAATGAAACAACTTTTTAAATCCAAAAGTCTGATGACAAACTTTTTTTTTTTTTATGTAGCAAGCTAAGGACTTTCTTTTTAAAGTTTTGGATAATTGATATAAATCGTGTTGAAAAGCACAATTAACGGATTAATCGGATAAATCGTGTTGAATAGCTCCATTAACGGATCAACTTACTCATCATCGTTCCGGTAGAACTTTTTTTTTTTTTTTTTTTTTTTTTGTATATAATGATTTGTTTTTTAAAGTTTTGGTTGGATAATTGAATAAATCGTGTTGACAAGCACAATTAACGGATCAACTTACTCATCATCGTTCCGGTAGTACATTTTTTTTTTTTTTTTTTTTTTTATATATAAGCAATTTTAAAGGATTTATTTTTTTAAGTTTTGGTTGGATAATTGAATAAATCGTGTTGAAAAGCACAATTAACGGATCAACTTACTCATCATCGTTCCGGTAGTAGCATATGTTGTCCCCGCATCTCCGCCAGCCTTCGCTCTTCTCCTTGGCGCCCAGGGTTGAGTACATGACCGGCTGCATGCCGTCGTTGTAGAGACTGTCCGACTTCACCAGATTAACGATCGAGAAGCGGTAGAGCATCTTGCGCCTGGTGCGTCGCACCCGGAAATAGAACCACTGCTTGGACCGGCTGGTGTAGAGATCGGGTCGCAGGTAGAGCTCATAGTAGGTGGGCGTTATCTGGACCGCCTTGGCCAGATTGCCGCTCTCGAAGCGCGACTCGAACTCCAGGCCGTCGTACTCCTCGGGATTCATAGGATGACAATTGGTCACGAAACGGGCTCCGCCGACGGCCGATCGACTGAACTGCGCTTGGGGTAAATCGGAGCATAGAAAAGATTGCGACGAGTTGGTGGTCATCGTCGTCGTCATTGTCTGGTTAGTACTTGTATTGGAGTTAAGGGTGCCGGTCGTCTCCTGGCTGGCCATCGAATGCAACAGCTGCTGCTGCTGCTGCTGCTGCTGCTGCTGCTGCTGCTGCTGCTGCTGCTGCTGATCCTTGCTCAGCCGGAAGACGTTTTTACCAGGCGGAGATGTGGTGCGATTAGTGCCCATTGAGGTGCCAGTGGTGCCCGAACCCGCTCTTGCTCCCACCATTCCCCCCACTCCCCGTGAGGATTCGTCCTTGCCGCTCAGACAACCGTCCTTGTCGCGGTGGCGCCCTCTGGCGAGCGCCGCTGCCGACGCCGCCGCTGCCGCCACTGTGTCCGCATGGGTGTGCGGTACCGCTCGGGGTAACGGCGGTCTCACATGCAACTGACGGCTCCGCGTGAAGGCCTGCTGCTGCGGATCACCAGCTGGGGAATTGGGTTATTGTAGGGATTAACAAAGTACCGTCAGGTTCCTATACAGTGAAAGCTCTGTTGCGGGACGTTTTTCTAGGCTCATTACACTCAGAGGTACACCCAAAAACCAGAATAACGAAACCTGAGGTGTCTAAATGGATAACATTTACCCTAAAATTACCCCAAATTGGTTATATTTTCTATTTTTTTCTATTGTATTAAAAAAACACTTAAACAAATTACCTTATTATCATGATTGTAAATAAAGATTATACTTGTAAAGGCATATGGGTGTGAATCTCTCCATGCAATTTGCTTTAATACATATTAATATTGGAGAACATATATAATTTGGAGCGTAATTATTTATTTTAGACAAACAACAGTTAAATACTTGTGTACCAGCTTTAATTCAGTTTTTTATAAAATTAAAAGTAATGCTTCTAATTATGTAAATGCATTTCAATTGTAACCCTGCAAACAAAGCTTTCACTTACTATCCCCTTTTTTTCGAGAAAATAAATAGATCCTAAAGATAAAGCAAATTAATGATTAACTGTGGGTTAATAACCACAAATAGACTCGAAATAGAAGCCTTTGAAAATGGAAATTGTTAACTTAGTTAGGCTTAGATCGTTCGAACTGGGGACCCATTTGCTAAACCCCCATTATTCGCACTATGCTTACAGCCAGCCAGCCTGCTCCTGCTCTCATCTCCCACCAGCGTTTCGGTATCCGAAACGGATCCGGGACCGGGACAAGGACGCTTCTCGGCGCCACCGGCCAGCCGGGCGGAATTACTTCCGGTGGTCCTGCGCACGGTATCACCGCTGCCCGAATCCTCCATGTCCGAGTCGAATTCCTCATGCTCATTCTCCATCACCCCGTGGCCAGAGCTTCTACGGGTACTGCCCATCACCACCACCGCACCGCCCTTGGTGATTCCCCGTTTGGAAAGCGACTGGGAACCCACTGCAGCGGATCGATCCTGGCGAGCACTTCGCTGGAAGGCCACCTCTAAGCGGGCTATATTCGTTTTGGGCAACTTGATGGGGGTGACGGCGAACTTGTTCGATACCTTTTGCGATCCCGTTGATGGAACGGCGGCGGGATCATCGTTATCCACCATCCTATCGATCACTGCCTTGGCCACCTTCTTGCCAAACTGACTGAGAACGTAGCGCGGCGAGGCGGGCTTGTATTCACTGGTGTTGTTCTTCCAGATATCATCGATATCGCTGGCATCCTTGCTGGCCTCCGAACGGCTGGCTGCCCTCGAGTTTCGGGCCGTTCCACCGCCGCCGCCGCCGCCGCCGCCTGTGGGTGTGCCCGCTTCCGCCTCCTCCTGGTAACGCTTCTTCTTGGCCTCAATGAGATTCTTAATGATGGCCTTCTCCTTAAGCTCACCACTAAATCCACCTCCGCCACCTCCAAAGCCACCGGAGCTATCGTACTCATCATCATAGTAGTCATCGTTGTCATCTAGGGAGGCGCTCGTGGATCGATTGTCCACCGTGTTGATCATCTTGGACACGCTGTTCAGTTTGCCACGGGCACACCCACCGCCCCCCGTCAGACGCATGGGCGTAGCCCTGCTGGGGGGCGTCGAATCCTGACGGGAATCCGATGAATAGTCCGATTCGTCACTGGACTCATCCTCCTCCTTTTTCGCCTTGGGCTTTTCCTGTATGATTTGTCGCGACTTTTAGTTTATACATTTTTAAAATACTCCAAACAGCTGGTTAGTTCCCATTTAGTTGGTTAGTTGCTTTTAGCCCATTTTAATTGATCAACTTTCCCCATTTCCCGTTTTAGTGCAGGTGCAAAGTGCAGGAAATTCACGTTTAATTCGATTTCGATTTGTTATTCTTTTAAATGCAGAATTTTAAATAAATTACACATCATCATAAATCGGAGTTCTTATTTGTTATTACAATTGATTTAGCTTAAATTAAAGTTTGTTTATTTATTCAACGCAAAGTTTTAAAGTTGCAAAAAGAAGTCCATTTTTAAAAGGATCTAGTTAATTATGGTCTGTTTAATATACATTTTACTATTTAACCTAATTTAAAAAATATAGACAAGTTTGCAATTAACTATGAATAATTAAAGTTATAATTTTCCATAAAATATAGAACTATTTTGTGATATATTCAAAATTTAAGCTTTACTAAAAGCACTTTTTTTTTCGAAAAGTTGTGGAAATATTATTCGGAATATTTAGAGTCTCAACAACTTTATTGAAGAAACTCTAGTCATCGAATCAAATAGAATTAATCAGATGTTTAATTACTCCAATGCAAATCGAAATCGAGCAAGTTCTGCGACAGTTAGGCCGTAGATATGGACAAAGGATACTCACGTAGTTGACGGCGCTAATCGGACTGTAGCTGAACACCACGATGCCATTCTCCTCGCCCACGGGCCGTGGCTTCAGCTCGTTGCCCGTCGGAGCGTTGAGCGGCTCCGGCGTAGCGGGCACGTACGGAATGTGTGTGATGCGCTCCTCGATGACCTGGATGCAGAATGCGAGAGCAAAATATGTAGTTGGCACAAATATTTCCATGGCTCTTACAACAAAATTCATCAGTATCAAAGTTTCTAAAAGTAAAGATGTGAGTTCCTCAACTCAGCTTACTGCAACATGGACACACCATTTCATTGTGTTCCTAACAACTGTTTACTAAATATCCTGTTTATTTCAACAATGAAATTATTAAATCAATTTGGGCATATCTTTTCATACCTTAATAGATTTGTTTAGCCTCAGCACTTAATACTTTTAAGAAAGTTCCTCTACTAGCAAAAAAACGAAGTAAATACAAGTATTTATATATTTTTGGCATTGATTTTCTTCATAGCCGTTTTTTAGTTCATTTAAATATGAAAAATATTAATTATTTTTAGTTTGTTCTTTTGGCCATTTTCGAAATTCAATTTTCTGCAAATTTAATTTAAATTTAAACCATACAAAGTGTAAAAATAATAATTTTATTATTAGATAAAGCAATTTTTATAATTTAAAAATGAAATACAAAACGTTGAATTCAATGACCAGATGTTTATACTTTTGTACTTTCATCAGTTTACTCACATTAGTAGGTAACTATTTGAATTATTTATTACCAAGATTTGAAAATCACTTAGCTATTAACTTTTTAAATTACCCCGATCGATAGAACTCCGATAATTACGCTAGGACACCTGTTGTGTTTTCAAGGTCTTACTATTTAAAGGCAGTGATATTTCGATTCAATGCCACAGATGTTGTTCGCCATTGTAGTTCTCATCGTTTTTTCGTCCCTGACAAGGAAATTTGCGAATGTCAGTGGGAGTTATTCATTATCCTGTCACCGATGACGATTTGCTTTGTGCCCGGTGGTCTCAGCTGCCCACTCCCTGTCATCCATTCATATCAAACCCTATATATATATATTCCATTCGTTTTTGAGGCTTTGATGTCCTTTCACTGTTGTTGGTTTTGCCGTCGTTGTAATTCTGCCCACAAGCTTGAGCAGCTTATTTGTTTAGCCCTTTGATATGATTACACATGTAAGATGTGCACAGTGAGTCAAGATCTATTCTCAAATGAATGAAAATTAAGAAGAAAGAAAGAGGCAAGGGGGCTGGAAATGTCCGTACACTGATCTGATTTTCATGAAACGTTACCAATTTTGTTTCCTCAAATAAAATTTGTATTTACTAATATATTATTTGTATTTACTAATTTAATATAGTCAAATCAAGTTGATTTTAACTTGCACACTGTGCATCACCATTCTTTTGCAGGGTTTGAATAACATAACATTACTCATACGCAATGTTGTCTCATTTACAAGCAATCGGTATAGGGGTTCGCAATTTTTAAATTTGAAGTCTTGCATTAATTTCCTGAACTTGCTTTTGTTTTTATTTTAATAAATAATACATTTTTCACCAAAAAATTTTGAAAGAATTTTTTGTATTTATTTATTTATTATATAAGAATATGAGAATATTTCAGTTTTAATACAATTTCTGCCTTCAACAACTATCTTAAAATTCTTTTAAATGTTTGTTTAAAATACAAGTTTTCCAATATAATTGTCCAAAATTTAGAAGTTTTCTTTATAGTTTTTTACACACTATGCAAAAACAGGACGATAAAACATGCAAATGTGATACACATATACATAACAAATTGCTGGCATTTGTCTGTCTTGTATCAGTGTGTGTGTGTGTGTGATAGCTTAATTGAAACATATCAGCGTCAGTTTTTGTAACAATCCCCCTTTCTTTCTTCAGTCACTACCTCCGTCTCTCTCTCTCTCTCTCTCTCCGGTAATGTGACGTGTGTGCCAGAGGCTTTCGTTTTTTGCTCACTTATTAGGGCTTTATTTATTTACGCTGTGATTGTGTATGTACGATATGAAACTAACTAATTAGCTTGTTTGTTTTGCCCAACGGCTTCAGCTGTCAGCTATCGCTTGCTGCTACGAGCATGTGAGCCTCTCGTTTTCCTGGTAATGAAAATTCGCGAAATAAAACTAACCTTTTCATGCCCATTGCCAATGCCATTGTCATTGTGGCAAGCGCAACAACAATAACAACAACAACAACATAGTGAGTCAATTCAACACCGAAGGCGCTTTCTTTTCGAATTTCACTTTTTATTTGAGTTTGCATTTTGGACGTCATGGCCAAAAGACGAAAAAAAAGTCGAGACAGAAAAAAAAAGTGAAGGAAAAGAGCGGCGTTGGAAAGACGTTTCGCGAAAAACTTTCTTGACTTATTATTTATTTTTGCTCTTTTAATTGCATTTACAGTTTGCCGAACTTTGAGTGTGCGTGTGTGCCTGGAGCCTTAGAAAAGAAAGCGACTTGACGGTAAAACGGCGAAGGACAACGACAGCAAATGTGGTAAGTATGGGTTTTACAATTCAATTTCAAACATTTCCCACATTATGTTAATTTTGTGTGTGTTTTTTTTTTTTTCATTAACTTCTTTAAAACTTTTAATGGTACTTCTGAGGTAAATTTCTGTCGGCAATTGTTTTGTTCTTTAAATTAAATTTATTAACGAAATGTGAAACAAAATTCTAGTATCGACTCATTTTAATTGCCTTTACTTTAAGCTTTGTGGCAAAAAAAATTTTTAATTGTATATGAAGTTAGGACATACTCTTTTATGTATTTTCAAATATCCTTAAAGAATATTTAAATGCATTTTAAAATGTTTCTTTAGTTTATTTATTTATTTATTTTTCATAATTTTAGTATTTGATTAATTTTGATTTCAAACTTAAAAATTTAAAGCGACTAAGGTTCTTTTTTCTGAACTGAATTTATGTCCAATTATATTTGGTTGTTAATTGACAAGGAAATGTTGGGCATTTTTTTTGTTTTTACGATTTATTCGAATTGCGCCACAAATTGTTCAACAATTGACCTCCAATTGATTCATTGCAAACCTCCCACTTTGGCCGCCTGTTTAATCAATCAGTTGGCCAATTTGTTGTTTGACCCCTGGCACAATTCATCCTCCCGAAAACCCCCTGAAATGCCCCCGTAAACGGTCCCCATAAATTGTTCTCATTCAGCGGCAGACGGGGCGTATGTGTAATGTGTAATATTTGCCCAACACAATTTGGCAGCGCATCGAATGCAAATCGAGTACAAATAAATAAAATCGATTGTTAACAATGCTAACGACTTGGCCAACAATTAGGCAAAGGAAAAAAAAAAAAACAGGAAAAAAGAGCGAAAAAACAAAATAAATAAAATCTCAAAGCGGAAACGAAAGGATTTTCATTGCACTTGGCTAGCGTTTACCGCACATGCCATGGGTTAAGCGGGGGCGGCGGTGGGCGTGGCCTAGTGTGTGCACCTTTTATTGCAATTTGACCTACATAAAAGCAAGATGGTTGAGGGGCACTACAGTCCCACGTCCCTAAGTCGAACTAAATCACATTTTACAGAAAACCATTTTTAGCAATACAAATTTATTTTATATGAAATTAATGTTCTTTTTTTTTAATTTCATAGTATTACTTAATATGCAGACAATTATTTTCCTTTTAACATTTTTTTTTTGATTTTGTCTTTTTTAATAAGTTAAGCAAATGGAAAATTATTATTTATATCGAGCAAACATTTGATAAAAAGCTATTTTACTTGAGCTCAAAATTGCCCTAGACATTTTGGTTTAAATCAGTTCGGCTTATTGAAGTTGACCTGTAACGTCTTTGGATTTGTGGCTGCTCCTTTTAAGAGCCTTCACCCTATTAACCCCTGCCACCCGAGTTTTTATGTGCATTAATATTTATGGGGCGCGGCACGCATGTCCTGGGATGGATATCCTGGCAGACAAGGTGCGTGTCAAAGGAATTGAAGCTCATCCCCCATCCCTGGCACAAATCTAGGACAGATAGCTCTGCCTTAGACTTGTCCTCGTCCTTCGACTGCTCTTCGATGGACAAATTGATTACGGATTGTGATTGCAATTGGGATTGGGATTGGGATTGGGATTGGAGTCAGGGGAGAAGAAATCCTCCTCGACTTGCTAACTCACTAACCTGGCATTCCACCGGCCATCTGGGGGCCTGCTGTGAGCAGTCATTGTCCTTGTCCTTCGGCAGGGCGAAGAGATCGCGCGGTTCCTTCAGACGTGCAACCGGTCGCAGGGTCTTTTCATCCGTATTCACAACCAGCTGATTGGTTTTTAGGCCCTTCGATAGGAAACTGCCAAGAAAGCCTGCAAAACAGAATTTAAAAGGATTAACAAAGGAATTCATTGGCCTCTATAGAAAAATTCCTAGAATGTCTGTAAGATAATGTGTCAAGATTGTAATGTACATATTTACAATTGAACAAGTCTGCAATGTATATGTTTATTTTATAATTTCGTTTAAATTAACTTCAAAATCCATTATAATTTAAACTCGTTCGCAAATTAATAATAATAATAATAATAAGTTAATAAAAACGTAAATAAAAAGTTGATTTAAACATAGTAAATTATACCTAACTGATTCGGCTATACGTTTTACTCTTAATAAGGAACGCAAAACGAGAATACATAGATTGAGATAATTAACGACTTAACCCATTTCATACCTTTTGAACGATTTAGTCGATTTTCATTTGAGGAATTGAACACAGGGGATTTCTTGATTTGACGAGCGGATGAGATCTCTACCAAGATGTCACTAATCGCGTGCCAACAATCGTACTGTAAAATTTTGCCAACTTAAATAGCCAAAATAAAAATATATTCTCAACTTATAAAATGAATTGTTTACAGCACTGAGATGTGAAAGATATAGAAAATCGCCTGAGATGATGTTCAAGTCAAGGCCTGTGTGTGTGTTTTTTTTTTTTTTTTTTGTACTATTTTGTTTGGCGAGGGGGTGGTGGTTCAGCAGTGGGTCAGCAATTATATAAACATTTGTCGTGCCAAAAAGTTGTCTCCTCTTCCAGTGGCAAAAAGTTTAGACGGTAGGCGCAAATCGCCATTAATTTGGCCTAAATGAGCAGCATTTGGCGACTTTTGTCAACAACAATTAATTGCCATACGTGCGGGGGTGCCACCGATTTCTTGAAATAAAGTTTTTTGTGTGTGCTAACGATATTTCGTTTTTATTTCGCTCTTTGGAGCTTCTTTCTTTTTGCTTTTTCCTTGCCCGCCAGTGCAACATATTTTGTTAATTAATTTTTGGTTTGTTTTTCTTTCTTTCCTTTGTTGTGTGCGTCTGCTTAGTCGGTTTTTATTAGCACATAAAAGCAGATATTGTTTTCTTTTCTACATGTATTGTGCTTCTCATTGGCTTCTTTTATTGCAATTTTTCACTGGAAAAGCCGGAAAACGGGGTGGGCTAATGTCTGGAAACTGTAAATCTTTGGGGGCTTCTAGCGAAAAAATTCTGCCGCAGCAGCCAACCATTTATATCCTGCCAAGTCGATTAATATCGCTAATAATTTTCGGCTTTTTTACTTTTAATGTTTATGGCCCGAGGGGATTTTTAATGGATTTGGATGTGGCTTATGTTCCCGTAAAATTAAAGCTCCAACGAAAGACCATAAAATTAATATGTACACATAATTTGTAAATACTCCTGTGTATGCATTTAAAAATGTTTCTGCATCAGTAAACAAAATAACTCATAAATTAAATTGTTAAAATAAATGGAATACGACGAAATTTAACAGTGCTACTAAGAAATGACAAAGGGGAAGGATTCTGAACAAAGAAAACGAAATGTTATAAGATATTCATGTGTATATATTAAAATATGTAAAGTTTTCTTCTTCTCGAAAATGCAATTCATTTTGAAACAATCTGATTTTCAATATTTCAACTAAAAATATATATGTTTTTCAAAGTTAATCGCTTGTTTCGCTTGTTTATAAGGCTCACACTTCTTATATCAACATTTTCAAGAGTTCTGTTGGGGATATTTAGCCAATTATTCTGGGAAGCTGTCGCGGAGATTACTCAGTTGATTTTTCGGTAAAAACACTCGAGCACAAGTATGTCAAATTGTTCATGGCTCATTTTGAATGGATCTATGCAAATGCACTGTGAAAAAATTATGATTTCGGCTTATTCTGAATGTAATCCTGCATTTTAATTGTATTTTAACAAAAAATAATTAATGGGTCATAAATTAGGTTCTTTTTGGTGTGCTATATTTTTAACAACATATAAAATAACTTGTAAAAATAAAAATAGATAAGACCACTAAAACCAAACGATATTAGATAGAGATATTTAACTATCATGTGTTGATAAATCACAGATAAGACCTTTACTGATGTGCAAACAATTTTTGTTAACCCACTTGTAGTACATTGGCATATAAACAAAAAAGCTCGTATATTAGGTTTTGATGTGAATTTTCATTCTAATTGTTAAGAAATATTAATGTTTCACATTTTAAGGTCTTTAAGGCCATTGAACTTATTGTACGACAAAATTCTTGATAAGGAAGTTATACTTTCGTTGTGGGGGTTATACATTTTACTGTTAGTATGAGTTTATGCATTTCGCTCTGTGTAACCCCAAGAAATACCAAGAAATGTTCTTACCGGCACAGAATTCAGAACTCGCTCCTCCAAACGATCTCAAAAACGCACAAAAACACGGGCGAAAAAAGCGAAACAAAAACAGAGGAAGACGCTAATTTTAGTGGGTGAAGGGGGTCCGGGAGCGAGAATGAAGAGGCGGCACTCGCACAGCTGTTCGTATTAGCTGAATTTTTGTTGCCGTCTTTTGTTTTTGTTTTATTTTTATTTATTTTTTATTTATTTTTCGACAAACGATGTTCAAAATTTGTGGCACTCGAACAAACAGATAAAAACAAAAAAAAATAAAATTAAAAATGAAGGCAATAGAAAACCGATATATAGAGAACCGATATTTGGCGGCACACTTTTCGAATATTCGGGGACCTTAAATGTTTTTGAGCTTTGTTTTCAAAAATTCGAGCTCTCAGTGTTGGTTATTTTGAGTTTCTGGATTTTGAATTTAAATTATGATTTCATTTCGTTATTTTGATTTTGTTTTGGGATTTCGACTGTTTATCTGTCGTTTGCCGTTGCGCGATTTGTTTTTGACTAAAACAGAAAGGAAAGCCAAACCCCAGTGAATGTGGAATGCTCTGCTCTGCTGCGTCGCTGCCGACGGCGCTGTTGGCGCCGCTGCCTGCGAATATTATTTAATGCAAAAGAGCGGGAGGAGGCATACCAGCGAGAGAGGGGGGGGCGGGCGGTGGGTGAAAAGAGAGAGTGGGAGAGAGCTTTTGCACTTTCGCTGCCGACGCAAGCTTCGGCTCAGCTGTTCTCTCCTGCACCTTTATCCTGCGTATGTGTGTGCGTTTTTCTTGCTGCCATTGTTATTATTTTGAAGGAGCTTTCGTCTAGTTCCTCCATTGCAGCTGATTTTTCAGGGTATGTGTGTGTGTGTGTATGCGGGAGACCACAGGAGTTTTGTGCGTGGGTGATCTTCAAAAAATACGTATGCCATTTCCACAAACTCGAAAAATATTTTGTTTTCTACAAATTATAAAATTATTTATACAATTCTAACAAATGAAATGGACTAACTGAGGGAAAAAGATGCTGCCCAGTTTAAAATAAAATTGTTTGGGATACAAAACTTAAAATAAAAAAAATATTTTTGTAGATAAGTTAAATTGTATTGTTCCTTCAAAAGTTTTCACCTATTCGAAATTATGTTAAAATATATGTTAAATGCTTATAAAATCGAGTCTAAAATAATTTTTTTTCTCCAATGTCAATTTGAACTTTTTTATTTTTTAATATATATATATTTATATATATTTTAATCGCATTTATCTTTAAGTCCACAAGAAAGCAAAACGCACCATTAAGCCACGTTAGTTCCATTTTAAGTGGAATGACAAAGCTCAATAGGCAACCTTGACCTTTCACCCTACGCAACCTCTTGCACATGTGTTGTTTTTGTTATTGTCAATTGTAGATGTGCTCTGTTTCCTTTTGGACGAAAAATTGGCCAATGTCATTTGCCGCTTAAAATTGTACACTCTGGAATATATTTTTATTATATTATTATTATATTAGTATTATATTATTATTATATTATTATTATATTTATATTTTAGCTAGTTTACAGTTCATTTGTTTCTTTTATTTTTTTGACTGCAAGGCCACTTCTTTCACCAATCGATGTGGTTTGGCCAAATGGACAAGGGCAAACATTTCGCGTTCATTCATAACAAAACCAAAAAGAGGAGGCCCAGAGAAAGCAGGAGAAAGGGCTAGAAAGTGGAAAGCTCTCTCTGTTTTGAATTGTTGAGCCAATGCGACGTTTCGCTGCCAATGGCGACAGCAGGAATTTGGCGTTAATTAAATTTTTATGCTCAAATGCAGGCGGCAATCGAGAGCCAGAGATCTGCTGGCCGATCGCCTCTAATTGCAGCCTTTGCATATTATTTACTTAAATTGTATTATTATTCGTAATATTTATGGCATTTTGTTTATCCCAATCGCAGGCATTCGGCCAATGCCTTTGAGGCCAGACCGAGAAACCTCAGAGCCAACAAAATCCGATCCGCGAAGCGCAATATTTTTCACTTCCCAAAATATTTCACAATTTTTATTAGCGATTTGTTCTTGCTTGTTCGCCTAGGCCATATTTTGTTTGTTTTTTGTTTTTTTGTGAATTCTCAAATTGAATTTTCATAAAATTTGTTTAATACATTTTGCATTTCTTTGATAGCCATTATTCCAGACGCTTTTACGTTCTATTAAAGTCCTAGTTTGGGGTATAAAGGTTTGACTATTTATTAAAACAGTGTTAATAAATAGTCAATTTGAAATCATAAAATAAAATTCAATGCCTGTTAAATGACATGATTGAATATTCAAAATTTAAATTAATGTGGAAAATATTAGAAAAAATAATATTGTACTAACCATTTTAATACAATATGGATTATATTTAAATTAAATTTTCAGGCACTCAAACCAAATTCAAAAATAGTTAAATGAAAAATTCAACAATTTTGTAATATTTTCATATTTAAATAACTAAAAACCGCGAGGGATGAAAGATGATCAAAGGAAAATATTATATTTAAATACATAGAATACAAAAATTTGGATTTACTAATTTTTTTAACCAGTGTATATATCCGATAATTTAGTACGAAATATAACAAAACAATCCATTAGGACTGCTTGAAATAACATAATTTAATGCGTACAGAGTTAGCAAGGCCAATTAATTAATTAACCACGCCTTCTTTGGATGGCCCACAAGACAAGGATATTAACCCAGATACATTTAATTGCGCTCCTTTGTTAGGGGATTTCCGCAATCGAATCCCACCTTCGATTCTACTATTCCACCTGCATCGGTACGGTCTGTTTGCGATTCATATATATCCAACAGACCCGAACGACAATGATCCCAACCGAGCAAAATTCCACGCTAGAAATAATGAAATGGTCGAGGGCCCAAGTCAATGAACATTAATGAGTTTACTGCCTCCGATTTGGAAGACCTCTGCGTCTCTGCCTTTGATTTATGCAGGTGAAATATCATTAATCGCAATCCAATGAACTGAAATGGGTTCGAATACCCCCTATTTGTTCCCCCTTAAATATATATATATATATATATTTATATTTTCTTGGCCAGGCAAACGACAACGTTGACAACATCAGGCAACGACTTTGATTTCCGAATTGCGATTCCGGAATTTGTGTGTTAATGGTTTTGAGTTGCCGTTGTCATGACAGCCGCAAGTGGCAACTTAAATCAAACAGTTTTGCGGCTAATTCTAATTCCCATTTATCCGCACTTTATCCGATTGCAGGTGGGCCAAGAAGGGGTGAGGACAATAAAAGCGGCAACGAACGGAGGGTAAACGAAAGGATCCAATCGAACGACGACTTACATCGGTAGAAGCCCCACATTCAACAAATTCCCCATGCTGGCCATGTAGTACAGTGAACTACCAGTAACAGCAACAACTAAAACGAACTACAACACCGAGGTGCCCTTAGACAATCTATTCGTACAACAGTAACAACAAACTCTAACAACAAATTGAAAGTGAGTATAAAAATACTGTGATTTTAAATACCAATAAAAATTGGTAGTCCTTCATAACTTAAAATCTATCGGTTATTAAAAAAAAAAGTAATCAAGTTTGTTTTTATAACAATAGCAATGAAATGAACATAAATTTACGTTTATTTATATTTGAAATTACATTCAGAAAAAGTTTTTATGAAGTATCTAATGCCAAACTTCTCTTATTTTCTATTAATTTATATAGTTTTACTAGCAATCAGTAATTGCTTTAAGTTACAGAAGTTATACTGTATTATTAAATGGATTGTACATCGTGCATTTACTCGACAACTCTTTTAGCAACTGTCATGTTGATTTATAAATGAATGTAAATAACGATTTGGCCATTTCAAAGCATACGAAATTAGAAAAGCGGAAACTTATTTGTTCTACACTAAATTATGGAAGTAATGCTTTTTCTTCGCCTTTTCAAGGCGACATTGATTTTTTGAATGAAATTAAAATATTTTAGTAATTAACTTTATGATTTTGAGCACTTTATTGCAATATTTCACGACTAAGTAGACGCACTTATTTAGTTTTAAAAAATGTTTCTGAACCAAGTGCGAAGTACTTGGTTTGTTCTGAGTGCCTATGTACATACATACATATATAGTTTATTGTTAAATATTTAGATCCATTACCTCCACTTGACGTGGTCAGCGTGCAGACGGGAAAGAGCTGAGCCTGCAGGAACTGCACGCGACCGCCTCCAAAATCCATGGTATATAGTATTTCGATGCTTACGGCATTATGATGGGAAGACCAAAAGGAAGACCATTGCGGGGTAATGCGAATGTTATATGGTGGAATGGTTTTGAATGGGAGCACAAATTTGCTGATTGATTTCACTCGATTCACTCGTTTTTGGCACACATTGAAAAAATGCAAACCACTTGGATATGTTCCTTGCAGGTCCTTATGCAATCGAATCAAAAGAAAGCCGCTTTGTGCGGCATTATTATTGTTCCCACACCGATTACGACTCTACGATTCTACGACGACTCGACGATTTTTTGTGGCTTTTTCTGCGGCTCCATTCGCATTGCGTCGTCAAATGATAACCACTGATTTCCCCGAACTGAGCCGCAGTCGATGATTCGAGCCGTTGTGAGCCAACTCGAATTTCCACTGCGACTGTTATAAACAAATAAACAATGCCTCGCCAGCACACCAGCTCACCAGCTCACCAGCTCGTTCGCTCACTCTCTCCCATTCAGTCGGTCCTCGTTTTGTCTAATGTTCCAAGGAAGTGCAAGGTAGTCCTGGCATTCTACACATACCCATACACTCCTCCATACTATACTCGTCGTCCTCTCCAAAACACCCCGTACATATCTATGAACCTGCCATCCCATCCGACCATCCATCCATCCATGGCATGCCGTGAACATGAATTCGATTCGATGGCTCAAACAAAGCCAAAGCCAAAGGCAACCAGCCTTGGATACGCCAAAAAAAAAAAAATAATAAAAAAAAAAGGGAAAAAAACACAATTTGTGGAATTTTTGTGCATATTCTAACGAGCAACAAATGTTTGCCGAAGGTGGTGCGAATCACGGTTACGGATATCTCCAGGTCATGTTTACACCGAACACCTTTTAGTTTGTTCGGTAAGTGTCGAGAGATTTCTTTTATAAAACCGTTTAGATCTCTGTAACGTTTCCAATTGATTTTAATTAACATTTTTTTTTATTTTTTAACTAATCGAATGTATAAACAGTGGACAAAACAATTTTACGAACATTTTAAATGAAATTTCAGTGCAATACTTAAGCTTATACTTATACTTAAGAAGAGCTGGGATTGCACAATGTGGATAAGGACTAAAATCTTTAAAAGGAATTTAGTAAAAATTAAAAAAAAAAAATTGTCTATAAATAGGTTACTGATGGTAAGGAATTAGCTTTACCGCTGCACCCGATGCCCTATATTATTGTTTTGGACAAACAATTTAACCACTTAGTCCCTGACGATCAATTGCTGCTCGGGTTTTATTTATTCAAATAGACAGCAAGAAAAAGAAAACAGTCACAGCTAAAAAGAAAAGCAAGACAAATCAAAGCAAAGCCTCGATGCCAAACAAATTTGTCAAAGTCGCTCCCTCGGCGGCAAACGAAAATCGGTGGAAAATGCAAACGGGGTGGCGAAAATCAGAGAGGAGGTGGGTGGGTGTGATGGCAAACCGTGGGTTCTTATGTGGGATGAAGCAGCAGCTGTCAGCTGCCTACGCGGACACAAAACGAACAGGTGTCAAAGAGCGAGAGGAGAGAGCAAAAGAGAGCATCAACTTTTAATCACTCACTCTCAATAGTGTTCCCATCTCTTTCCCCTCCTCTTTTATCCCACTATTTTTCTGCCTATGGGATTATGTCATCGAAGTGGCTGAAATGCAAGAAGAAGCAGAAGAAGAACAAAGTAATGAGAAATAAGCTGCACTTTCTACACCCTTATATTAAAACTGATATTTATTATATGAGGTTTTCCAAAATCAGTTACCATAAAGGGTTAAAAGCATTCTCCATCAATTTATTTTCCCTGGCATTAAAATGATCTGACCAATTTTCAAATACCCTCAGAAAGGGTACATCGAAAAGCAGGAGCGACAGAGGCAACAGCAATGATCTTGATCGTGCAATTTATGTGTTTTCTATTTTGGCAAGACGCCGTGACTGCCAAGGCGAAAAGAAGACTCTCTAACCGAACCGTAAACGCATGCTGTCTCCCCTCCTTCCCGTACTCCTCCCATGTCCATTTTCCCCCGCTTTCCCACCCCTTTTTCGCCACCCAACGCCGCTTGGCCCTCGTCAATCATCGAATTGTGCCAGCGATTAGCTTTCGCCACCCCATTCCCCGATTTGTCCGCCAAGAACATTGCCTTACTTTTCGCAACTACAGTGGATAATGGACAATCAATGGACTAGATGAACTACATTAATCGTTCTTAAAGCTTTATATTAAATTACATTTTTTATCAAAAAGTTAGTCATATCAATTTACAAAGTTGAATTTCATTCAAAATATAGTAATTCGTTTAAAACACCTAAGATGAGGTATCATAGTTTTCGTTTGAAAAAAAAATATCGCAAATGCAAAAGACTTATTCCTACACCTGACTAAATAAGTATTATTATTATCATGACATTGGGATTTATCAAAACAGCAATTTATTTAATGGTTCTCAAACACACAAAATTATGTTTATCACTTTAAAAAGTTCTTCTAATCCGATATTTACGGTAGCGCTCTTTTTGCTCGCTGCTGGCTGCTTTGGGCAAATTAACAAATTGCAATTAAAAATTTCCGTTTGCCATATTTTGGCAACGGACGACATGTGTGTTTTTGTTCAGACAAAAAATAAATTCCCCGAATCCGCATTTCGAAGCTGTTTAATAATTGTGACAGAGATAAACGATGTACACGAATTGGAAGTGAAAAGCGAATTATGAACTTGCTGAATAATATTCCCGATGGATATCTGCAAATTGTGCATGCTTCTTTTGATGTGAGAGCTCATTGGGGAGTGAGTCAGTTGTTTTTTATTTAAAGTCTTTTAGATATTTTGTGAAGGAGACATATTCTACCCTTTACAATTAAAACACTAATTCAGCATCCTCAGCTGTAAGTTTACAAGAAAATATTGAGAACCAAAAAAAGTTAGTTTAAAACCAAAGTATTAGTAGCTTTAAATATTTTTATAGATCGAAAATTTTTCAGAAAAATTACATATACGACATGAGTGCCAAATTAATGGAATTTTTTGTAATCTACCCAGATTGTTTTAAAAAAAAGTTAGGGGCCTGATCAATATTTTAAGACATTTCTGTGCCAACAACTTTTAAACAATATACATTTTTCGAATACGATTACATTACGTATACGTAATATACACTTAAACCAAAAATTCGTCGAGTTTATAGGTCCGTTACAAAAATGTTACTATTGTTTGAAAGTCAAAGTTATACCCTCAATGTGTTTTTGTTATAAATCGCATCAATATCAATTTCAAATTCCATCACCGTTTTGTACCAAGAATCGCCTACTATTATGTATCACAAAAGTTTTAGAGTATTTTCAAGGGTAATCCAAGCCTCATATCCTGCCTTCCTAACCTAACCTACTTGAGTTATTTCTTTTGTTCCGTTTTTTCTGCTAACACATCAAATTGAATCTTCATTATCTTTCGACAGCGCTTGAGTGAACATCTTGAGTGGTTGAGGGGGTGCGAAGAAGGATAAGGCGGATGCACCGTGAAAAAAATCAGCTTAACATCAAATGTTTTATGTACAAAATGTTACATTTTGATGTACAGAATGTTATATTAAGATGAACCATACATTTGTATAGCCCAGGCTTAGGTCCCGATGCTGCCCAGTGATTAGTTTTTATTCTTTAGCTCAATAGAGGTAAAATGTTTTAACATTTTTTTCCGATCTATTAATTGCTACAACGGCAACCAGCTTCAGAGCCAATTATCTGCACCGCTTGACGTGGAGTCTCGTAAATATTTAAATGTGATATAACACATTTTTTAAGCATACAATTTTGTTCTGTGTGGGGGATGGAGAATCTAACGGGACTCACCATTCACGTAGTCGCCGAGGACTAGAGAGCATTCCATGTCATTGCATTTGAAGTTGGCTCGCACCACATTCACATTAACGGTGCTGTCTCTCTTGAGCTCCAGCTCATCTTGTTCTCCCACTTCCTCCTTGGATTCCAGCTCCCCAGTTTCCGTTTCCTTCTCTTCGCCATTGTTGTTGCTATCGTCGCTGCAGCTGCTACAGCATCTCTCCGTACTCTCTGTGCTCTCCATCTCGTTTTGGCGCACGGGCAAAGGCAGCTGGAGGGCCAAGGGCGGGGCACAGAGGGGCCGTCTGCTCATCGATGCCGAGCTCAAAGTTCTTAGGAGGCGGCTGAAGGAGGCTGACAACTCCTCCCGCTCTCTCTCCGCCATCTTAGGAGATGCACTCGAAAAAAAAGAAAGCACTACTTATCCCGTGGACAGAGGAACACGCGCGTGCCTGTCCAGCCCAACTAACAGTAAATCTCGATCTCCAGTCGCTCTCTTCTTCGCTCAGCTCAGCTGCTAGCGCAACTGCTGACTGAGCTGGAGCTGCAAAATCAACGCGGACGACAATGGTGGCCGCTGCCGGCGTCGACGTCGCTGCCTTTGGCGAAATTGCGAATCACAGTAAACCACGGCATTAAAATTGTTGCTGCCACGGCGTTGCCTTTGTGCAAGGCACCGACAAAAAACAACAATACAAAAACAAATTGAAGGTTCAAGTTCCAAAGAACGATGCATATATACCCTTAAACCCTCCTGTAGCGGCAATGGCTTATGATGATCGGTAAAAACTTCATATGATAGTTGGACAACAAATAATACACCAATAGGCCAAGTTTCCTATTGATTTAATGAAAAACATTAAAATGTTCGAAGACCTTTGTTGTAATAGGTTCTTATGAACTAGAAAATTTGCCAGGTTTTTTTTTAACAGTTTATTTAAAAACAGTCATTTTCATGTGGCTTACTTGGCGTATGAGTAACTATTTGAACTATTTTTTTTTTTTAAATCATTTATAAAATTTCTGGTTTGGTATCTAATTTCAAATATATGTGTTTATATCACAAAATGATATTTAGGAGTCCTATCATCTGGATATTGCGTTTCCATACTATAGCTCATAAATATGATACCCTCTCTTGCTAGAGTATTTAAAGAAAACAGAAAAACAACAAAAAAAAATAGTTTTTCGTTATTTTGTTGTAGGCCTACTACACGTGGCAAAGGAGGCGGGGGGCGGGCGGTACATTGGGTGACTAAGGGGGGTGTACTGCAAACCCTTCACTCCACCTCCCCTTTGAAACTCCGCTGTGATTAACATAAATTGCGCACGACATGGGCTATAAACAGCGCAGCAAGTCCTAGTCCTCCCCATCTATATTGTAACCCGGCCCCTCTGCCCTTCTGGGCGTGGCTTTTGTTTTCAAATTTTAAAATATATAATAAAAAATATGCTCACTTAATCCCGTTTGAGCTGGGACAAATGCTTATATGGGTCCCTCGTTCTCCAAATCCATTGAAATTTCATTCACCCCCCTTTTCGGCTGCCTTCTTTTTTGGCGCGTGAGCGATTTCCATCAGTGATGACGAGTTTTCGGTTTTACAGTTAAATTAAACAAAGCTCTATTACCAAAAAATCGTTGTAATAAACCAATCCTATGAATAAATCACTTTTACAACCTATGTTATTCAACCGATTGCATAGTTTGTATATTAGTTTGAATATTATTTCATCCCATTTATCACGACCGTTTCGCTTAAAAGCTTGACATTTAATTTTTTTCTTTGAGTTTTGCCAAATTTTGGCACATGAATTTCATTTGTCGATGACAGATTGCCGCAATTTCGAAATAAGCATTTTACAAATAAGTTGTACACTATACAGATAGAAATAAGAGCAAAGATTAAACCGAACGAATTAAAGGATTATTCGATCAATAATAATTTGTTGTACCTAATGGAATATGATATAATGCATTACAAATATTTGCACTAGCGAAAATTTATCTTAAAAAAAGCCAAAAGGGCGATAAAGAAATAGCTGATTTGGCAATACCGATTCCCACTCGTAGCCGCCCCCTCGCTTCATCTCCCCCTGCCCTTTGTGTGTTTTGCATGGCCCGCTTGGCACCAATTTTTCAGCTTTAGCTTGGTTGTTTTTGCCGGAGATGGAGACGATGTCGGCTTATTGGCATTTGACAGCGCCCTGGCAGCGGCGGGACGTCCTTAGAGAAGAGGTCCTTTCGGGCGGCTCAATCTCAATGACTTGGCGGTGGCGCCACGCAAGGGAAACCCTTTCAAAATGTGGCACAGATCCATTTCGGCTGATAAACCCATTTTGCAGCAACGATACTTTAATAACAATGCACTAAATTAACACTCGACGGCATTGCCTACGTTTTAAGTTTTAAAATAATAATTTACAAAATTTAAAATATTGATTAAAAATGGTAGATTACCAATCAACAAAAATATATCATTAACAGATTAAAAATGTTGATACCTTATTATATCGTACAGAATAATTTTTGATAGTCAAGCATCGATTAAAAATCGCAAAAATGTTTAGGTCATCGAGCAACAGTAAGCACCATTAATAGCAACACAATATTTTCTATCAAACAATAGGGACAATAGTCACGAAAATAGTCAACCATCGCGCCATACCAATCAGTAATCGTAAAAGATAATCTTTGATTGCCAAGTATCGGTTAATAATCGCCAAAATAATCAGCGTATGCCGTATTGCCACCACACCACACTCGAGTCATACACTATAGTCGTATCCATCCGGCGCATATTGCCACGAGGCGTCGTATCGTTTTTGTCTGCAATGCGTCATTAGGGCCATGGGGTAACCCAAACCCGGGTCCAACACTTGCTGCAACACCCGATGGCGCCTCCGCCTGATCCTGTACCCCCGATCCTTAGACCCCTATAGCCTTGCGTCGCTTGCATGTCATTTTGCTTCACCAATTGGTTGCGTCTCCTTTGTTCTTTCTTTTTTTTTGATATACTATACTATAGATTCTTTGTTGTGTGTTTGCTCAATGGTTTCGTGTAGTATATTTTTATTTTTGTATTTTTGGCTGCGGCCGCCCGCAGTACAGGTACAGTGAAGACTATCCGTCCGTGCACCCCCACCCCCACCATTCCCCTTCCCTTTGGTATTTCCGTACTTCCGGGGGCGCCGCCAAGTAAAAGACAGTGACAGGAGCCAAAACAGAGCGGCAAGTGCTCCGTTTCTCCATTTCTCCATTTCTACGTTATTGATATGCATTTAGAGCCGAGACGAAAATAGACGCCGGCACCGAAAAAAGAAACAATTTTGCAACTATTTACGGTGGACGTCAGGCGTCAGGTACGTCAAATGCAAGCAAAAAGCCAAAACTACGGCAGCAAAGTGAACTTTATGGGCAGGTTTATCGTTGAGCTTTGATTTATTTCAAGCGATTTTCGAAGGGTTCTTCTAATTGATTGTATTATTTACAGCCAGATAGAAATATAATTAATAGTGCCGTCTTTCCCAATTAATAAAACCAACTACCTACATAGGTTATTGATAATCTTAAATTTAGAACAGAAACCAATTTAGCCAAAATGTAATTATAATATTCCAAGCCCAAGCCCCGATTTAAGTATAAGGTCTAAGATAATTTGAATCTTAAACTATTGTGTAAGAAAAGTTTCTCAATAAGATGAGTTTATTTTTAAGACTCACTTGTTTAAACTAAACTTTCAGATTTATTTATTAACGTGTTTACTTAAACAAGATTTTTAGTTCATTTAAAACATTATTATTACCTTATAATTTATAATGCTTACTTTCAGTTTAAATTGCAAACTAACAGTTGGTGTTCTTCTATTACTAGTATAATATTTCAAATGAAAGAGTTAATTCTCTAAAATCGTATTTATTAATGCTATATGAAATGTATTATATATTATCAGTATAAACCAGTAGTTTTTATTTTGATCATAAACATCAGAGTTTTTGTTTTTTCTATTTGACAAATATGGGGAACGAATAGTAATTAAGGATAGCTGGTACACTACACAACACACAGAAGGTTCATCAATTTAACATGAGCTTAGTGAAAACCTTAATTGTCTAGTATGGTATAACCGCACCGACTTTGACTCACCTTCGTTTTGTTTTGATGGCGGCTGCTGCTGCTGGTGGAACTCGCAGATCTCCGGACCCATCGTCGCATTCCGGTTCTCCTTGTCCTTGACGCCCTTCTGCATTTCTGGAGCTGGGCTCGGCTTTTCCGGATGGCTTTTCACTTAACGATCTGAGGATCTTGTGGGATTTCCAGGTCTTCAGTTGGCTGTGTTTGTGTCCGGATACTGTGTTCTTCGATGTACCAATTTGTGGTCGCTATTTCGCTAGACGAGCCTAATGCTGAATTTTTCTCCGATTTGGAATGGTATTTTAACTTTTCGTGTGCTCATGTGTGTTCTATAGAATTGCAAAAGGGTGTAAATAAATGTGGGGTATTCGGATGGGGTTTTTTCTGGATGTGCTGTGTGTGTCTAGTGTGTGTAGTGGGCCAAATAGAACTGAAGTATCAGAGCCTACTTAACTGCGGGAATCGATGGGAACTGAGTTTCAAAATCGACCGGCACACTGCGATTACCTCGCTCATTCTTTATTCCGCTGACTCGCTCCTTATTTTACCCGTACACTTGAAGAAAACTGTTCGCAATGGTCAATGGAATTTATTGAATTTTTTTCATGGCTCAAAATTAAAAAAAATTTGCTAATGCAAATTAAAATTTAATTATTTTTCTAACTTTACCAATTACACCAATGTGTGGTGACTTTTAAATGTAAACCGCAAAATGTGTGTTATTTCCTTATACACATGAGTAATAGATAGCAATTAATAGATTTTTTCCCAGTGTACGATTCCAGCGGAGCGGTATTTTCACCTTGGTGCGAGCGGTAAATGTTAACGGTGAACGGCGCCCGACGCCGGATACCGGGTAACTGGCTACTGGCCACCGGATGGGATCCGATGCCGCCGGAAAAGCCGGAAAAGTCGGAAAGGAAACGGGAAACACTTCGTGACAATGCGACGCGGGCTGGCAAACAAATCAAAGCGAATTAGTTGCATTAGTGGCAGCTATCAGCGGAAAAGGCTCCGGGATGCGGCGTCGCTGCCAATGACTTTCCTCTCCCTGTCCCTGTCCCTCTCCCTGTCCCTATCCCTTTCCCATTACCTGTCCCATTTTCCAGTTCCAGTTCCACATCCACTTCCACTACCGTTGCCCCGATCCTCTGCCAAGTCAAAAGAGCAGGTCGCCTGGCGTGCCAGCACCTAGGTCCATAATGCACATGCGAGTCCATCGGAAAACAGGGTGTCCTTTTGTGTTAATATCCAGGAAGTTCTTCAAATTGCTAGTTAAATTCTGTAGCACTTTTTTAAGATAGCAAACTCTTTTGATAGAAAACGACATTTTATTTGCCTATTTAATAATTAAATAAATTTAACTTAAATGTTTTTTTTTTTGAGGACTTATTATTTATTATTTTTATAAAGAACTCTTGAATGTGTATATTTGATAAAATATTTTTTATTTTATTGTTTGGTTTTCATTTTTGACAAAAAAAAATGTAACAAATATTTATATATATATAATATATATAAAAATATATGAAATAATATAAATGTAGAGTATATTAAATAAAATAACATTACAATAAATGAAGGTTGAATTTAACGATATTGTACTATACTTCTATATTAATATTATTATTGTCCGTACGGCAAGCAAAAATATGATTAAAATTGTGTTATGAACTTTTAGCTTAGCATAACAACAAGAAAACAGTCCTTAATGCTTAGGAACTCTTATAATTTTAAATTATAAAAAATAGGTAATTGAAATAAAACTGCAACTGTTTTCAAGCACAAAGGCCGATTTCTTGAAATCATATTGTTAAAACCAAAGTCGGTGTCGGATTCACAAAGCGAAAATAATCGTTTCGAATCGACACCCATTATCGCAGATAATCGTATATGCTGGCATATTTATCGGATTCCCCAACATACCATCCATTCCATTCCGCTGCCACTGTTGATTATGTGCCATTAAAAAATTGGCTGCCAATTGGCAAAAGTTTTTTTTTCATTCTGCATTCTGCATTCCCGCTTTCTCCAGTTTTTCACTTCTCCACGATGTCGGCCTTTTGTTTTTTGTCCTGAAGCTTTGCCCTTTGCTGCGGGTCAAAGTTCAATGCATTTCGCTTGCGACACGCACATACTCGCACACAAACACACACACTCACCCGTTGATATGCCACGCCCCCAGCGACCACATTCCCAACACACCTGACCAACGCTGTTGTTGCGGAAATTTGAACACCCATAATGGCTTTCTTGAAATTAAACTGGAAATAGTTTTTTGTGTACATTTTTTTTTACAAATAACGTAAATTGTAAAACACTACAATGTTTCAGTTTCGAAATTCAGATATTTTCTTTAAAAAAAATTTCCGATTCCCGTAAATTTATATTTAAAATAACATACTTTTTTGCTTATCGTACATTTTAAATCTATACTTCTAAGGGTTTTATAATTTCAGTAAGATTTTGCAAATTAGTTAGGGTATTTCCCACCCTGAATGAATTTAGCTTCGCTATTTTTAAGCAAATAATTAAATAAACAAAATACATAACATTGCATATATCTCCAGATATGTAATCGTTAGTATAATATATGTTTATTATAGTTTCAAGGGCAAATAAACTTCGGCTTGCCGAAACTAGCTTTCTTTTTCGTTTAAGACAAATACAATATCTAACGAAAACACAACATTTTTGTTACTCTTCCTGTCTTATTTTTCTTTTATTTATACAAAATTGGCAGCCCTGCACCTGACAGTCCACCTTCACACATTTCCACAAACGCCGAGGCGTCGAAAAATCCTAAACGCAACTTTGTCAGTCATTTTATGAGGATATGAGGGATATGAGGCTGTTGATGGGTTGGGGTCTGTGAAGGGGTTTTTTTGGACTTGAGCTTGGGTAGAGTGCTCCTGTCAGCCATCAAGCGACGGGAGAAATGAAATATGCGCGACTTCTACGGGCCAACTAAATGAACTCTGAACTTTATGCGAAATTTCACCTCATGCATGCATGCATGTGTGCGAGCGAAGGTGTGTGTGCGCTGCGTGTTTTAAACTTTTGTTGCCTGGCAAAGTAAATTTGCATAAGGTTTTTTGGTTAAGTGAGGCAGAAGAAAAAAAACATGGAGAGAAAATATTACAAAATATCAGATATTTTATCAATAACAAAGCTGCTATAGCTTTATCCAAAGATTAAGAGATCCAGAAATTTTAATGGAAACATTGCATAAATATAACATAATAACGATTCTTTTATTTCATCACATTAAAAAATAAAAAGAATTTTAAATTTAATTCGTAAAATTTAATAGGTTTGCTAATAATATTTATTATAATTAATTTAAAAAAAACACAAATTCAAAATTTTATTTAGAAATCAAATTTTTTGTGATGAAATAAAATTTTAGTTTTTCGCTGTGTAGCCGTTTTTCATTTGGCTTTCAATTTTTCAGCTTGAAATGCCAAAAGTGCGTCATGAATGATGATATATGGAGCCTGCGGTAACAGGGCAGCAGGGAATTTGTGAAGTTTTGGGGAAAAAGCAATGGAAATTCAGGGAAAGTAAAAGGGGTGTAAAAGGAAGTGGCCAAAACACCGGAAATTCCGCAACTTGATGCGGAATTTTCAAATTGCAACACACTCGCAAGGGTTAAGGGATTTACCCAAACTAGAACTCTTACCCCCTCAATACACATGTGTCAATACTCTTTAATAATGTTACATTTTAGAGCTTCTAAATTACATAAGTATTTTTAAGCAATTCACGAACAAGGTTCGAATTTACTTAACATTTTTTTTAATTTTATTTTAATTTTATTAAATTGATTAAGAGTGGTATGAATTACATTTCATACAAATCAAAGTTATGGTCACTATATACCATTGATATATATATCAATAAATTTAGAAAGAAATGTATTGTTATTAAAAACAAATTGTGGAAAGAAAAAATCAATAAAATCGTATTTTAGCAACAATTTTTTTACAACAAATTTTAAAAAATATTTAAATTTTTTTATTTATTTATGAATTTATTTATGTTTTCATGTCAATAAAACCAATTAGATCTTTAAACTACACATTTTCAAAATGAGCAAAATATGTATTGTAATTTTTTTTTGAATACTTATTTTAAGCTTTTATTTGTTTGTTATAATCCATCTATTAGGCTGCTTTTAAATAGATAATTTGTATGCAAGTTTTGCCTGCACTAAATCGCATCGGTATCTAAACCTTTTGGATGCAATTTGAAAAGTTGGAGGGTTAATTGAGCGATTTTCGCGGCTCTCTGTCGCATTATCCTCCGGTTTGCCGCCGTTGTCCTGCCGCCGTTTGTCCTTTTGGCTCTAATTTTAGATGCCGGCTACGTCAGCGGGCCAATTTGCAGGTCGTCAGGTCGTCAGGTCTCGCTGCCACCGGTGACTCTGCGGCTGTTTGATCAATAACCTAGATATATTGGCCGTAACAACAACACCGAAATCAACAATGCCAGCCGACAGACCAAAAAGCCATGAGAGCCGACCAAGTCCCTCAATTTGAATCGCAGCCATCAAATTAATTGCAACTGCATTGTGCACACCACAGCGCGGGCATTAAAAAACACCTTCATAAGTCTCCAATTTTCTCATTTTCAGTTGATAACTGCCGATTTTTTGAACTGACAATAAAACTAAGCGCAACCGTAACACCAACAAGGAACCAAAAACCAAATCAACCAAAAACAAGGTATTTAATCAGAGGAGAAAGTAAAAAGCCTAAAACAAAGCACGAAAAAATGGGACGCAAAGTGACGGTGGCGGTGTCCACATTGAACCAATGGTCCCTGGACTTCGAGGGGAATATGGCCAGGATACTGCAGTCCATTCTGGAGGCCAAGGATATGGGCGCCAGCTATCGAACAGGACCTGAACTGGAGGTTTGGTAAGTACATACTATTTACCTTAAGACATACATATTTTTAAGGAGTTTCAAAACACTTAAATTATCTTTATCGTTTCTGTATGTTATATCCCTTAACAATTAAATTAGAATACACTTTCATTTCTTTTTTTTTTTTAACTCAGTATTTATTTATTTTATTTATTATAACAAAGGTATCTTTGCCTTAAACTTTAACCTAAGACATCTGATCAGCCCAAAGTCTGATTTTATATTTTCGATACTTAAATATTTAACTAAGTTTTCTGGAAGCCTAACATAAATGCAATATTGCGGGATGTCACAAAAATTACTTGGTTTTTAAAATCACTTTAAAAAGTGTTCAAAAGTATGTACTGAAAAAATAAGCGGCAACTTACGAAATAAATCCCATCGACTTATAGATTTGAAATATATTAATGTATATTTTTACACTTATTTATAACTAGTTTCAAAACCCTAGGAATTTCTGTTGGATATCCCAAATATATAGTTCCTAGGTTACCTTAATATATTATAAGATAGTAATATAATATACTATAATAATAATGAATCAAAAAGGACCAATAAAACCGAAATTAAAAAAAAAAAATTTTTTATTATAAAAAAAATTTTAAATTGAAATTGTTTTTTTTTTTGGCTTGTCTTGATTCCCTTAAAAAGCTAACAAAAAATATCTTATATCGCAAAAAAAGTAATCCGTCTTTGAGCAACATTTTTAAATTAAAACAATATCGGTAAAAAAAAATTTTTTTTTCGCTGAAAAAATTTCACAAATAAATTTTTTTTGTTTTAGGAATTTGAATTCTTTTAACAACAATAATTATTCTGTGAGCGAATATATAATAATGAAAAATAAATCATTTAATTGTGATTATTATTAATTTTTAATCGAAATAAATATGTAATGAATGTACATTTTCGAACAGTGGCTACAGCTGCGAGGATCATTTCCGGGAGCCGGACACCTTCCTGCACTCGTGGGAGGTTCTGCTGGAGGTGATGATGTCGCCCATCTGGTGAGTGCCATTGAATACTTGAAGCGCCATGGAGTGCCCCATTTAACGGTAATGATAATGTTGATATAGTGAGAACATGCTGGTGGACGTGGGCATGCCGGTGATGCATCGCAATGTGGCCTACAACTGCCGGGTGGCGTTCTTCAACCGCCAGCTGCTGCTCATCCGGCCCAAGATGGCCATGTGCGACGATGGCAACTACAGGGAGTCGCGCTGGTTCACCGCCTGGACGAAATCGCTGCAGACGGAGGAGTACGTCCTGCCGCGTATGATTGCCCAGCATACGGGACAGCAGACGGTGCCGTTTGGCGATGCAGTGATTGCCACCAGGGACACCTGTTTGGGCTACGAGATCTGCGAGGAGCTGTGGAATGTGCGCAGCAAACACATCGACATGTCACTGGCCGGCGTGGAGCTGATCGTCAACAGTTCCGGCAGCTACATGGAGCTGAGGAAGGCGCACATAACCACCGATCTGGTGCGGAATGCCAGCTTCAAGGCCGGCGGCGCCTATCTGTTTAGCAATCTTCGCGGCTGCGATGGCCAGCGGGTGTACTTCAATGGTTGCTCGGCCATAGCCCTAAATGGTGAACTCCTGGCCCGGGGTCAACAGTTTGCCCTGCAGGATGTGGAGGTCACGTTGGCCACCATCGATCTGGAAGAGATTCGTGCCTATCGCGTCAGTCTGAGATCACGCTGCACGGCGGCTGCGGGAGCAGCGGATTATCCCCGCATCCATTGTGACTTTGAGATGTCCACGCACAGTGACATCTTTAAGACGTCAACGCCGCCGCTCAATTGGCCCAATCACACGGCCGAGGAGGAGATTGCCTTGGGGCCAGCCTGCTGGCTCTGGGACTATCTAAGGCGATCCGGTCAGGGTGGCTTCTTCCTGCCCCTGAGTGGCGGCGTGGACTCCAGCAGCTCCGCCACCATAGTGCACTCCATGTGCCGCCTGATTGTGCAGGCTGTGCAACTGGGCGATGCCCAGGTCTTGCATGACATACGCAAAATCTTGGCCGACACCGACTATACGCCGGATAATGCCGCCGGACTGTGCAATCGACTGCTGGTTACCTGCTTCATGGGCAGCGTGAATAGCAGCAAGGAGACGAGACGACGGGCCGCCCAATTGGCCAACCAACTGGGCAGCTACCACATCGAGATCAGCATCGATTTGGCTGTGAATGCTCTGCTGGGCATATTCAATGTCGTCACGGGTCTAACGCCACGATTCCGGACGCAGGGCGGCTGTGCCCGCCAGAACCTGGCGCTGCAGAACATCCAGTCGAGGATTCGCATGGTCCTGGCCTACATCTTTGCCCAGCTGATGCTGTGGGTGAGGAACCGGCCGGGCGGACTGCTCGTCCTCGGCTCCGCCAATGTGGATGAATCGCTGCGCGGCTATCTGACCAAGTACGACTGCTCCTCGGCGGACATCAATCCGATTGGTGGGATCTCCAAAATGGATCTGCGACGATTTCTGATCTACGCCAAGGATAAGTAAGCAATAATTGCATTAAGTGGGGGAGCAACTCATGGACATTATAGACTAGACATCGGATAAAAATATTTGTTTTAATTAAATCATAATTCAAATTAAACTAGAATTTAGTTCTGATGATTTAAAAACAAAAATTTTATCAGTTCAGGAAAATATATTTGAACATCAAAAATGGTTTTAATAAAACCCCAATTAAAATTTCGCTATTTTAATAATAAATCGCTTTAATAAAATTCAAATAAGAATTAAGCTAAATTTAATTTTGAGTTTATCAAAACAAATGTAGTTCACACAAACTTTGTTTGGAATCGTATGCTCAGCATACTGCTTTTATCTGACAATCCGATGACTAAAAATAATATAGAATTTTTTTTAATATCAAAATCATCGCCATTTAAGAAATCTATACACTTTTTTTTTATTTATACCATTTACAAAATTGATTTTCTCCAAATTTTTTAATGGAACAATATAAAGCTTTAACAAACAAATAAGAGGTGTTGAAAACAAAATTTTATGAGTATTCAAAATTATAATTAAAATTATATTTTAAATGGCTTCTAACCAAATCTTGTTCCAGGATAAAAAAAATTTAAAAACGTTCAAAAGCTTATCTTTGGTTTTAAATATTTTATTCAATTTAAATTAATGGAAGTAAAAAAAGTTATTCTGCTTGATATTATTTTTAAACAACATTTTTAAGTAAAATTCATACAAGTTGTTCAAGGAAAAGCCTCCGCTCTGTAGATTTACATAAGTGAATATCTTCAATATCCTCCCGAAAAGTTGCTAGATATCTAACCGACTCCCTAATCCCTAATTATCCAGGTTCAACCTGCCCGTGCTGGAGTCGATTATCGAGGCGCCGCCCACCGCCGAACTGGAGCCGCTGCAGGAGAACGGTGAGCTGCAGCAGACGGACGAGCAGGACATGGGCATGTCGTATGCAGAGCTGTCCGAGTACGGGCGATTGCGCAAGCAGTCCTTCTGCGGACCGTACAGCATGTTCTGCCGCTTGGTGGCCACCTGGAAGGGTGATCTCAGTCCCAAGGAGGTGGCCGACAAGGTGAAGCACTTCTTCCGCTGCTATGCCATCAATCGGCACAAGATGACCGTGCTGACGCCATCGGTGCATATGGAGAGCTACAGTCCGGATGACAATCGGTTCGATCATCGCCCCTTTTTGTATCGGCCCAACTGGAGTTGGCAGTTCAAGGCCATCGACGACGAGGTGGACAAGCTGCAGCCCATCTACACGCCATCGTCGGCGCAACTGCGTCCCAGCAGCGACGACCTATTGCTATCCACTCAGCGATCATTAGCGCATCTGGACGACTCCAAGCACTCGTCGCCGTTGTCCTCGGCCTCGGCGTCCGCATCGATTGACGTGGGCATTTCCACGGCTGCCGTTCCACTACCAGGTGCCGCCGCTCCAGGCGGCCTCTCCAAGAAGCCCAGCGGCTACTCCAAGGTCCATGTCAATGTGCTCGGCAAGATCAAGGATCGCACGGGCATTCCCGTGTAGGAACGACATACTCGCAAAGCACTGGAATTATACAAAAAAACAAATTTTTTTTTTTTTTTAGTAACCACAGCTTGATGTCTTTTGCTGCCTAGAAACTAAGAAATTAAAGTGAAATTTGTTAGCAATCTTTTGTAACTATGTGCCTTCTATTGTTCCTACATTTCTTTGACTTCTTTGTTTAATTAAAAAAAAAAAAATACTTAATTGCTTAGTAATTTTAGATCTATTTGGCCATATAATCAATAAAATCCCTAAGAAAATCATTCACACAAATTTTTTTTTGAACAGTAATTTTCTTATAATTTTTTTTAAATCTAAAGTTTAAAAAATTGACCAGTTTGAAATTAAAGAAGTTTTCTTAAACACATTTGCATCGCTTAGTGTTACTTAAAATGTCATAAATATAACAAAATTGATTCGGATAACTTAAATGAAACTATTATTAAACATTTAATATCAAGCACTTGACAAACATTGATTTTTAGATCACTAAATACGTAGCGCTATCATTAAGCAGCAGCAAAAGGCATTATCCTGTATATATACAAAATCCATATGTGTAGGCCTAGGCGTAGTCATACTCATAGCGTTGCTCGTCTGTCTAAATCTTTTATTTTTTTTTAGATCCTTAGTCTTTTTAGAGTCTTTTCCAGTTTGCCTTATCTAAAAGTCTTTAATCTTGTCTAATGCTCAAGCTAAAAAAAGAATGGACGAAAAATTTGTCCGCCTGTCCAAACAATATTTACAATAATCCTTAAAAAAAAACTAGGCAAGTCAATTGCCAAACACATTTAGTTAGATAAAACATTCTGTTTTATTTGGCTTCATAAATTAAGGATAACATTTATTTTGTTTTATTAACATAAACGATGAAAAATATCCAAAAATATCTTTAAATAAGAATTAAAACATAAATGGTATTAAATTGTTTGTTTCAACTAAATTCGTATATGTACAGATAACTGCAATACAAATGATGATGATTTTAATGTTTTTTTTAAAGACACACCTTTAAAACGCACAGTTTACTTAGTAGTTAAGATAAATTCATTAATAACGAGATACTTTATCTACGTTTACGAAAGCACAACGCAAACTATACCATGTAAAAGAAATTAGTAACGTCAATTATGTAATCTGTGGTCAAATTATGCCGCACAAAAATTAGAACAGGGCCCATTAAATCGTTGAACCATTAAAGCTCGCTTACTGTTTGCATAACAAACTGCATTGGCTATAATTTAGGTAATGTGGGGCGCCTTACAAGGCAAAATGTTAGTTAGTCTTTTTAGCTACATTGTACATCAACTTTATTGGTATATGCCTTACCTAAAAGAACCAAAAAATAAAAATGTTAATTTTTACATTGATTTAAAACATGTTTTTCTAAAAACGCCATTTCATTAGCATTGCTAAACATTTGCTAATAAATAAACTGCATTCATTTAAGGCACTCAGATTGTTTGTTTTTCCTTATTAAATAAACTGATTTAAGTTAAAAAGTAAGATGACAAAGTTTATGTAAAATTTAAAACATTTTTGGGACTGTTTCTCGGGAGATGAGCAATGTTTTGTTTTTAGTAATGTATGTAGATTTATAGCACATTGTGAATTTGAACACTCGCATCGGATCGATTTAATGGATCACTGATTATACACCTCTGTAGAAGGAAATATATACACCGAACATTTTTGTAGTTTCAAATGGATTGGGTATTTAATCAATTGCTACCATATTTGGTAGAATAAGTATAATTTTTGATAAATATGTTACTCTTTCTTGTTAATTTCTAAATTAAATAATTTTTTGCGGGTGATTTCGATTTAGTTTTTCTATATATCATTATTATTATTTGAGAAAATTGGATTAAAAAAAAATTCACCTGTCAAGTCCAATCAATTGGAAATTTAATGACGAGTTCAAAATTAGAGCAATATTTTCCAGGAATTTTATGAAAAATCTGAAACTTAATCGGATTTTTTCAAAATTTTGGCTCTACAAGTCAAGTTTTGTAGGGTTTCTTTTGTTGACACTTGGCCAAAAGAAAATGCACAACAAAGAGACTGACTGTTTTGTGCAAATGATGACCTAATAACAAATAAAATTTTCAGCTACGTATGCCACCAATCAATTGGAAATTTCATGACAATCCAATATGCGAGCCATATTTCCCAGGGTTTTTTAAAGTACCAACTGCCCTACACCTCTATATTGTTTCCTAGATTGGGTTATCTGTATTTCAGCTGATAGACTTTCTTCGGTCACAGAATGTGAATGTGAACCTTCAAGCACTTCAGCATAATCTGTGGCCAAGTCAGGCCACACCTGGTGCCGCCTTATCAGGTCATAAACAGTCTAACAAAGGGTTAACTTAAACAAGAACAAAAGGGCTAATTACCTAAAAGTATGACGTTAAGCAATTGTGGTAGATTTACTACTTCTGAGATGATATGTGCTTTGATTTTAAAGATACAAGTCTTTACACCATAGTTTTGGGAGTCTAAAAATAGTTAGATAATCAAATAAAAATAGGACAAATTACTTTTTTAATAATTTTTTTTTTTTATTTTTTTAGGACTAGACTATGAGCTTATTAAATGATGAATTGTAATACATCGTAAGAAACATTGATAACAAACATAAGTAGACTGAATTCATCAAAAGACGGCGGATCATTTAGAAATTTTATAAAATATATTTTTAAAAATTGTATTTTTTCAAACGATTAATGATGGAAAACATTATTTTAAAATCATTCGGCGCCATGGCAGCATTAAATCCAAGTTCCAGAAATCCCGAGGTGGCCAACATCCAAAGTTTAAGCCGGACCCCAAAGCAGAAGTAAGTCTTAACACTAAACCAACTTTAGGCACATTACTTTCACAATTCTTTTCACAACTATAGGATCTTCATTATATTTGCATCAAGCCTCATAAAAATGCTAAACGCAAAGTTGCGCGATATCGACTTCGTTCAGGAATCCCGTCCAGGCGATGATCGTGCGGAAGGGTTCGCCATTGAGGCGTCTTACGATGCGCACGTTACTCTTCTTGCCGTGAATGGCATCCACTTTGCGGCCGCGCAGGTGATCCAGCACCATCTGGCCACGGGTATGGGTGCCGTTTAATTCCACGGTGGCATAGTACTCCCGCTGATCGGCTATCATTTGCTCCGGAAAGAGGTAGGTGGCCGTGAGCAGGGCATCGCAGCTGATCCATTTCTGAAAGCCGCGCGGCTCCAGCATCGAACGCTCCACTCTGGTCAGCAGTTGGACAAAGGGATGGTCCACAGATCCCAGAACATTTAGCCGCCAGTCGAGGCTGATGCCGAAATCGCCATCGATGCACGTCTCCCAGGGCACAACCATAGCTGGCCGTGACACTCGCTCCAGGGCAATGTGCGCCGCCTCGGGATCCATCATGAAATTGAACTCGGCACTCTTGGTGACGTTGCCCTTGGCGTAAATGTTGCCGCCCAACATGTAGACGCCGCCAATCTTGTCCAGAAAGGCCTGACCGTACAGATTAATGCAGTTGGCAAAGTTGGTGAGTGGGCCGCAGAGCAGGAAGTCCACTTGACCGGGATATTGGTTGGCCAGGCGGTACATGGCATTCACGGCATGCTCCGGCTGCAGTTCCTGCTCTAGGCTAACCTCCGGATAGTTGCCCACATCGTTGAGCCCGTCCAGGCCATGGAAACGATTGGTGTAGGCCCAAGTACGTGGCACTATGGGATCGGCACAGCCCTTGAAAACGGGCACCTGTAAGGGGAGGAAATGCATCCAAGTGGGTGTGTGAACTTCAATGGAATCACAAATCTCACATCCCGCCTGTCCAGTGTGTGCAGAATCCGCAGGGCATTCAGGGTCCCATTGACCACATCCGTGTTGCCCTGCACCGTCGTTATGGCCACCACCTTGGAGCGCCTGCCTCCTGGCAGAGCCGGCAGCTCCTCCGCCCGCAGCATCATGGCCAATCCCCAGGCATCGTCGGTTCCGATATCACAGTCGTAGACCACCAGGCGTTCCTTCGTCTCCATGGCCGAAAATTGAGTGCCGGAGTTGGCTCCTTTGTTGTTGGCCCAATCTTTCGGCTTTTATCGATTGCGAGACTATCGTTCCTATCGCCGGACCTTTGGTTATTCAATACTATTATTAAGTTGAATTGTTTTCGTTTAAATAACTTATTAAACTATTAGCCTTGGCCGTTTTTTAAATTTAATTTTACTAAGAATAATTTTGGTGTTGGTTTGCTGAATGCATTTTAAACGCATAAACATTTTTAATTTATTTATTAATTATTTAAAAATAGAGTAAACTTAGCTGCAAGATTTACCCACACATGTTTACGGATTGAAAGAATCTGGAATGTGGTGAGTTTTCCAGCTGTTTCCAGTGGTGAATATACGAGCTGCTGTTTTGGCATCTTCCGGAGAACCGTTAGATTTTATTATTTTGTTAACTTACTTTTTAACTAAAACGTCATAAAAAATTTTATATTTAAACATTGTAAAACTTTATTAGCTTAATCCGTTAAATACTAAATATTTAATAAACTTTAGCTATTATTTCAAATCATTTTTTCTGGATGCTATACTATTTAATAGAAAAATTATAAATATACTTCAAACTAACTGATTCAAAATAAAATCTCAAAGACCAAAATAAAAGTCTGGATGCCTTACTATTTGATAAAAAAAAAATTTGGAATATATAAGAACTACTTTTATCGTAATATTAAGAAAATTTAAAATAAAATTTACTTAATTTTTATCTCGAGTCAAGAAAGTAAGTTTTTTTTTCATTTTCTATCGGTAACTTAAAAATCATATAATCGTATAATTTTAAACATCAAAACACTTCTATGCAGTCATTTAACAAAAAAATGCTGTCGTTTTTTGGTTGATATGTTAATAGAGTACAGGCGTTTATTCTAGAATATAGAATCTAGAATCTAGATTACTCCAAGTGTCGCAAGTGGGCGACGGACGACTACTCTCATTATGGTTCGTTACTATCGCAACGCCCTGCCGCAACTTGATTACCATTGCAATATTACAAATAGTGGTTCCAGTTGCCCTTCAAGTGCCGCCTCCGAAACTCATTGAATTAAATTGTGAATTCAATTCGTTAGGCCCCTCACAAATTCCTCCCTCTTTCAACAGATTTCTGGAACACTGACATTGCGAATCGGGGAAAAAGTCCCATTTAACCGATAATCACGATTTCATAATCAAATATTCTTATTTCTGTAAACCTGCTCACATTTAACGAATTGACTATTTACTATTTGCCTAGCAGCTATTTTAATGCATATTTTTATATCAAAATACAAAAGCAATAAAAATTATTAAAAACTGTTTTTTATTTAAATAATTTTTTTTTTATTCTGGAACTTTAATTTTTTGCAAATACTTGATAATATTAATTATATAATTTAATTTAATTTAATTATTAAATATATATTTGCTCAAAACATATGTTATTTTATTTTATTAAATAAAAAAAAACTACACCCAAAAAAACAGAATAACAAAACGACCAAAAGTTAAGAACAAAATAAGTCTTTATATTTTTGGTTACTGTTCCTAAGATTAAGGCCATTTTGAACATTTTTTGTAGTCATTTTGATTTTTTGAGCGTAATAAATGCATATCTTAATATGTTTTGAAAAAACACATAAAATTCTAATACCTTGTTCAAAATACTATCATAATCTCATGCTTTTACGTTTTTTGGGGGAAAAAAACCCATTGGAACATCCGGTTAGGAAATGTTGCTATAGGGTATTTCCTTGGAATGTTAGGGCATTGGATTAGCGACCTTTTAGAGCCGCAATATTCCCACACATCTTATCCGTTTGTCCGGCTCTGGTTCGGCCCGATCGTGAAATATACTGCGCCGCCGGCAGAAACAGATATGAATTGCACACATGGCGACATATCGCATCGCAACACCGCACATGTGAGCTGTGCGCTGTTAGCTATGAGCTGTGAGTCGGCGGCGGAGAAAGGCGAGTGCGTTATGAAATTCGGTGATATGGTGCTGTGCTGGTAATGCCCCAGAACCGAGTCAATGCGAACCGAATGTCCGATGTCCGGCGGCGGCGGCGGCAAACCAGATGATTGGTGTATGTGTATAGCATGGCTATATGGGTATATGGGTAAATGGGTATAGTAGTCCGGAGTTCCGCGGCGCGCACATTCACCAATTGCCGGCGATGGCGGACGGACGCACAGTGGAAAACGGTGACGGCGAAGGATCCAAATCAAAATGCAGATCCACCAGATACGCGATCCTCGACTGCGATGGCGGTAGCGATGATGCCTGGGCCCTGCTCCTGCTGCTCCATGCGGCCGAGAGTCATGGGATCGAGCTCCTGGCGGTCACCACCGTCGGATGCGGAAACACCAGTCGGGAGAACGCCGCTCGCAATATGCGTCGGATACTGGAGGCCTGCAAGCGCACAGACGTAAATATAAATAAATTATGTTATTAGAGTGCACTAAAAGAAAAATACATTTCAATTTATAAATATGTAACAAAATATTTATTAAACTGAAATTAAAAAAAAAAAAATCATTGGTCAGCCATTAAATCTTATCTACACAATAAAAAAAAATAGAATTATAAAGCATTTAAGAAGAGCTAGATTATCCTTGAATTGTACATTTTATATTAAAATATCAAAATAATATTTATGAAGCTGAAATACCAAAAAAAAAACCTCTGGGCAATGGTTAGTTTTGAACCAGTGCCCAACATACATTAAATTTATAATCCAATTTGATTTAAAACAATTTCTGTTACTAGAAATTTATTTATTTATTTAATTAAAACATTTTTTTTTATTTGTCCCTTTGGAAAACTTTATTTTATTTAGCATAGCTGAAGTTTGTTTAAATAAAATAACAATAATATCATTTATGAGCAAAAACAACTTAAATGATATATCTCTAAAATTGGTGTATCGTTAATTATTAATTAATTAATGTGCACAAAGAGAAAATAACATTAAAACCGAGTGTGTAAGGCATCTTTTTAGATCTACATAGTAACAGACACTTAACCTTAATCAATGTGATTTATAGTAACATCCGGGTTATGGTCCATGTCGCACTTTATAATCAATTGTCTTTTGAGGGCTTGACATGGTTTTATAGGTTTATATATAATATATTTTCTATTAATTTGCAACTTTGCAAAAGCTTTTTGTTATCATTATTTTGAAATAGTATGTTTGAAGAAGCTTTGGACATTTGTATAATTATGAAAAATATATATGTTTCTTTTTGCAAAGTGTAGACTAAGAACTTTGTTTTCTGCTGTATCTGACTAATATTCAACGATTGCAGATTCCCATTTACCTGGGTGCTGTGGATCCCCTGATACCCGTCGAGGAGGACGAAAAGAAGTATTTCCATGGACGCGACGGATTCGGGGACTGTCTCGCCGACGACTGCGGTCCGGTGGAGAGTTTTGTGCGGCCGGAGCACGCTGTGACCGCCATCCATGATCTCTGCCGTGCCAGACCCAAACAGATCACAGTATTTGCCGTGGGCCCACTAACGAATCTGGCCCTGGGCTTCACCATGTACGGGGAGACGTTCGGTGAGAGCTTTAGGGACATGTTCATCATGGGCGGCAACTACCAGGGCGTGGGCAACTCCTCACGGGCGGCGGAATTCAACTTCCATTCGGATCCGGAGGCGGCACACACGGTGCTCCTGAAGAGCCGCTGCCCCATCACCATCCTGCCATGGGAGCCCTGCACCCCCAAACGATTCAACATACCCATTGTGAGTATAACACATCCTTGAGACAAGTTTTTAATTTCTAGAGTTTTTCTGAAATAAAGTCGAATGTGACTGGAATGAAGTAATTTTAGCTTACCTCAATTCATTTGTGTGTAACATGTGTTACTCTTTCAACAACAGCAGTATCATACAAAATTAAGTTTATTACGTGGCTAAAATAAATTTCATATTAAACTTATAAGTTAGGAAATTATTAAATATTTTATTTAATTCTGTTAAATATTTAATAAAAGGTATTCAGCAGGTCTGTCAACAATTTTTTGTTGAATTAAAAGTCTTGTAAATATTTGACTTTTCTAGAATGCGTTAGCATTCATACTTTTTAAGGGCTTCGATTTAACATATAATTTATCATATCCAAAAAAAAACTTTTAGTTCTTAATATTTAAAAGTAAATTAATAATTGTAAATTATAAAACAAAAATGTATGCATTGTTTGGTAATTAATATATAACTGAAATAAATATAATTTAGATTTAGAGGCAGGTTAAATAGTTGTTGTAAAAAAAAAAAAAACATAAAAACTCTAAACTGTAATCCTAGATTGTTTTGGTATGTATATGGTACATACATATATACTAAATATGACATGGTATTTAATTCCGTTTCCCCCTTAGAACTGGCGCCTGAAGGAGTTCGCCGAAAGGGCCAAGGATACCCGTCATCCGGCGATCACGATGCTCAACCAGGTGGAGGCCGCCCAGTGGCTGCCGATGATCGAGCTGGACGGGATCGACATATGGAACCCCTGCGATGCCATCGTGGTGGCCGCCTGTCTCTTCGAGGATCGTTTGATCCGCAAGCAAAGCACCTGGCACGCCACCGTCGACCTAAGGGGCACCCACACCCGGGGTCAGATGGTCCTCGATCATCTGCGGGAGCGGGAGAAGTATCCGGAGAATGTGCGCATCATCGAGCTGGTCGACGCCGAGTTCTTCAAACGGATCTGCGAATGGATCGCCGGCTTGGACGATGGCGCCCTGCTCCGCGAGATCCAATAAATACCCATATCTATAGTAAATCCCGCCTTTTTTTTTAAACTTTATTATTTTATGAGGCCCGCGATAAGGGTGGGGCTTCTTCGATAAGAACTCCCTGCACACCACTAGCAATAAACCGGTTCTGTAGATTGTGACGTTTAAATTTTGATTCAAAAAATATTATAAAAATTATTTTTTTGTAAAAGTGCTACAGAAATTTTATTTTTTTGGCGATGTCTATCGTTTATTTACCTAAATATTAGAAAGCCTAAAGGAAAACAATGTCTGAAAAAATATATATAGAACAATTTTTTTGTTTTACAGTATTTACAGAAGTTAAAACATTAAATTAATGATTTTAATTGTCCATAAAAAATATAATAGCTATAATATTTTCACTCGCATTACTATAACGTTATTTTTATTTTTAAATTTTGAAAATTTTCAAAATATTTGGCACCAGAGGGTTAACGATTTGTTATCGTTTCCCCGTCAGCTGACAACGATTACAAAAAATGTAAATAAGAAAGTCCAACCAAAACAAGTGAGCCTCAGCATAGAAATGAATTAAAAGACTGCCATGTTTGCGATTATAAAATGTTAATGGATCAAAAATAGATGGAAAACGAAAAACATACCATCCCACCCACCAACAAAACGGGCGCAACTTAAATTCCCATTTCAGATTAGTGGCGTTCGTAAACAACGGATAAGACTGTATACATATATGTACTATATAATCAGCTGTACGTTATTTTTGGTGATAAAATCATCGTAGAGACCACAAAGCAAAAGCCACAAAGGGAAGACTGACCGAACGACCTGCCGTTTCTGATAGCACCAGTAGAACCAGAACCACCATCACCATCACCATCGACACCCCGCCGAGATTAAAGACCACTTTTTGGAGCCCCATCCACAGTTGTCAGCCGTCTCTTGATCACTTCACATCGGTTTGTCGCGAGTTGTAGCTATATATTAGACATAAAAGCTACTGGATAGCCCCCAAAAACTATCCAAAATGTGCGTGATATTCTTCTGCGCGGATTCAAGTCCACGGGAGGGTGGCTATAAGCTGATCCTGGCCTCCAATCGCGATGAGTTCTTCGCCCGGGCCACACAATCGGCGGCCAAGTGGCCAAATGCCGATCATGTTTACGGGGGTAAGTTTGTGGAGGCGATAACATATCTTAACTAAAGGCCTACATATCATACGTTTACGCTAAAATGCTAAAAAATCACTGCATATCTCGTAAATAACATTTACTTATTTTCTAAAGTTTCTGGTGCAGAGATGATCGAGTAGTTTTTAGTCTATATTCCATTATATATATTATATTCCATTATATTTATTAATGGCATATAGCATATAAAATATTTAAGTAATTTCTATAAAAATCTGAAAAGCATTGAATTTCTTGTAAACAACATTTCTCATTTTATTATTTTTTGATCGAGAGGAGGATGAGCTATTACACAAAATATTATAAAGTAAAACTATTTAAGACTATTAAATCAAAATCATGGTACTTTTTTTTTAATTAATTATGAAGGAATTTTTAAATTTAATAGAATGACAATTAATTTGTCGAGTATTTTGGTTCAACGGAAAATAATAGTTTATTTGTCAATTAATAATGTGTAAACTTTTAGAAAAGTAGTAGTTGTTTTTCAGACACCTTTTATTTCTATTTTTATATTATTATATAGATGAACAGTTTAGTATGCATTATCAGAAGAGTTAAGAAATATTTAGTATTTTTCCGTGGATAAATAGAATTTTAGCCGTTCTTCCTGCTGAGTGATTTATTTAAACAGAATGTAATTATGTTTAAGCCAAAGAATAATGTATACATTTCTAAAAAATATATTTATCCTTTTCTAAGGGATAATTTAAAAGTAGTTTGTATGCATTATTAAAAAGTTTAGTGGTTTAGTTAACTTGGATAAGTACAACTTAAGAAGATTTCCCTGCTGAGTGATTGATTATTTGTTTTTTATTTTTGTGGATAAAGAATATTGATAAATATATATATATATATTTCAGGCATCGATCTGGAGCCGGGACGCGAGGGCGGCACTTGGCTGGCGATTGGCCATGCCGCTGGCTTCTTCAAAGTGGGCGCCCTGCTCAATCTGACTGGCGAGCCCAAACCACGCGATGCAGTCGGTAAACCCATTTAAGCCATTTATGTATTAACCAAAACCTCCACACGCACACGCACACCATTAATTTGCCTCGAGCTTAAACTTTCACAAATGCGAGAAATGAAAAGAAAAGAAAAAACAAACAAACAACTTTCTTCGTTTCTGTTTTCTGTTTGAAGCGCACAAGAACATTTTGCAACCGCATAATCACAACAGCAACAGCAACACCGGCATTAACCTCTGCCCCAAGCCCAGCCATCCGAACCCGAATCCGAATCTGAATCTGAATCCGAATCCAAATCTGAATCCGAATCCGAGTAAGGGGCATTCGAATAACGAACATTTCTTACTAGGGCGCGGCATGATCGTGGCTGACTTCGTCACGCGATCGGACGACCAGCATGACATCGTGGAATACAACCAGAGCCTGTTCAAGGACTGCACCAAGTACTCCGCCTTCAACTTTGTGTCGATTGAGATTGGGTAAGATTTGGGAATTTCGAAAAAAAAGCAGTCTATGCAAGGTTATAAAAATAAGAAACCCACGAAACGGTAATCTTAGATTTATAAAAAAAATCTTAAACAACGATTTTTGTTGGATTTCAATTCATAAAAATAGGTAAAAACGATCATTATTCAAAGTTCTTTTAATAAAAATCTTGAATAACAACTATATTTTAGATTCGTAAAACCAATGTTTCAGATTTATTTAAAAAATATCTCTAATAACGATTAAATTTTTGATTTTAATGAAATAAGAAATGTTTAATAACGATTATCTGAGATTTACTTAATATACAAATCTTTAAAAACGATTTTTTCATATTCCTTTAAGCAAAAACCTTTTGTAACGATTAAATTTAAGATTTCTATAAGTTAAAATCTCTATCTCTCAGATTTACATAAATTAAAATCTTTAATAACGATTATTTCAGAAATCTATTAATAAAAATGTTAAGAATCGATTTTTTTTAGAAATCTATACATTAAAATCTTAAATAACGATTCAATGTTAGATTTCTTAAAATTTAAAGCTCTAAAAACAAATTTATAGAAATCTATAAACAAAAAATTTTTTCATAAAAATCTGAATTTAAAATTTTATTTAAACTTAAATTTTTCGTCATGATGACTTATATATTTTAAATACGATTAAATATATAAATATACAAAATCAATTTATTAAGCTAGAAAAATATATATATTCGTTAATCATATCTTTATTTATAAGCTGAGAAACCCCGTTTTTATTACCTTTATTTTATTGGAATTCTAATTAAAACAGTTTTCTTGTTTTGAATACAATTTCGAAATCAAATTCGTTATGTTCTTTAAACATTTTATTTTAATCGAGCATTGTAATATAATAAGTTGATGGAAATATTTATATATTTATTCAGTAATAGTCATGCGATTTACGTAAATGAATTCAAGTGAACCCGTCAATTTTATAACTGACCATAAATATGCCGATTACTTGCCATAAATAAAACTTTCTTGACTAAACACAAAAAGATTAGGACTAATTCAAATAAATGGTATTACCTTTGTGTTATTTTGTTCGAGTAAATAGAAACAACAAAGTAGATTTGAGCCCAACAAAACACAGGCACTTAATGAACTGTTTTATATTTCTCTATATTTAATAGATCGTCATCAGTGCCCGCCCGCGTGAAGCTACTCAGCAATGTGCCACCCACGCTGGAGGAGTTCCAAAATGGGCAGTGCTATGGATTTGGGAACAGCCTGCCGCACACTCCCTTCGAGAAGGTGCATCACGGCAAGCAGGAGTTTGAGGCGATCGTTAGGGAGCATGGTGGATCCAGTGTGGAGGACCTGTCCGCCCACCTGATGCAGTTGCTCCGGAAGAAGCACAAATTCTGGCCGGACGTGGAGCTGAAGAGGCGTGCGCCCAACTGGGGCGAGGGTTTGAGTGCCCTAAATGTTCACATCGCGGAGCATGCCTATGGCAGCCGCACCCACACCGTAATCCTGGTGGATAGCCACAACAAAATGCACTTCATCGAGGAGACAATGGCTGGAGTGGATCCACAGGGTGAGTGGATTAGGACCCATATCGAAAAGGATTTCCAAACTAGCGTTTGATGACGAAGCTCTACACAATGTAGAACAATTTATTCGCTGATATATTAGGAAATTGTAAATTTCTGCGCTTTTTTTTGTAGCAATAATCTGTATTTTTGACACTGGCATTTATGATAATAAATAGTTTAGATACTTTTTAATATAAATGAGTGGATTGAACTCATTACACATTACTACTATCATCTTATTGTTTTGCTTTGAAAATTCTTTATTTAAACTTAAAGTCTGTAAAACTCAACAGTTCAAGAAGCTGTTCTCATTTAATACATGACTATATCGTTTTCATTTTAACTTTATCTCTGGCATTTACAACGTCTCCACATGCATACGTAATTAATTATATATATATATATATATATTTAATCAAGGTAACAGAGGAAATAATACCCAACGTCTTAGCTTGCTTATCAGCCAGCCGTCCGCACTATCCCGTTGTTATTATATAGGTATATCTATATCTCTATAGCTTTATTATCCAGTTTATTTAGTGGCCTCACTCTCCAGACTATTTGTATTTCTTGGAAACCCGACCGCCACCGCCTCCAGTTCCTCCAGTTTCGGCGCCAGTTCCTCGCAAAACACTCTTGAATTTCCGCGAGTTCATTGAACGTTTTCTATTATGGAAAGAGAAGGAAAATTAGATAAGGACAGGGCATATAAAGATCTAGCTCTAGCTCTAGATCTAGATCTTATATATAACGAAATATAAAGCTATCATCAAACCAAAGTTTTTATGCCCTCGATGTTTAGATATTGAAAATTTCTCAAATCGGCAAACCAAAGTTTTAAAAATTGAAAGTTATTCAAAATGTTTTCCAGTCTAAATAGATGGATAATTAGATAAGAACAGATCATCCGAAGATCTAAATCTAGATCTAGATCTAGATCTAATGTACATATAACGAAATAGGAAATAGAAAATTTAGAGATACCAACCTCTTGTTGAGGTTATTCCTTGTCAGTGGTATGTAGGCATATGGATCCAGTTGTCCGCGCTTCTTCATATCGCCCTTGGCCTTTTTGCTGCTGTATTCATTGCCCGCCGGTCGACTGGCGGACTTTCCTGACTTCACGGACATGGCATCTGAGTTGCCACCAGCTGCCAGATGTCGATGGATGCCCTTGCCACCGGCTGTGTAGCGACTGCTGGCGGTGGTCTTGCCGGATTTGGTGCTCATCGCATCGCCGCCCTTGCGTGTCCGCTTGGCAGCCACCGATTGCTGCTGCTGCAGCTCCTCCTCGTCGCTGGAATCGTCCTCCATGCCGCGCTTGGCCTTCGGCTCCTTGGCCGCCGTGCCATCGGCCATCGATGCATCGGAATCGGAGTCGGAATCGGACTCATCATTGCCACCCTGGCCGCGCAGGGCCTTGTCGCTGATGATGAGGCGGCCATCGTCGGCGGTCTTGAAGCCTCCGTTCGGCAGCTGCGCTTTCGTCTTCAGGCTCTTGACGGTGGCTGCCGTTTGTGCGGAGCCACTGGCTGCAAATGGACAGGAGAAAATAGTTATTATATGATGTATCATCAGTTTAAAATATAAATTTATGTTAGCTTCGTTTGGCAAAGATATGAGCATTGAGCATTTTTTTTTTCTATAACAAAGAACTTTAAAGTTTCATTATATTGTTTACTCCCTTATAAATTGTATAACAATAGTAATGAATTTATACCATGTTATTATTAATTAAGTAAATTTTAGTACAGAGATTTTAAACAAAAACAATTTAATTAATTAAAGGATAAGAATAGATTTTAAATTTGAAATGCGTTTTTCTCGAATGCCTTCATTAAATGCTTTGAGCAAAATCCCTTGAAAACTGAACTCTTTAAATTTTGCAGTCTTATTTAACATACCAAAATGTAGCCTTAAGCGATCAATTTTTTTTTTATAAAAAATGTTTTTTGTTTATAGTAATTTGATTTGATTTGATTTATTTAACTGAATCTATTGAAATTTTTGTTTAAAATTATCCAGTTCTGTGGAATTTCAGTCACCGCAAAACAAAATCAGAAAAAGGGAATTTACTTATCACGTATTTTTTGTACACAATTATTTCATATTTTAAAATTACGGAAATGTATTTTATATATGTAATTTTGAAAAACCTATTGATATAGTTATTATGAACTTACTCAGCACATTGCCAATGGACTTGAGATCGGCCAAATCGACAATCTCGTCGGGATCCTCGCGAATGTAGGTGCTCTTCTGCTGCTTGGACTTCTTGCTTCGCTTGCCAGCAGCAGCAGCAGCAGCCGCTCCTCCCGCTCCGCCCTCGTCCTCGGCGTCCATATCCTCGGGCAGATCCGAGTCGGAATCAGCCAGAATATCATCAATGCTGATATTGAATAAGAAAGAGTAGTGAACATCGCCGGTGGTTAACAGCCACCAATAGGTGGTCTCTACTTACGTATAGCTCTTCTGCTCCAGTCCGCCACCCAGCTCCTCATCGGAGCTATCCGCCTGCGCCTCCTCGTTCTGCTTCTTGCGCGTATCGCGGCGCATCTGTTTGCGGATCTTCTTGAGCCGGCGGTGGGTCACTTCATCATCGCCGGGTACAAAGCGGGCCAGTTCCTCGGTGGTGAAACGCTTGCAGAGCTTCTTCAGGAAGTAACCAATCTGAATGCGACAGTAGCGCTTCGTGTCCTTGGTCATGGCAGATAGGGCGCGCATCTGAAAAAAAAAAAAGAGATTAACCAATTGATTGGAGGATAAATTTATGTACCCTGTGGATTACTTACAATCGTCTCCAGATGATTGGACACCAGCGGTATGGGCATCACCTTGATGAATGTGATCAGGAAGGCAACGGCTGCCTCCGATTGATTGCGTGACTTCTGGACGAGAAAAACGGAGACCTGTTGCAGGACAAACTCGAGAGTGGCCACCGTCAAGTGCTGGCCCTGCTGTTGGAGCACAGCCCTAAAGGCCAGGATCGTGTTCGTGACCAGCGACTCGTCGCCGGCAAAGCCAGCCGTCAGGATGTCCACAAAATCATTGATCTTGCCCGCATCCTGATAGAGTTGTGTGATCGATTTGATTAGTTGCTCGGCCACCTGCTCCTTGCGCGTGGAGAACTCCTTGTAGTTGAGCACCGCCTCGGGAATGGCCTTCATGACCAGCTGGTCGTTGTACACCAGATTGCTGCGGCACTCCATCAGGGATTTCAGGCAACTGTGTTTCAAATTGGTTGCATTCTGTTAGCTATTGGCTTTCCTGTCATTATTGCGGCATCAAACTTACTACAATCGCGATGCCTGGCAAACGCTGCAGCTGGTGGTGAAGCCCTCGAGGAGTATCTGCTGCAGGGCTATGCTGTTCTTGCGGGTGAACTTCTGGCACGATGCCTGCTCCGAGGTCATCAGCTCTCGCAGGAGTCTACAAAACAGGATGGAGATTAAGTAAACTACTACGACTACTATCAATTAACCATTACTCGTAGGTCTTCCTCTGCTGCTTCTTCAGTTTCTGCTCATCCTTGGCCACCAATTTGGATTTATCGTTTCGCAGTATGGGTGCCATATACTTCTCGAAATAGGTTTCGATTCCCCGACACTTTTGCACCCGCACAATGGCGGCATTAATATCAAACAGGGCATCGTATTCAAAGCTGGCCACGGCACTGGCTGCCAACTGACCTTGCGAGTTCTCGAAGAGCTGCTGCTGCACTTCGGCCGGAGCCCGGGAGATGTACAAACGGATGACGTCCAGGACATGCTTCCGCTGATCGGCCTCGTACGTGCCGCTCGGCTTTTGTGTGTAGATATTGAAGAGACGTGGCAGAAAGTTCTTGGCATACAGGCCAATGGCCTGATGGCATTCAGCGCTCTGGCTGTCGTCGAGCAGCTCCAACAGGCCATCGTAGATGGGTGCCCTGAACTCCGGATTCTTTTCCAGAGCGGCGCCCAAAGTGGGTGCCAGCTGACGCAGGTATTCCGGATCCCTTGGCCGGCGACAGAAGCCGGGGAACAGGCCCCACAGCTGGCAGCACAGCAGCTCGTAGATGTGCGACGACGACTTGTTCTTCGCCTCGCTGAACTCCTTCCACTTCTGCTGGCAGTCCATGGCCAGTGGCACGATCTTCTCCCTGAAGAACTGCAGGCTCGCCCCGTTGGCTCCCTCGCGCAGCAGGGGCAGCAACCAGGAGCGCTCCAGCTGCATGCCACCCCTGCCATCGCCAAGGGGAATCGCCGTGAGGATCAGCTCCGGTCCCAGCGCCTTGATGGCGCTGATCAGGGTGTGCTCGATCTGCAGGCGATGGCCGCTCTGGCTGTCGTACCGCTTGGAGATCGTCAGCAGCGAGGGTGTGAGTTCCGAACTGCCAAAATGTAAGCCCAAAAGTGATTAGGTTTCTTACTATTTTAGATAGTGGGTGTAGAGATTTATCTTAGTTAAAACATTTTAAATTTAAAGCCATGTTTTACTGAACAGATGGTACTGAAAACTATTCATCTTTGCAATATTATTATCCTTAAATAATCAGGATTAATTAAATGAATTATTAAATATATAACATTTTTTTTACAAAATTCTTTCCAAAAAGGCTTATTTTTCAATTTAAAAATTTCACAATTTTCAACACAACCACAAATTGACCAAATTTTGAAATTAAAGCAGAGATTTTTTTAATTTTATGTTGTATCTAAAAATATACATAAAAGTCAATATATAATTTCATATGATGGAACAGAATTTGGATTACTTTTTTAAAACTATAAATTGTTTATAAAAGCAAATTTCTGTGTTCTCGATTTATAAGAAATAGATGCCTTTCTTTAGATTTGCATTCAAATATCAATCATATTTGAAGTAAAACTAAAGTAATGTGTTTTTAAGAAGACGTTTTCACCTCTATTCGCAAGGCATTTGATGTGGCTTTTATTATTTCAAAGAAACGAAAGTTAAATCTTGCCTCACGGAAACTTCTTCAATTTTGAATAAATACCTAACAAAATAACCAAAGATTTCGGGGGCAACTTTATGCCAGAAAAAAAATATATTTAAAAATTATTTAATCTAGCCAAAACTCACCCGAATTGCTTGCCACATGCCTCAAAAACGATGGCAAAGATGAGGATGACGTATTTGGAGATCTCGCCGAAGGGAGCGTTTAAGACCTTGTGCAGTGAAGCGATAATCCTGGCCACACTCTGCCGGTTTCGCTGCGCATCCTCCGGCGTGGCACATGCCCGGGCCACGCAGTCCTGCAGCAACTCCTTGATGCAGTTCGAGACGCCGACAACCAGTTCCGTTCGCTCCGAGAGCCACAGATCCGTGGTGCAGACGTCGATGAGGCGCGGCAGAGCCTGCATGCACAGATCCAACTGCAGGGTGGCCAAATGGAGGTGACCCTCCTTCAGTACGGTCACCCAGGCGAGCGTCTGGCGGACATCGCTCCTGTCCGGCCGATACTCGTGGATGGCCGCCAGCAGCTTGGCGCACAGCGAGGCATTCAAGTTGGGGCTGCGCGTGACGAAGAGGGCATGCAGGGCCTGGAAACAGTTCGTGCGGACCAGCACATTGGCCGCCGTCATAATGGAGAGCAGATGCTCGCAAACACTGCGTATGTCCTCCGTCCGGAAGCCGGATAGTGTGTCCTTCAGCAGTGCCAGCGTGTGGAGCACCGTCGTCTGGGCATTGGCCAGCACCTCCGGTTTGAATTGGGCCAGACAGAACTTGGTCACCCGATTGCTGGCCGGATGGTGCTTCACCTTGGCCTGATCCACCGCCGCCTTCTGATTCTGTTCTTGATCCTGATCTTCGTCGGACTTCACAGGCGGCAGCATGAAGCAGCTGCCGTGGATAATGGACACCACCGCATGCTGGGCCGCCTTGCGGATCTTCGGCTTGGAGTGAATGCTAAACGCGAGCAGGGCATCGAAGTATTGGAACGTGGAGCTGTACGTCCATGTCGCATAATCCTGGGCACGCAGCAGGACGGACAGGCAGCCGATTACCTGGAAAAGCGGAAACCATTGGGCATTAGAAAGCTCAAAATATGAGAGTAGTTGAGACCAATTCAATTTATCTAAATTCATATGCTTATAAATAAATAAGTTTCATTTATTTTATGTCAATGATAAAACAATCATAAATAAGCTGATGTTAGAGGTTTCATTTAAATAAAGAATTTTTTATAATAATTTATCTCCTTAATTATAGTCTTTCTTTATTGACTTCCCTGAATATATATGGATAAAAAGTAAAACATACAAAATTTACATATTTTAATGCCATCTTGTTAGTAATTTTAATGTTTTAATTTTGTTTAATTTCAAAATTTTGTTGAATTGGTTCTGATAATCTTTAACCCCTAAAATTGTTAGTTTCGATAAATAAATTCAATTAAATATAGTTCAAATTTTGTTAAAATATTTAAAATTATATAGATTGATTTCCCCGAATATTTTTTTATAATCTGCTTTAAATATTGAAACTTATTGCGGATATTATATTTGTGTAAGGTAAATTAATCATTTCAATTTATATACTGATTTCCCTGAATATTTTCAAATGATAACAATGAAGAAATTAACATATTTTAATATCATCCGTACAGTAAATAAAAATTGACTACAACCATAATGTACATACGAATCTTTTCCAAAAAACCCGCCTTGATTGCTAATGGTTTACTTTATCATCTAGCACTTTAAAGTTTTTGTATATCCCTGACCCTTATTTTTGGTAGTCCCCTGTTTCCCAACTTACATATCGGATGACCGACTGGTTGGTGGCGTCCACGAACCGCTGGAGCAGCGTCTGCATGGTGGCGGCGGTCTGGGCGAACCGCTTCCTGAGCACCGGAGCCGGCACCGATTTGATGCCCATGGAGAGCAGCGCAACGCCGGCCACGATGTCCCGCTCCTCGGTGGCGGCCTCGATCTGCTCCATGAGCAGCAGGAAGTACTCGGTGGACGACTCGCCGCCACCGTTCTCGCGGATGATCTCGGTGAGGGCGCTGAGGATGGCCAGCATCTCCTTGTGCAGATCGGAGGAGGCCCGGAAGCCGGTGAGCAGTTTGCGGAAACTGGTGTTGCTGCAGCTGCTGTAGTTGGAGGCGAAGGTCTGGAAGGTCTTGAAGGTGCCCGTGGGAGCGGTCCCAGAACCGGACATGCCCTCATCTTCGTCGTCCAGTTTGAAGCTTCTCAAGCTGCCGGCCACATCGTTCACTGTCGTGGTTTCCGCATTGAAGGCCTGTCTCTGCTCGTGCTTGTGGACCGCCTCCAGAGTGAGGCCAGTGGGCGTGGCAGCCGCTGCTGGAGGGGATTGACAATGAAGGGTTTAGAGATCCACAGGTGGCTCGTTCTAAGAAACGCAGCTGAAATTGCTGCTGCACTCACCCAAACTCAAATTGGGCTGGAAGAAACGCGACTTGGCCTTCAGGCGGTGCTTCATCTGGTCGGGATTGGAGGTGGCCGACTGGCCCTTGCTCCACGTCTTCCCCTTGCCATGGCGCTTCAGCTTCGACCGGAATTTGCCCATGATCCACGCGGGAATTGCTCAAAGAAAGTAGTCAATAAAAAAAAACAAATCGCAACACGTGCGAACTAGTGTGACCGCTCGACCGTTAAAACATTATCGGAACGATAAGATATTCTTAGGTAATCGATAGACCAATCGATTGCTATACGAGGTGAGTTTCTAGCTAAGTTCTGTACCAATGTTTGGGGAAGCACCATCGTGTTTAATTTAATTACCAGCATGACAGATTTGTAAATTTACAGCACCATATATTACTGACTATCACAAAAAGCTAACAGTTCACAAATATTATTAACTTGAAACCTTTGAGTTAGATGTTTAATGCTAATTTATGTTCTTTTGCATATTTTAATTGGCTCTAGACTACAAGAATATATAAGTTGTCTGTGGCAATTGGATTTTTTGGTTCGTTCAATAATGTTGAACTTTAAGTAACTTAAATTTGGCAAGGACCGTGGTCAATTACCACCCAAGATAGCAACCAAGGACATAAATTAGCCAATATACAAACCAATTATCGAAATGGTTTCTGACAAGTCGATATTTCTTCAGGCCGGTCTGGCATCTCTGTGCAACAAGTTGAAAAATAGAAGAAGAAAAATAGAAACAGCGTCCGCAAATAGTGCGCAAAATAGTGTTTTTTTTGTTAACGTGCAACATCGAAATTGTCAAACAATTAAAACGGTGAATGCGAGTGATAGTGCGACCAAAAACAATGCAAAACACTTGACCACGCAACAAAAACAATTGAGCAAGGCACACAAAACACACACACATGTGCAGGCACCCACTCGCTTAAGAGAGAGAGAAAGAGAAAGAGAGAGCGCAAGTGTGTGAGTGAGTGAGAGGGAAGAACTGTTACTGTAATATAATTGATAAAACAAAAAACGTCAGGAGCAGGAATCCAGTGAGAGAGAGAGAGGGAAAGAAGGACAGTCAGCAGCGATAGAGAGAACAGAAAAGGAGGAGGAATTGTTGTTGCTAAAAATAGCAACAAATAGACAGGCAAAGTAGAAGAAGAAGAAGAAGAAGGCGAATACGAGGAAGAAGAAGAAGCGTTGACGCAGGCAAAGTCGCAGCCTTTTGGTTTTGGCCACTTGGACTTCACTCTCATTTTGTCCCGTTAGCCAGCCAGCCTGCTCTCTCGGCCAACAAAAACAAATAACAATCAACTACGACGACGACGGACCAAAACTATGCTTTTGAAATTCACTAAAACCAGTGGCGCTGGACCCTCGTCCGTACCGCTACAGCCGCCCAACCCCTCGCCGGGCTCCAGCTCGTCGTCCATACAGGCAACAACAACGTACGCGGCCCGCGGAACAGGTTTGTAACCCCCACTCTCTTTCACCCCTCTCTTTACTCTCTTTTGTTTTGATTTTTACCTTTGAGTACTCTAAGTTATACACCTTGCCCACTGAATTCCGATCACTGAAAGCATAGTTAATCGACTTTGTTGATCTTGGAATGTTCACTAATTTTTCCCTTTTTTGCAACAAAATCAACTATAATATTAAAACAATTTTTGACAATTGGTTACAATGGTTATATCTGACCTTGGAATCCTGTCCAACAGTTGGCCTTTTTTTTTTATTGACTTAAAATTGGTAGCACGAATCATTTATAAATTAATTAATTTACAAAATTACTATTTATAACGCTTTTAAAGAATAAACATACTTACTTGGTTTACTTAACTAATAAACCAAGAGATTATTTTTAAGTAACAATTTCCGCTATCATTATTTATAATTTTGTTTTAATATCTGTATTTGTTAAAAACAAAATTTAAATCTTAAATTGTTTTTTTTTTTTAGAAACTTTGCTGAAAAATTTGTTACAACAAAGATTAAATAAAACACATTTCAATTGGTTTTCAGTTAAATGTTTGAATTAGAAACTAATGTTTGTACTTATATAATCATCACATTCTAATTAACTGTTTAGATCGGCCTTGGAATTTTGATACGCATTTCTTTCTGCCCCTTTCGAACCTGTTTTTGTTTACTTGCAAAAAATTTGGTGGTGAACTTATTTGTGTGAACTTATGTAAATAAGATTAAGGATTTTGTTGTGTTTGCCCATTTTCTGGTCTCTTACAGATGTTTGACTACGCTAATTTTGTTTTTATATGCTTTTGACGCAAATAGATGGCATACGAAAATAGACCGCCCCAAAAGGTGTACACAAATTTTTTCGTTAAATTATTGCCTCCTAGAAATATTTCTTGATTGATTTCCACCCTTCACCGACCGCCGCCCATATTCGAACTTTCTGCTTATCGATATCAGCAAAAGTTGACAAAAAACACTATTTGGCCCCCTCAAACACTGCGACATTGAAAACCACGCACGTGTAACCACACACACACGTGTTTATGCTTACACGCACACACACAGGCAGGCGCAATTACATATGTATGTTTACATGAGCGAGTACAGGGATCCCTCAAAAATTAGAAACTTCTGAGGGAAGCTGATTTCACGATTTGTTCAAGCTATCAAATATAAATATTTGGTAATAAAAACCTCATATTCTTTAACTTAAATGAAAATTCAATAATTTTGCAGATAAATAAGTTTTCCACCTATGTTATTCCAAAATAAGTCTTAAGTTCCATCGAGATTTAGTAATAGAAACTGGCGACAAAGGCTTGGCCTTTTCTTAAATCCATAGTATTTTTAACAAAATGCTAAATGCTTTCCTGTAATCTCATGGCAAAAAAAAAGCCTGTAAAAAATATGAATATTTTAATTCTTGCAAGTTCATTCATAGTTTTACTTATGGAGTAATCACTGTACTTTTACATGTGCTCAATGTTTGGACTGCCGCTATTTATTTTGATATTCTTTTAATTGCCATGCCCTTTTAATTTACGTTACTGTAAAGACAAGAAAGGCATAAATGGTTTTTCGTTAGCTTAAGTTCCTTGGAAACATCATGCGAATCCTTTTCAAGTTTTTTCTTCAGCTGTTTGCTCGGTATTCAATTTTCCCAGCCATTTTTCCGGCCTTCCAACCAGCGTTTTCACCCCACCACCCGCTCTTCTGTCTCATTTCATTCCGCTCTCTTGAGCCATTTGTTTGCTCCGCTTAATGCTCATATAATCAAATTGAATTGAATTGAATTGGATGTTTTTCCAACAAGGTCGCGGCTCCTTGGCAACCTGCTGGAAAACTCATTTAATGGTGTTTCCTTTCGCGAGGGTGTGTCTTTGGTAGAAGGGAAAACCCACCCGAAAGGGAAATGGAGACAATAGAAAATAGATAAAGAAAAATTAGCAAAGTGTTGCACTTGTTGAGCAAGCACAGTGGTTAGCCGCAAAACATTAAACAACAATTATTTTGATAGTTCTAAAAATCAGAAGTCATGTTTTTCCAGTATATACAAAATAATCACAAGTACAATTATATTCTAATAATAGTCCAATCATTATTGTTACAATTTAATCTAACATAGATTAAACATAAAAAGGGAATTCAATCTTAGGTTAAATTTAAACATTATTTGAAGCCTCAATATTAAATACGACTTAATTATTTATAATATTCTAATCAATTTTGTTTCATTTTGAAATAGGTTTTTTATTTTTTTAAATTCAAATACGCTTTGAGAGGTTTATTTTTGGGTTATACCTAATAAAATTATTTTAAGTTTAGTAATCATTATAACGTTAGGGGCGTTTGTACTCTTTGAATATAATGTTTGGTAATGCCTATTGCTTGGGCACTGACCCATACTGTACGCACATACCACAGCTGTCCATGATGCATTCGGATTATATATGTCCAGCTGGGAAGCCTTAGGATGCTGCCTGTAAATGAAGTGGACTTTGTTCCTTCTTCGACACTTCTACGCCGTTTGTCTGTCTGTTAATTGCATCGAAAGTCTCGTGACTTGACTTAGTCAGCAATTGTTTATTGGTTAATTTAATACAATTTTCTGCTCTCTAAATTAGTTAATGATTGTCGGTGCGCAGCTGTTGTTGTTTTGTTAGTCCGGCTTCAGGTTGTTTTTTCGAATTTGTTTATTTTTCAGTTTAGTATGCAAAGCATGGCAACGACAACGACAACGACTTGAATAATTTTAACTTAGTTAATCAATTTAATTATGTATGAAAATCGTTTCATTTGTCATTTGTTGTTGCTGATGCGACACTATTATAGTTTGCTCGGATTCCGCTTTGGCTTCAAATTCGTTGTTTGTCTGATTTTAAATCGACAAAAAACCTAATGACTTCGTAAGCTCTCTTTCCGCTCTTTTTTTTTTACCTTATTTAGTCTTTTTTCTGGTTTTTCTTCATTTTTCTTCATTTTTCCTCTGGTTCTCTTTGGCTTTCACCTAAAAATGTCTATGGCAATCGGTTTAAAGTTGACTTTTGTTTCTTTTTTAATTTTTCGATTGGATGTCCGTTACCTGAATAGTTCAAGGGTTTTTCTATTTACTCAGCCGTTTGCAACTTACTAACTAACTTAACTTTTCAAATAAAACCAAATTTGACTCTACATCTCTTTTGAATTTTACTTTATAAATTAAGAATTATTGCCGCCGAGCTTTTTGTCAAATGCATTATGAAATTAATGTCTGTATGTATGAAAAATACCAAATACTGGTCATGATTTGTTAACTCTGACTAATTGCTTTCAAATATTAGTCATTTGTCAAAAACGATTGGGCCAAAACTAAATTAAATAAAAAAACTACATATACCTAAATTAAAGGGTAACTGATAGTCGCAAAAAATTAAATTTTATTAGGCATTAGCAAGAATGCTAGCCCACCTCAATTATTTTGTTATTGCGACGCCAGCAGACACGCACAAATATGTATGTGGGTAAATGATTGGGAGGGGAGATATATGATATATATATATGGGTGGGAGCAGGTGAAGCAAGTTCATTATTGTCCCGATGTCGATGCATCATTCAAATAAACTTTTCGTTCAAAACAAAATGATTAAACTTGTTGTTTTTTTTTTTGACTGCTCGAGAGCATCACGTTTTGCTGATTGATATTATTTCAGAAATGGTTTGCTGAGTAAGCAAAGCAGGAAGTAAGAAAATTATGCTTTAGTTGTTAGATTCAATTTTTTCTTAAAATTTTTATTATCAGCGAGCAAAGAAATATTTTTTGAAGTCCCAAAATAAGTAATCGTTGTTTTTCTTCAAGGTAAAAATTTCTGTTGCATCTTTAAATACAAACTAAATTTAAATTAAGATATGTATGACAAACTTGTTCATTAAATAGATTAAGAAAATCCAGCTATTTTAGAAATTTTGACCGATTTATATACATATTATAAATAATAAAATAACTGAATTTCAAAAAAATATTTAACTAGTTTATTTAAAATCTTCCCAACCTTTGTCTTCTCCGCCTGTACTTCTTCGACTTGTTTCTTTATGGTTCCGTCCAAAAAACAAACCTTAAACAGCCAAGTGAAAAATCGAAATAAAGATATTGTAATGGCAGTCGGTCGATAAGTCCGCTCCGAAATTTATATATGCCCCCATTAAATGAATTTTGACATGTTTTTTGGGGCTTTTGTTTGCTTTTGTGTGTTGCCTGGTGCTTTCATTAAAGCCCGGCGACAAACAGGAGACAATAAAATGCAATCAGAGCGTTTATGGAGGCATAATTTTTGATCCAAAGCAAATCGAAATCAGTGGGACCGTATTGTGGCCGGATATTGGTTGAAATTGCCAACAAATGACTCACTGTGAGCACTCAGGACTTTTTCTACTCTGGTATCACCTCCACAACTACATATCACTATTTATTCTAATGAAATAATAATAGTAAAAAACTGAAAAGAACCACCGTGAGAACAATAACAACGCCGATGATGATTGGCCCAATTCAAAAAGTATGCGATATGCACTTAATTAATGAATACTTTGAATTTTCATTCTGCGTTTTTAATTACACGATGGGATATAGAGGAAACATTTCCTTATTTAAGTGTGGGAATTACATTCAACACACATATATGTAGTTATGTGTTTATTTATTTTCTTTTCTCATCATTTTTTTATTTTCAACCGCTTTTTCTTGTCCTTTCTTCCTTAAAAAAATTTTTTTTTAAATATTGGCTTTGAACAATTAAGCTTTTACAAATATTCTACTTTATTTATTGTGCATTCCATAAATAAAAGAACCAAAAAAGTATTTAAAAGATTGTTATATGTAATACAAATATTCTTACTTTCACAAAGTCTATATTATATATATTTTTGCTCATTCATTCATTCGTGTGGATTGAGTAACCAAGTATTTCATGATCATTGAACTAAAATTCTCCGCTTTATCGTTGTCATTCGGTATGG